TCGCTATCGCGTGTATCTAACAGACAAATACCTATCAAGATCGATAAGTAATGAGTAAACGTAAAAACATTTGCTGTGATGATTATGAGAAAGAATTCAACGGCGTCAAACGAAACGAATGGCCAGTGTTTTGCGCACTGCAGCTTTCGTGAATGTGACATTAACCTTGAATCCATAGGCAGAAGCACAAGAACTCTGCTCAAGAAATTGAATCAAACCAAGAGTCAATGAATATACAAGGGTCGGCACTGCATGAATACATTCTGTTTATTACATTTCATTCATTGTTATCTTATTACTATGTTTCCCTGTTTTTATTTTGGGGTTAATATCGATGGCAGCACTGCCTATAACAGGGTTTCTCAAACTTTTGGTGTTGCGGAGCCCTTGGAAAGGTTGACTATTATTCACGGAGCCCCAAAATAAATGTTAAAGTTGTTACTTTCAGATTAATATTCCTGGGCAAGTTAAAAGTACTTTACTTAATTTAAATGCTGAACCTTAGGGTTAATACAAGTCATACATAAATCTAAATTTCAAACATAAATTATATATACACTAAAGCTGTAAATTTGACACTTGACAAACATATTAATAAATAAGGGGTCGAATCTTTTCCCTTTTGACATTTTTGGAAGACTTAAAAGGCCGCTAATAACGTGCGCAATTGCATTTTGTTACAATCGCCGATTTTTTTCGTCAGCATGGCGTGTCTTTGAACCTTTTAACATCTTTACGCCGGTGTTTATTCTCCTTAAATCAAAAATTTCCCTCGGCATATATATACATGTATAGTTACACAATGACGACGTTATTCGCTTTTTTGTTCTCGTGGGGAATTATGAGTTCAATGTGAAAAGCATGTTACCATATTATAGTCATCGTTACGAAATGCTAAAAATAATAATTAATAAAGAGATAAATCCGCAACTCAAATTTCTTGATTGAAAAGCGGCATTCTAAAATAATAAAACTAAAACTTAAAATGGAAGGTCACAGGTTTGGTTTCAGCAGACTCACCTCAGATTGAAAACGTATTTATAGACATTGTAAATCACAAAAATTGGTGTTATGTTAGGTTTTCATCGTAGTAACTGCGAAATCGAAACAGAGTCAATTGTGCGCGCGATGTACCTTTTCCCCCATTATGAAACTACCGACGGAGCCGCACGCAATCAATTGTGCGCGCTCCGCGATGTACCTTTTTTTTCATTCTGAAACTACCGACGGAGCCGAATGCAATAAAATAAATTTCAATTGTTCGTTAAATGCTCGCATCGGTCATGGATTAAATATTTTACGCAATAGAAATCTCGTTATCCGTTTTTTTTAATCGCGAAGAATGTTGCGCGGAAATTTCCGATTCCAATTTTGAACCACCACCCTCTTAAGAATCCTGGCTGCGCTCCTGCTTATAAATAATGTCATTTTTCGATTCCGCCTCTTTGCCATATTTCGAGGCTATTTCGTTGTCAGATTTTATCAAAGCTGTTATTGCTTCTTATTAGAACAGTTACAAAACTAGTCAGTATTTTGAAAAGTAATCCAATAGCTCGCGGAGCCCCTGGGTTTCTCTCGCGGAGCCCTGGGGCTCCGTACGGAGCACTTTGAGAACCTATGGCCTATAATACTAAATCTAAAAGCATAATTCTGCGCAGAAACTTGGCATAAAAAACACGAATGGTTGTGTTACAGCGAGGACAAAAATGCACTTTTTTGTTTTTATTGCCTACTTTTTGCTACCGCTCGTGACTCACGTTGGTGTAAATTTGGTTTTAGAGATCTTAAACATCTTTCCGAGCGTGCCAGGGATCATCAATCTTCTATGGAGCATCTGGACAATGCAGTAAAATACCGAACTTTCGGAAATGTTAATATTGCAGCACAGTTGGATGAAGGACGCGCGGTTTCTATTCGTCGGCACTGCATGAATACATTCTGTTTATTACATTTCATTCATTGTTATCTTATTACTATGTTTTCCTGTCCTTATTTTGGGGTTCATATCGATGGCAGCACTGCCTATGATACTAAATCCAAAAGCATAATAACTACCAATCTCACAGCCGAAGAAATCGTAATTTTAGATTACAAGCAGGATATGTTATTAGAAAAATTTATCACAGTAAAGGAATTTCAGCTAGTCATATCCTCATATTGTTAAAAAAAAGTTACGCTTACGAAAGTGACAGAAAGAAAAGATTTAACAACGAAACATGCTTATGGGAAACATTAAAATGGCTATCTCAATACATGCAAGCAGCTGAAATTTATTTCAATCATCACATCATTGACATCTGACACTTGATAAAGAAGAAAAAGATTTTGCATGGGCGAATACCTTCAATGTATTAAACAATGTAACTGAATGTCAAGATGTAACAACACTACTTGAAAAAGTATTCAAAAAATTAGAGCAAATGTATTCGCAAAGTACTGCAGCCAAAATAATAACAACAAGATGGACAATAGGATTCGTGAAATACGAAAACAATTGAAGAAAAACAGCAGCTAAAACGAAGATTAAGATATATGTGATAAAGTTATCGCACAAAAAATTAAGTCTAGTCCTAGCTCACAATATTGATATTAAAGTGTTGAAAAGAATCTCTAAATAATCTGGGTTCTATTTTACTTTTGACCTGAGCAACTTGGGGTCATCATAATTAACATGCCAAAATACATACAGAACAAACAATCTTAAAGACAATAGAGAAAAAAAAATGACATCGTTCAAATAACAGTAGAACAGTGGTAAAATTATATCTTTCGCCTGTTTTTAAATATAATATGAGTGTTTTTAATGTGTATTCTTAAACGTGCCTTCGAAGCGTACCTCTCTCCACATGTCACACATCCGTACGACTTTTCACCGCAAATAACTCCTGTAACGTGTCTGTTCAAATTGCTTTTTTGGCTGAAAGCTTTTCCGCAAATTTCGCATTTGTGCGGTTTTTCATTCGAATGAACATCCTTTACGTGTCTTTTTAGATTACCATGTTCCTTGAATGAGTCTCCACAAACTTCGCAACTAAAGGGTTTTACATTGGTGTTCTTAATGTGTCTTCCCAAATGTGCCTTTGTGGAAAACATCTCTCCACATTGATCACAACCGTATGGCTTTTCATCGCAAAACACTCCTGTTTTGTGTCTGTTCAAATTGCTTTTTTGGCTGAAAGCCTTTTTACAAATCTCGCATTTGTGTGGCTTTTCATTTAAATGAACATCCTTTACGTGTCGCTCAAGACGGGATGGGTATTTGAAGGCCTTACCACAAAACTTGCATTTACATTCGTTCCTGTCCATACTTCATCAAGTCGGTGGATTAACTGAAGTGATCAATTTTCGCTATATACATTTCACTATATTTTATTACCCTCAAAGCAGCTAGAAAACTAATGTAAAATTCACACTAGATTTATTATCTAAAAAAAAAAGCAATTTTTGTGGTAATTACCAAGTAACATAAAGCGAACTGCAAGTCGTTTTAAAGCATATAAAATAGTTAAATAACTGTATACCTACTTTTGGGCCACCCTGTATATATATATGCACATGTAATCTTATCACAAAAATCTCAAACTTTAACGACGATAAAAGTAGGTTAAAGATTAAACAACGTTGTCTAAACAAAAACAAATAACGCTCCCGAAAACTCAATTGTAAATGATAAGACCCCAGGAACGTGCAAATGTTATCAGTCGCATATTTATTACTTCCTAAAATGTTATCTCTGACAGGAGTCGAATTAATTTTTTTTAAAACCAATCGCACATAAAAGTACAGTGCAGTTTTATCTTAGTCCCTTGTGCAGTTTTATCAGCTAAGGTAATACAGTATAGTGATTAACTTGATAACTGTCACTAGATTTCCTTAGGTTCATCGAATTATGACCAGCCTTTTGATTCGCAGATTGACGTCAACAGAAGAGTAGGAACAGGAACACGTTCCTCTCACGGCCGCCTTACGTTTTGCTATAGATTGGATGAAAAGGATAGTAAACTCTGATCCATAGCTAAAACTTTATTGAACAAAACAAAATTTGAAAGAGTTCCCAATTACAGATATTTAGTTTATCATTATAAACAGCCGACACAATATTTTCGGCGAACCTTCTAATAATTGCAACCAGATAATAGTTAGACTTAACATTTAACGACCAAGTAGTCTACTTAATAAAGCATACACAACAGTAAAGACCATTACTTTGCCCTACTTGACATAATCATCAAAAAATTCAAACATGAATTGATAGACTTCATTGTGCAGTCCGCATCTTCTCAAACTGAAGGGTGAATTTAGCAGAAGAGAACTTCACTCGCTTTTTACCTGTGCTCGTATTTTGGAAATTCAGTTGAAAATATTCCTCGATGAAGGTTCCGCACACTCAGTAGAGAACATAAAGAGTAGATGAACGGCGCTGCCGAAGTATGTGCATCAAGATGGCGCACAACCTGAACCCCAACCTTGTACACATACTATGTTCACGTTGTGCGCTATCTTGGCACGTATACTTCGGAAGCACCTATTAACTTATGAAAGACTAAGATAAACGGATTTACTTTCAGGAATTATTGTCACTGACAAATATCAGCAGACACTCGATACATATCGAGGGAAAGTAATAAGACTTGTTTTGTAAAAAAGCAACCTTTGGCATTAAATTTTTTCAGACTGAAAAATTTCAGCAAATTTTAAGAAATGCTACAGCATGCGAGGCCTTTTAACCCTTTTGTATCAAACATATTTGAACATTTCTTTGTTGTTTGTGTTGTAGAAAGAATTCATAAACTTCTAAAGCATGTAAAAATAACATGATCTCTTTCAACGAAATAGTAAGTATATTTGTGAGCTTTCGTTAGATCATGGTCTAACTTCTTCAAACAATACAAGATAATAATTAATATTTATTCGCTATTTGATTAAGTTATATCTTGTATTGTTTGAAGAAGTTAGACCATGATCTAACGAAAGCTCACAAATATACTTACTATTTCGTTGAAAGAGATCATGTTATTTTTACTTATCACTTTAATACTATCTCGTTCAAGCATCCTTGTGGTGAGTACCACATACGGATCCGAAGTAGGAAGTAAACAAGGAGAAAGGACCTGCAGTTCAATACACGATATCCAAGTTCCATTCTAAAGCATGGATGACAATGATGTTGAAACTATGATAACCGTTTTTTAGGAAACTCTGATTATTCTTTCCATGGTGTGTTCACTTCAAACATGAATGGTTTTGTATAATCAGCATTAGCAACGAGATACATTTCTTCGATTGTGAGTTTGCTCTTGATTTCCGAATTTCTTAGATTTGAGAAATTAAACAACCAAATTGCACCACTGTATGTTGTCTGTACTATAGAAACGAGTTCTAGACTTCCAAAATGTGGCAGATAACGATAGCACCAACAAAATTCACACTACGGTGACAAAATTTTTATGAAAATTCAACCTAAAATTAACTGAATTTTTGAGGCTAATTCGGGTTCCAAATTTTGGCAAATTTGATTGAAAAGTTCTTGTTTGTTTTGATGTATTGACTTCATTTCTTTGGCAATTGATGACTGGATTTCTGCAATTGAAGAAAATAATATACAATCAGAAACCTCTATTAAATTTACTTTATTCCTATTGTGTTTTAAATTATTATTCCAACCACTTCGCAAGATGCACCACACTGTTGAGAACTATATACGTACGTACGGTAAATAGACATCCCAACTGCTACAAAAAAATTAAAACATTAGCAATGAAATAAATATACCTTGCTCAACTCCCTCCATTCCAGTAACAAAAAGTTTTATAATCCTTGACTTAATCTCAACATTGATACAAACTTCATTCAACATTCTACACAAACAAGAATAAACCACGGCGTCTTCTTCATGGTCTTGTACTATCGGTAGGTGGTCAAGTAGGACAGGTATTACCTGAAATTTTTGAAAAGTTTGTTTGTCCTTGAGTAAACTGTAATGGGTGCTCTCGTTACGTCACACAGTATGTGTACCAGGTTAAGGTAAGGCCATAATTTTATTCCGATTTTCCTTATTTAAGTTCTATTACATATTCGGGGACTGTCTGTGTTAGCCAAGTGAATATACCCCCTGCCCATAGCTTTCTGTCACTTTACACAACTTGATACCTTGATTAGTTACCTTCATAGTGGTACACATACTTCTGGAGTGCCCTATCAAGAGCCACCAAAGCACCTCATACAACCATGTAAAAGAGTAATCGAATTCGTAAGTCAGAATTTCACACGTTATAAGTTAAAAGCTTCTACCCAAACTTAAAATGTCGACGAAGCGCTCTTACTAATCTATGAAATGGGCTTCACATCAAAATTTGATCCATGTCCATGGCTAAAATAGGTGTCGAGTTTTGTTCTCAGAGTAAATATTTTTTCAACTCAAAGTCAGGATTCAATCAAATTCATTACATATCTATCTCGATCGGTAAGTATATTTTTGGGTATATGTCTGTTTGTATGTTAGACACTTTCGCATGTTACACAATATCTCACAAAAGCGAGGTTGAATCTGCTCCAAATTTTGCATGTGCATTCATCATATCTTGGACCGGAAGCCTATTCTGGATAAATTATGTCGTATAATTAGCGAGTTATTAATTAATTAGAGAAAGGACACGTGGTGTCGCTATTGAGTCAGAACCAAAACCGCAGTTTCTGATTTGGGGGATCCCCACATGCGGAAGATCGATAAGTTGGCGGTCTCCGATCGCTATCTAGTTTTCAACTTCAATTCTGAGTGGATTGTAATTTTTCCCTGACTCGACATAACTTGCATTTTATAACTTTCATCTTCTTTCCAGGCACCAAAATATCATAGCTTACTTGTTCCACTGGTACAGCTTGCCTATTCGCCATCACCATTCTCGCAACTGCTCCAAGTATATTATCAATCACTCCGCGAGACTTCTCGGTAGAAAGCGCCTGGATAAAACAAGATAATTAAATTTAAGCGTTATTTGGTGAATATCATGACTTGCAACCAGGTTCGTGTGGAGACAGAATTTGGCTCTTTTAGTCCACTGCACTCCTCTGTAGAAGTTGCTTGAACAGATGAAAGAACAGGACTGAATTGTATCTTACAGTCCAAAGATATTAGAGCCGAAATACAGTGACTTGCAACCTGAATCTAGCCTGTTTTTTCTCTCCTCCAGTAACATTGTATGTTCAATCGTTATTTCTCCTAATTTTGCATATTATTTTTTACTATCCAAAGTGAAAGAGTCCTGCTGGACACTAACACAAATATATTTCTGTAACGTTCCGTCTGACCAAGGTCAGACTTCTTCAGACATACATAGTTCAACTAGAACAAGAAAAGCAGTTCTATGCATATTTGAACAATCAATGTACTATGGGAGTTACGCATGTGCATGCAAGTGCTTTTCTTGTTATAGTTGAACAATATATGTTTGAAGAAGGTTGACCTTGTTCAGACGGAACGTTACAGAAATATATTTGTGTTAGTGGCAGCAAGACTCATGAATCACTTAGGATAGTTATCTCTACTCTTGCTACAGCATCCTTGCATTATATGCATACGGTTCCACCGACACAAAAAGCATAGAAGAAGGATAAGTAGTTAGTATCGCAGAAACCAAATCATTATTTTACTGAATAAAAAAATAAATTTGACTATGATACCTGAGACAATATGTTCAAAGCTGTTGGATAGAACTGCAAACCTGCTGAGTCAGCATTTTGTAGAACGACACCGATACCAAATATGGAATTGTTACGGACTTCGGTTTCTTTGTCTCTGAAATAAAGGTTGAAAAAATGAGTGCGAGATTCCATGTGCAGGAATTGAAATGAGTAGGAAACTCCAAGTGCAGAACTTAGAATAAACCATTGAAATTTCAAGTGCAGGTCCTGAAATGAACCAATAAGATTAATTATTATCCTCTGATGAGCATTATGATACCTGCACTTTAACAGTTAGCTCACCGTCGTCGTCAAGAAGTCAATGCTTATGAGTCTTTTACTTCTGAATGAGTGCACATAACTTCGCTTTAAGCATAAGATAAAATTTTTATAGTTATCCTGGGGGCGAGAAAAGCTGATAAAAGACCAAATTGTCTAAATGAAAAAGTCTTACTTTGTTAACCCTAATAGGCTAGGCACTACATGACCAACAACATCTTTTGCTGATCCTGGCCCAAGTTTTTGAAACGCTTCTGCAATTGTACCAGCAGCGAAGGATCTTTCAGACGTTGTGCAAGATGGTTTCTGGAATAATAATTCTAATTTTTTTTAAAAGTACAAATACCCTAAATCAGTGGTTTCCAACACTTTTTGGTGAATCGGAAACCCATTGAAACATTTCAGAGAATCAATAAACCCCTGCGCAAGAATTCTATAAACTATAAATATATTCTAACATAGTATATGAATATTTGGATTTGGTGCTCCCAAAGTATGTGAACCAAGATGGCGGACACCGGACATAGTACCAGAGGGTTAGGACCTAATTTTATTTCAATTTTCCTTATTTCAGTTCTATTACGAGTTCGGGGACTAGCCAAGTGACGCTCGTAGTATTTGTACCTAAAATTATGGCCTAACCACAACCTGGTACACATACTACGTTCTGGTGTCCGCCGTCTTGGTTCACATACTTCGGTACCGAATGGAGCAGAAACCCAATGAAATATTTCAGAAGATCGATGAAACACAGTGCAAGATTCTATAAACTGTAAATATATATAAAAGCAAGCTGGCAAGGTATTTGAGAAGGTTAAAATATTGAAGCATGAATAGAAAAAACAAAATATCTCTGCATAAAATAGCAAGTATATTTGCGAGCTTTGTTGGATCTTAGTTACTTCTTCAGACAAATTATCTTCAGTTTGAATTATTGAAATATGGTATATGAATATTCAGATTTGGTACTCCTAAAGTCTGTGAACCAAGATGGCGGACACCGGAATGTAGTAGGTGTACAGGGATAGGGTTAGTTCTATTACGAGTTCGGGGATTAGCCAAGTGACTTCGTAGTATTTGTACCTGAAAATATGGCCTAACCCTAATCCGGTTCTTCCCAGAAACTCGAATAACTCTTATTACCATTTTATTGAGTTATGCCGATTTCGAGTACATAAACCCCTTCTGAAAACCCAAGTCACAGAAACACAAATGCACCTCTTCTTGAAAGTAAACCTAACCACTATATAAAAAAGACTATAACACAAATTACCATAATAAACAAATTAATTCTTCCCAAAACTCAAACATCTAAAACTCACCAATTTTGACACTAGAGCAGGCAGAAATCCGGCGAAATATGGCAGAAAAGTTGTTGCTCCAAGATTGCCAGCAAGGACTGGTAGAATCTCTCCACAGTATTCAATCAACATCTCATCATATTCAGCCTGAAAATCAAAAAAACTATCAAAACAGAAAAAAGTTTGGACTAAACTAAAATTAGTTTTTAGGTTATCGATTGGGTTTTCATGTAACTAATTACAGGGAGTCCTCGGGTTGTGACGGTCGCGACTTACGCTGTTTCGAGGTTACGAACGCACTCCATAAAAATATAAAAGATAATACTGTACTGTAATATCTAAGTGTATGAACTGGATCTTTGTAATCAAGAAAATCAGTGCTCTGGGCTCATTGGTTTTCCTTATTTACATCGTAAATGACGTGACCAATTGCGAACTATTACGATTATGAACGAATAATCGCAGAGCTTCAGTCACATGGTTCACAGTTTCAGTGACACTGTAGTACGCCATTTTGGTTGTTTAGGCCGGTTTTTTTGCCCTTTGTTAAGGATTCAAAGCGTCAAACAGATGTTTCTGATACAGTACGATGTGTATAGAGTAATTTATGTACTGTACAGTATAATGTTCCGATTTACACTAAAATTCGGGTTACACGTCTCGAGAACGGAACAACGTCGTAAGTCGAGGAATCCCTGTACTTATCCTTCTTCTATGCTTTTGTGCCGGAGGGATCCCTACGCATATTATGCACAACTATCCTATGCAGCTATCCTTCCCTTTTACAATAATTTAATACAAATACACAAGAATAAAAAAAAATTATACTGTACTATCCCTTATTAGTTCTGCCTGTCCTCACCTCTGCAGATTCCTGAAAATTGATTAATTAAATTAATAAATATTGTTAACATAAATGCTGTCCTGCCTGAATATTTGGTGCTCCCTGTATGTAACAAAACCAGCCCTAATACATCGCTTTTTACCATTATTACTAAGTACGAAAAAGACTTCATGTTTGAGACCGATTGCACTAATGCAGTGGTCGGCAACCTACAGACGTCTCACAGAATTATAGTAACAAAAAGGGGTTTTGACGATTATATTCTGTACGTTACAGAATTTATTGTAAGACAAGTGTAGACTAGATTATATTATAATCTAACAAGTATAAAATTACCAAGTACTCGTTTATTGAGCCAATAATTTAACTATAATTAGACAAATGGCAACAAAACGCAGAAAAGTTGATGCTAAAAGCAAATGGTTCGAATGAGGAAATAAATCTATATTCTATTCGGGAGATGTATCACTGCTTCATTTTTATTTTAAAAAGTATCATCCGTTCGGTTTTCAACTTTTTAGAAATATGTGCCGCCAGCCAATTTCTTGCAACCTTTAATTTTGGCCCGTGAGCGATGAAAGATTGCCGACCCCTGCACTAATGTGTACTTAACCAAGGGGCAAACCCAAGAGAGTCTGCAGCTCGGAACCCTCTCTTTCGAAATGTAAAAAAAGCAGTTTTCTTTATTGTACATAGCAAAAGTCGAAGCTTGTAACGCTTTTCAGATCCTAGAGACTCTCAAAAAACTCAGGTTTTCATACCCGTGATCTGCTGTACTATTTTCTTGTAATTTGTGCCTGTGCTATTTATTTATTTTTTACTGGTTGGAAAAAATAAAAATGAACTAACTACGGTCTAACTTGGCAATTAGAAATATCACAAATCCCACTTTGAAATTTCCTGGTTTCGCCTTGACCTAATCATTGCTTCTCTCTCTGCCTGTTATTGGATGTACTGACTGCTAGGGAACTACAGCGAGAATGTGAACAGTTATGTTGATCGTTTCAAAAGTCTCACATAGTTTATAAGTAGGGCTGTCCAAGCGAACCGAGTATTCGAAACTGAATCGAATCTCAAATTATTCGAATCGCTAAAATTAGGTACATAAAGCGGAAAAGGCTTGAAACCACCTTTGCAAGACGTTTTTCATGGACAAGCGGCGGCGCTTCCAGCTCAGACCACTCTCGCTCCCCGCGTAATTGGTTTCCCGATATTTCTCTCGCCATCATAACAAAGCGTGTGACCCTCTTTCATAAATCTGAAAACATGGTATTGCAAAATACCAACATTAAGTCAGATGTAAATACACATACGTTACCACAACATCGAAGGACATGCGTTCATTGAATAATAGAGTCAGATTTAGGATTGCGCAATAATATTCAATTATTCGGTTCGATTCGGTGAAAATATTCGATTCAATTCAAATCAAAAAATTATTCGATTTTGGACAGCCTTATTTATAGGGTGTGTATAAATGAGTATTATAGTAATAAAAAAACTGGAAAAAAACTGAAGAATTAGGTAATACTACAGCAAGTAAGTGCAAAGTAAAATTACTCCCCAAAAAGGACAAAATTTTCTTCCTAGAGAGGAATAGGTTGGGTAACCTTGAACTAACCTCTTGCACATCATCTTCATCATCATCGCCATCCTGACAGGCAGATTTCCCGCTCATTACTAGAAACAATGGAGCCATCAAGTCCTAAAAATGATATATTCATTTACGACAGTGGTTCCTAAAGTTAATAAACATGGAGCTAAAACTAGTAGTGGAAGAATATTTGTGGACTGGGAAAGAGAAGGGGTGTATAATTAAGATACCATATATTTGATTGTTTCGAATATGCTTTAACTGTGATAATGAAGTAACAATTGGCAATCATATTCTTGCATGTATTTCACATTTATAGTAATTCAGATGCAATTGGAATGTTTTTGTCCTATTGCTCTATAAAGAATCGGTAGCAAGGCCGGCCTTAATTCAATATAACAAGAAGTGAAATACCACAGTCACACATTATACTGGTGTGGGACTAGGGAAAGCAGTGCTGTTACTGTGTTCATGGCATAACAGTACAACTGTTCCCTGCTTATTGGACATGTTTAGTGGACATAACGATTGTTTACTCGAAAATACAAAGTGTTAAACAATTTCACTCAAGTTCGGTGGGACATATTAAACCATTATGTAGGCATAATTGACCTGAGGTATGGAAACCACCAAGGTCATTGAAATTGAAAATGTTAATTATTTTCGCTAGATTGTTAATAGATAATTAATATTCAAAACGACACTCATATGGATACCTTGCTTTTTATGCCGTTTTGCCTGTTGCTTTTATTACTGCAAGACTAAGAGATAGCCGCATTTTTATGAATTATGAAAGTGTGAGAACCACTACACTGGGCCGTCGCCATAAATATTATCACCTTTAATGAATCCTGTCCTTTCACAAAGCAATCCATCCCACAGCATTCAATCATCTGATTGGCCGTTGCTATGGATCCCATAACAACCAATCTTTCGGTGTCTTTCACCAAGGTTTTACAGATGACAGGAAAAATTTGAGATACAAATGATGGAACTGTAAAGCAAAACAAAACACATTTAAATTTACGGTTTGGGGCTGGCCTGTGAGTAGAGTCGAATAATTTGGTACTTCCAGTAAAGCAAGAATTTTTCAATATGGAATGTCCAAAATTTCTGAATTGAGCATGATTAATAAGGGAGAACTTATGGGGATACAATTTTTCAGTTTATTTCATATTCAATTATACATTTGATTTCAGATAATTATTTCTTTTTGAACATTTCATTACATATAAATACATATTGCAATAAAAATAAACAAACAACTAATACTCATGAAATATAATCGAAACGGGGCGAGCAAGACTTCAAGGTCAACAAGGTCGACCGACCCCTAGATTTGGTTAAGTAGTTTTCTGCAATCATAGCGGAGCGCGTTCAATTGTGACTAATGTTGAACGGTCAAAGTGACAGTCCTTCATATCAAAATTTTAAATTATGAGGTATGGAATGCCATGCAATATGTATGAACTAATTATTGGACATGAAGTCGACGTATGGATCGTTTTGTTATTATGTTCTTGTTGGAATCATGTTAATATTTCTCTTCTTCATCTTGTTGTGGAAAAAGTGGAACCACTCAACATATTGCTTTGGAATTTTCAGCGGTTGAAGCAATCCTGTCGCACTGATTATCACAAACCTTACAGTGTAATCAGAGAAGGAAGTGTATTCCAAATGTATGGCACGATGCGCCAGCAGAATAGCTTGGTAATTGAAAGAAGGTTAATTCCATTTAATATAACATTACTCACAATTTTCATTCTTCAATTTATGAGCGCACATAGTTAATTCTCCAGATGAAGCAATGGCTGCTTTTCTGACATCTGAGTGAGGGAAATCGACTAGATGGTAGACCTGGAGAATAAGACGTTTTCCAGTTTTCGAAAAAAATATTCTATATTTTATCTTTTATTTTATTTCGGATTTTGATTGGTTTTGGACATCGAACACCGTCTTAACGGGCATTTTATCGTTGCTGAGAAGAAACATGTCAAGAATTTTGCAGTAGTTGGAATTTCAATGGCCGAAACTTATTTTAGAGATGAGTCTCCATAACTACTGAATGAGTATGTAATCCATATCTTTCAAAACATAAATTTAAAGATAAAAGGCTCTTCAGGATGTCAAAGCTATCATTTTCAATAAACTTAAACGCAGGATAATTACCACAGAAGAACATTCACCGACCTCTTCAAATGCAATCTTTAAATACGGCGCACACTCAGCATGGTATGCTTAGCAATCCCTCAAGACAATGGTGCGTAAAGCAGCACCGGAATTCTGACAATAACAGTAGTTTCTTGTGATCTAGTGGTTGGTTGCACATAACTTTGCTCAGTAAAGAGTCTCCTTCACTTCTGAGTGAGTATTCAGTGTTCTTTCAGTGGTAGCGTGTAATTTTTCCTCAGAGATAAGTCTCCTTTACTTTTGAGTAATATCAAAACCACAATTGCAATCCATTTGAAAAAACAATAGTCACAAACCTCTTCAAATGCAAGCTTTAAATACGGCACAAACTCAGTCTTGGTATATTTTGCGATCTCTCCAATGGCTTCACAAGCATCAGACTTCTCATCCATGTATGAATTGCCAACAGAAAAGCCTTCAATGTCCTCATCATCATCGTTCTCCTGGTAGAAGAAATTGAATTTTTATTTTTTATGTGTTTCGGTTTCATTTCGACTGTATCAGTGGTTCTAAAACTTTTTGAGCCTCGCCGCCCCCCCCTTTCAAGAATTTGTTTTCAAGAATTTGTCGAGTTTCGCACCCCTCTTTAAATAATAATCAGCTAATAATAAGCTACAAATAACAGATAGTAAGGTGGAATTTTGTTTTATTCAAATAACACTTCAAAATAAGTGAATGGAACGTAAATATCCAAAGTGTTGTTATTTTTTCAATGCTCTGAACAATGTTATGCTGTTCCTCTGCCAATACAGTGCTGCTATCGATTCCACTATGTTACTCTGCCTTTTTGCTTTTGTGTATTTGCATATTGAGAGGTGATCCACAAACACAACACACACTTCTATGCTGATGTGGTTCAGAAAATGTTAGGCATATGGATAGGATTTACATATTCGTTTCGGGGGAGAGAACAGCCGATAAGACAACTTAACCATTATGGCGAACCACGGCACCTCGACGGTTACCAGTCCATGTTGGGTATGGGATTAGTTAGTTATTTGTTTTCGAAAGCATGGACTTGATGGTGGAGGAAGCTGTAAATGAACATCACATTCCCTGCGCAATTTTAATCTTGAACCGTGGAAGTGGCGCAAAGGCATGACCTAATGCTAGGCACAATATGTCAACCATCAACCATTTGCAAAGTCCTGTCAGAGCAACTCCTACCTGTGAATCTGCCTCAGTAGTCAGATCAGTATCTTGATTACTGTCATCCAAGAATGAGAAATCCTTTGAAGAAGTTCCATTAGTTTCTTCGTTATAGTGAGCCTAAAAAAAGGCAAAATTTAGGTTTCCTGCAAACGAGTGTTTAGTTGATCTGACTTTTTCCAAGTTTGCCAAAAGAAAGATTACCAGTAAAAGTACCAGACCTGGTCGTGCATGGTAATAGTTGGGGTTAATTATGCTATGTATATCGTCACTAGGGATGTCCGTATCCGAATACTAAACTATTCTAGAATGCTTCTGAAAAAACATTTCGAATATCGTTTAAACTAAATTACTAGAACCAAAATAATACTTCACAAGTGTTTCAGTAACTTTATTTCCCAACTCAAGTGGGTGAAATGAACATGTGACATAGTCTGTCAAACTAAATCTCCGAGAAAGTTATTTCTCTGAATTAAAGAAAACATACTGTTGCCATCACAAGCTTCTAATCAGAGCTGGGAAGCTGATTCTTAATCACAGTGGCGTTAGCTACAGCTCCAGGGACCACAGTTCCTTTTTAGAGCTCCTGAAGTATGAGCATGGCTCACAACCTGAACTCTAAACTGGTACACATAATAATGTTCATGTTGTGTGGCATCTTAGTGTGCATACGGTGCGCATACTTCAGGAGCACCTGTTTTTTCATCTTGGAACTAGACTCAAGCTCAGAACTCCTTACCTATATAGTTTTTAGGATCGACAAAAAACATGGAATATCAGCCCAGATAAAGTTTCATGGGAGCGCGTCTCAAAAGTAAGTAGTATACACTTTTAATTTCGATTTGCTTTTCAGGTTCACATCGTTCATTTCTTCAGGAAACATAGTATGGATAAGTAGTAGTAAGATTTAGGTATTGTTCCATTTTTGTCAACTCAGAATGAAATGGAGATTAAGGTGCAAAATTGTTGTTTTCGCGTTTTAAACCGAATTTGGCCCCGACACGACGAACACTGTTTTCATCGTAAAGCTATGGAAATCGTAAGCTATGTAGTTCATGCACAAAGATCAGAGAGATTATTAAGGGTGGGATGGGACGTACTGAGGAAAGCACCCTGAATCAATTTCAAAATTCTTTGAGTTTGACGAGTTTGCCTTACTGATTTTTATGTTTCTTGCCTTAACAGCAATTTTGCACATTCTTTTTTTGAGTCATTCTGTGGGATGATGAACAGTACCTAAATCTATGTTTTCTGAAAAAAATTAACGATCTATGACGAAAACCTAAACGCAAATTGAAATTAAAAAGTGTATACTTACTTTTGAGACACCCTGTATATAAATTTAATTTAATATTCTAATCAATATTATTATATTGAAGTTAATAGAAATTTACGAGCCGAAAAAGGTAGATTTTATTATTATTTGTGTGCGACGATAAAAAAAATTTAAGTCAAAAAATAATTAATAAGATGGTTGGGAGTGGGAGCTACTAAAATTTCTCGGGGCTATAATCTAGCACCATAGTTTCAGACTTCCCAGTCCTGCTTGTCAATCAAAATAAGACACTTTGAAAATTAATAAAATGAGACATGAAACAGAAACATTTTGAAATTTATGTGCACACATGAATGTATTTTCATAATAAATCCTGGTTGCAATGTAAAAAATTTAGAGCTTCTACATGTTTTCCGGTTAATCTGGTTCGAAGTTTGCCTATTGTGAGGCCGGCACTTGAAAACACCCTCTCTGCTGGTGCGGAGGTTGCCGGTATGCAAAGATATTTTTTTGCGAGAGCAAATAAATACTCTGCCTCTGTGCGATTTTCACTCCACCATTCCATAGGAATAGCATTGCCGCCAATTTTCTTCTGGATGTACCAGTTTATTTGTCCTAAAATCAAATCTTCATTGTTGGGAGAAGAATCATCGCTGCCATCAGAAACCTGCCCAGATTCAAGTATGTCTGAAAAACTGCTTTTAGCATTGGGCTCATCACATACTGGTGTTGGTGTTGGTGTAACAGTTTCACATGACCCAGCTTGATCGTGGCCCATATCCTCCATTTCAAGTTTAACTTTAATCTGCAAATATAAATGCACTGACAATAGAATATAACAATAGATAGGTCGCAACCTGGTATTTGACCTATTCGACCTAACTTCGTTAATCCATAAATCAGCAAAGGCAGGTTTTATGAGTTATACGATACTCGTCAAATCAAAGAAGTGACTTAAACAAAATGTAGCCGCATAAACAAGCCAGACCTCTATTTTCACTTCATAATTTTGTAAGCCATATTCACGGGTCTTTTTGACAAAAGAATACAAAATTTGTACCTGGGCAATCTCGGATCTTGTAAAAAATCTGGATCTGTAATTTGGATCCAGAAATGTGGCCAGTTTATATATATCATGAGCCACATTGCTGTCAAATCTGGTTTTTAAAGAACTGACAAATGCTTCTTTGAATTTGTTTTGGAATGTTCCATCTTGTGTCGGCCTATAGATTTTGTGCAGGCCACGCACCATGGGTATAAGGCACGATATGGTCACATATTTTTCCCCCTCTAATGCAGTAGTAGCAGTCTGAAATTAATTAAAATGGATGGTTTAGGGTTTTGGTACTGATAAGTCAAATTTACAAAGCACAAGTAAATTTCACTGAAGTTCTATGTCAATTTTGTTTATTGTTACAGAATTGAGTAAATCTCAGTGAATCTCTTTCAATATTATCAATACCTTCAAATCTTCCAACAATTTCACCAGTTTTTGGCAAATTTGCCAGTACTCGTCCTTCATCTCCAATGTGGCTGCCTTTGATATGGGCAGAGTTTGTAAATACTGCCTTATCACCCATTGATGGTTACAAAGATTTTTCAGCATATCATGTGTTGAGTTCCAGCGCGTGGTGCAGTCCATGGATAACTCTATGGTCGGTGGAGTATCTGGCTCCCTGTTGGCGGTATATCTTTTTCTGATTTCGTCCATTGCCTTTGGGGAGTGACGGAAGTGCTGTACCAAGTGCCTCGCAGCTCCTGAACACAAAAGAACTTGGTTTCGCATTGATGTAGTGTAGTAAACATTAAATGAATCTAAAAATCTACTGAGAGACGAGCAGTATCCAGTAGGTAAGAGTTTATATGGCTATTGGTGAACCAATTCATAATGCTCCTAAGGAATTGATGAATGGATACAGATGAAAATGACAGAATAAATAGCCAATCAGAGACATTACTATTAACAGATGGCCACCGTTCAAAAAAAGTAATTAGTAAGAATTAATAAGTAAGTTACCTATTGCACGCTTTATTGAAGTCTCACTAAGGCAGTCTTTGATACAGAGTTGCAAAGTATGAGCAGCGCAGCGTATGTGGTGCAAACACCACCCATACTTTTCCTTCAATACTCTAATAGCCGATATCACATTGGCCCCATTATCAGTTACAACTGCAACAACTTTACTGGGGGGTATCGCAAACACTTCCATGGAAGTACAAATCCACGAGGCGATGTTCTCTCCAGTGTGGCTGTCAATAACCTAGCAGGTAGCCAGGACATAACTTTTTATGTCACGGCCCGCCCAGAAATGGCATGTTATTCCGATGTAGGACTCCATCTTGGGGCTAGACCACATATCCATAGTCAGAGCCATATTTTCAACTGATTTGAGAAAGTCAATGAGTTTGAGTTTACAGTTTACATATCTGGCCTCTATTTCTCGGGTAAAAAATTGACGGCTCGGTATTTTGTAGTTGGGCTCTATATAACCCATCAACTTCGTAAAATTGGTACCGTGTACCATATTTACAGGCCGCATGTCACCTACTATCATGTTCACCAACAAAGAAGTGATTTTAGCATCCCCTTGTTTGTTGAGTGGCCTTTGACCAAATTGAATCATTGTCATTTGGCCATGTGAAGAAGACGTACTGGTGGAAAGTTCTTCTGATCTACCCAAGCTAAAATAAACACGAAATATTTAGTCAGCATTGTGACAAGAAAGGGCGTCCAGTGCAACACTTATGAGAGTATTTTTGTGATAAATGAGTGAAAACTGTGGTTTTTCTGTTCTGTTTATCCAGGGGTCAGCAAACTATACTATGGCCCAATAGAATCCGGCCGGCAGAAAAGCTGTATTGACGATTGCCTCTGTGTACCAGTAACAGAATTTACTTATTTTGAGACACTAAATTATAATATTACCTCAAAACTACTCGTTTCAGAGTCTATGAATTGATTTTAGTTAGACAAATGGCAACATAACGAAAAAAAGTTGTTGCTAAGTAGTGCAAGTGGTTAATGAAGCCAAAAATATTAAAATGCTTGAGGTGTTACTGAAATCAGTGTAAAAAAACATGATTCATTTGCCATCCCCTCAGTTTTTAACTTTATTTAAATATGTGCAGCTCGCCAATGACTTGCAACCTTTAATTTTGGCCCGCGAACAACAAAGGCTTGCTGACCCCTGGTCTATATTAAGCTAACGTCAGAACGTTGATCTGTTTTACACTTGACATAAACTACAGCACTAGTACCTCGAAATAGGGTGCTTCGCCTTCATGTGATTAATTAAACTTCCTGTGCTGTTGCAGTAAGACAATTCTTCATTACAATGTATGCATGTAACTATCAGTTTATCCTCCCTTTCCTTAGGCAATGAAAAATGACTCCAAACATCTGAACTCCTCTTTCTTCCTCGCCTCAATGCCATTGTAGACTATGTTATACTGATACTTCTTATTATATACTACAATATGAAAATGAACTATGTGACTGGATAAACAATCAAAGAAACTAGATCTACCGATATTCATTTCAACAAAATCTCTCTTTCTGCTGCCGCCCGGCACAGTGCCGTATGACTGTACTAGTACCGTAGCTTACTGGCACAGATAAACTCCGATTCCATTAGGCTACCGGTACGGTACTGCTGCACTGCTATTCAATCAAACGACACCGTACCCATCTTTACCTTTAAAACTTCCACCGTGCGTTATGCAGTTATGATAAACTCGCAATAGAAAACTAATCACTTCCATAACAGAGATACCGTACCGGTTGCCTGCACCGTCAACATCAGATTGTCGGCAATAATCGCACAAGTCTGGACATGCCCGTTTCGTTACGCTTGATAGAAAGCAGAGGTCACTATGGTTCACGCGACGGACGATTCAGCACTTTCATTCACTTACTAACGTACTTTGAAAAAAAAATACCGAAAAAGATCGTGCGCGACGTCACAAGTTTTATACATGTTAAATTACGATTAACCGAAATTGGAAAAAACTATTCGAATACAGCTCTAAACGAAAACGAAACGAAAACGGAAACGATAAGGACATCCCTAATCGTCACTGTGAAAGTGGTTTATGTCAATTTTTCAGGAATGATCTTCTGTCATTATTGACCACGGGTCACCTTTTGATCTGTGTTTCCAAGCTGTCTTCGTTTTAGTTTTGATTGCCGTGTGTATATATTTAGGTTTGGCTGTTAGTACTAAACTAATACAAAGAAAAACATTTTTTTTCAAAACCATACATAAGCTAATTTGGTTTTGCTGCAGCGATATGGGCTAGGACAGTGAAGGAAGCCACAACTGTCCAGCGAATACATGAACCAATTGCGTAGGCAGGAATTTTTAAAAAGGAGGGAGCGGGGTTAGACCGGAACAGCTACTGGGAAAAATTGCTATGTATGATACAGAAAAGTGCTTTTTTTACATTTAAAAGTGGGGGTTCCGCCCCGCAAATTCCCAATTCCCAAAATTGAAGGGCTCAAAATTGACTTGGATGTGGTAACAAACAAAACGAGAATATTGGTCGGAGATCTAAGACTTATCGATCAAAAGTTACTTACTTACTCTTACTCCATAGCGACACCGCTTGTCACTAGGCTTGTACGTAATTTACGGATTTATTTCGAGTTACGGAAGCGAAGTTACGAATTACGTAAAGTCGTAATTATTGGTCGAGCGCTTTCGCGATTGAAACGAGCTTACTTCAGAGCAGTCAATTCCGTCGATTGTAAAAAATTAAAAGTTTAAGTAAAAGAAGTTAGAGTTCTGGTATTCACAGCCGTTTTTCTCTCTTGTTACGCAGATGGGGAAGGCATACCGTGCCATTTACTAACCTATTATCAACTTATCTAGCATAGCCAATGTACATATTGACCGTAGATAAGGGATAGAATTGTGCTGAGACCGATGGACGCCAACACAGTGGTTTCAACTTCTTCGGGTGAAATGACTTAAGAATGTAAGAGATCAACTTATAGAACATGGTCTATTTGTAAATGCTGTGATAATTAATGTCGCGCTTATCAAACAGCAATATAAAGACGGAAGAGAAATTGCGTAATGAACCAACGCAACCTAGTCTTTTCGGCATCGGTAAAGCGATTGAGACGGCAGAGAAACAACAATACGACGCGATTTCCGTGTTTATTCTGCGCCAGATCCATTTTCTATTACAAAATCTCGATATTCTGTTACCATTTTTATCGTTATATATCTGTCCGGACTTGGCATTGCTCAATATGTTTTTCACAATGCCTCGCAATATGTCGGCCAAGTATGTCGGTCAATCTTGGCAAATAGGATTGTCGACTTCAGTTAGAAAAATAAATTAATATTTTCATGAGTGCAAAATAAATGTCACAAAATGCATTGTTTTGCGATATAACTTTGTATTTTCGGAGAAGGCATGTCATATAAGTACAGTATTTTAAATTATACGCAAATAATTTATATTTGATCTAAATTTATCGCAAATAATGTTATAACATTTAGGCCGCGAAATAATTTAATGTAAAATGAAGCATGGAAATCGAAATATCGTCAATAAGTCGGCATCAATAATTATTATCAAATACTAACCAAGTAGTAAAGTTGGATATTGTAAAAAACGGTGAAATAACAAGTCTTCGTCGCGAGGCAAGCAAAAGTATAATCAAACGAGAGAATACGCTTGTAGTTGATTAATAAATTAGCAACCCGGAATTTTTATTTAATACGAAAGTCGTATTAATACGTTAATACGATTTTAAAAAAGTCAACTATCGTTTCATAAATATATTACCAGTGTTGGTAATGATAAAATTGATCGCATAAAATTTGGTGATAAAGGTAAATCAAAGCTAATACAAAATATAAAAATCAGAATAAAATTATTTTGAATTCACTCCTTGATATTTGTCTTTAACATCTGTCGCCGGCGTGTAGTACTGCCGGGAATATGAAAACCAAACTTTGATGTCCCATTCGGAATAGAAGTGGATTAAATTTGTCAGTATGATAGGTTTAAATGTGTGAAAAAAATATCGCAATTACGGGGTCATTACGTAATCGATTTTGCCGTAATTACGGAATTGATTTTTGTCAATTACGTGCAAGCCTACTTGTCACATCACTAATTAATTATTAACTTGCTAATTATACGACATAATTCATCCAGAATCAGTAGGCTTCTGGTCCGAGATACGATGAATGCACATGCAAAATTTGGATGTGATTCAACCTCGCTTTCAGACAGACAAACAAACCTATCAACAGACTTACCGATCTTAATATCGATAAGTAACAACTCACCACAACCCCCTCAGTTGACCTTAACGAGTCCAGCATATGTTTCACAATTACATTCAGGAACGGCGACATCTTTTCCTCGACAATTGTAGCTATAGCAGAGAATAATCCATATCTGGAATGGAAAAGGGTTTAATTTTAACCAGGGCTGTGCAGCCAGTCCTAAAGTCGAAAATTTTTTAAAATATATCAACTTTACCTAAAATTTCAACTTCATAGAGAAAAGGCATTTCGAGCTGGTGTCTACAATTAGAATCTGGGGTTATTTTACAAGCATTGGAGTCTGAGCTGTAACTTTTAACATTAACTGGAAATATAACAAGTTAACTTGAAATTGATTATTTGGTGTCTACGAGACTAACTACTTATCCTTCTTCTATGCTTTTGTGCCGGTGGATCCGTATGCATATAGTGCAAGGATGCTGTAGCAAGAGTAGAGAACAATCCTAAGTGATTCAAGAGCCTTGCTGCACACTAACACAAATATATTTCTGTAACCTTTCGTCTGACCAAGGCACGCAAGGTTAGGTAGGACTTAAGTCAAAACCCTACTTTCAAGAAACAAAATAATTATTTGGCAAAATTTATTTTGGCTAGCACATATATAACATGGTTCCCGGAAACTGAAACGCAGTTTTTCCTACTCACCCACTCTCCAAATACAAAAAATTATCACTTAACTTGGGATTTCCCCAAACTCATTTAAAAAACTATCAAGTCTATATGTGAACTCCTCCCTGCCCATATAAAAAAATCGACTTACGCTGATCTCCTCATGTCAGGATCGTTATTCTCATTTTCCAGTAAATTCATTCCAAGTTTTAAGCAATCTTCAGCGAGGGGAAGAAAATTGTTTTTACCAACAGTTCTTGCGAGGACACCTAGTGTATCTAAAACAAAATTATTCTTTACTTTAAATTTATACGGTAGAAGAAAATAAACAGAGCATGCGGTTAAGGCTCCAGATTACATTCTTACCTAAAATAGTAGTTGAAACCTCATTTGAAATAAAAACGAAAGTGAAAAAAACAGGGTGATTGTGGTAAATAACTTGTTGGAGCAATGAAAAGGCCAATAATGAAGAACATAAACATGGCATTAACCAGTTCTCAACCTTCTTCGATAAATTCTCCCTTTGCCTATTTCAGGGTCTGTATTTCTCTCATAAAAACTCTGCTTCTATCATTCGTTCAACTTTTGAAGATTCTCCGCTAGCGATACAAGCAACTCTGGCTTTTGTATAGTTTTAATTGTTTTTAATTTGTCCATAAATATAAATTACAATAATACTAAATAAGTGAAAAAAAATTACTAATATTATACTAAATACAAAGTGATACTTTTGTATCCCCGCCAAAAAAAAATGAAAAACAGCAAAATATCTCCCTGGTGGGAAAACATACCTAATGTTTGCATATGCAATAATCCTAACTTTTCTGCCTCCTCTTCATTTTGCTGAGTCGGGGTTTGTCCATTTTGCTGATTCATGGTTGGCAAGCAAATTCTGAGTTGACTCAAAATTTGTCCGAGATATGGCAGAAGGTTTTCTTTGGCTGCATTAGCTGGAATAAATAAAAAAAAATATAATCTTGGGCGATGGTTTTTAACATCTTATGGCTTGTGGCGTTCTTCTGAAGAATTTTATCACTTATGACCCCCTGTTTATCATTCCAGTGGTATTATAGGATGGGATAGGATTTACATATTTATCCCGGGGGAGAAGAAAGCCGATAAGATGGCTTAATCATATGGCGAACCACGGCCTCTCGTCCGGTTACCATTCCAAGTCGGGTATGAAATTAGTTATATTGTTTGTTTTTTCAGAAGCATGGACGTAGTGGTGGAGGAAGCCGTAACCGACCAGCGGTTACGTGAACCACCCAACAACGGCGAGGAGTCCAGCAATCCTTTCGCACATAACCATCCCTGCATGGGATTCGAACCTGCGAACCACGCAGAGTAATTAGAGGTGCGGTGGCGAGCGTATTCCTAACGCTTAGCCCGTTGAGCCACACCAGTTATAGTGTTAATAGTGTTATTTAAAATGGTAGATTCAAATCCCATTATGTTCAAACAATTAATGCTCAACAAAGTGAAAGCATGTGAACTAACCTTATCAAGTCATAAAGCTAGGGAGAACGGGGAGTAGTAAAAAATAAAATCTGTTTTGCGACTAGCATTGCGGCCCCCTTTAAACTGCTCTGCGACGCCCTTGGGAGGCGACAGCCGCCCAGTTGGGAAACAATGATCTGGATGGAGGTCATGGAGCGTTCTCTGGAGGCCACAAGCAAACAACATTGGAAATGACAACATTAATTTAAAGTGAATTGACTGTGATTAAATCAAATCTTTAACTGGTATGCATTTATTCTTTTGCTTTCGCTTTTCTATTATTAAACATGGCAAATAAGATAAGGCATGAAACACAATAAGAGAAAAACTAGATTTTTTTCATAGAAGAGCTGAGATTCCTCAGAAAGAAGACAAGCTATACAGTTGTATTGACTTCCATTCCTCCTTTAAATACCTCATATGTTTACAAAAAAAATTGAAACTTTCACAAAATTTAAATCATATGCTTCTTACAAGCCGTTCACGTTCTTCTGTGGATGAAACTGGCAACACCACTCGTCTAAGAGGGATTAAAATATCTATAATTTTTTTTTGACTCACCTACAGCTCCAATTGCACTGACAACTAATTCTCTTGTGTGAATCTTTTCGCAAGTTTGTAAAGTTGTCAGTAGATGTGACATCAATTGTTCGAGATAAGTGAGAATTTCATCATCTGAAAAGAAGAGAGTGATATATCGTTATTGCCCAATGCATGTAGTCACTCAATCCAGCAGTTTCCAAATATTTGTTCTACGGCATCAAATTATCAGGGAAAAACTCATAAAGGCCTAGAGCAGGGGTTCTCAACCTGGGGTTCGCGAACCCCCAGGGGTTCACGAGAAGATTTCCAGGGGTACTTGGACGGCAGTCGAGTTTTTGTGTGTTGCTGTTTTTTAATATCCTTTATTACTATCAGAGAAAAATGTGTGTCGATTGAAACTAGACGCCAATTGAAACGTAGATTTTCCCTGATGTTGCGTTGTTGTGATTGTGACGTAAGAATGTGAAATTCACGGCTTTGCAGGCAAACTGTGAAATCTTATAAAACAGCGAGCTGCAAGCATCGGAGAAAGTGATTATGCTTATTAAAACTTGGGAGAGATTTTAATAATTCATTAGTTGGGCGGAAAACAAGGGTAATAATATCAGCATGAAGATTTAATTTAGTTACATCTAGTCGATAAATTGTTGTTTCAACAAATCGTTAGTCAGTATATCACAACTTTGTTCGGTGTCTGATTACCGGGGGTTCGCGTTGATTGTTTCGTGACTCGAGGGGTACTTGACAGAAAAAAGGTAAAGAACCCCTGGCCTAGAGAATGGATGGCGAAAGGTCAACTCTTCTCATATTCTCTAAATTCAATTCAGCAAATAAATGAACTGCAACTCGCAAAATTGCAGACAATTCTGGCTCAGTATCCTGATTTCATGTTGATAAATATTTCGAGTCGTATCATGGCAACCTACAGATTTGACTTCAGTTTCAGCTCCAGAACTTGAATTCAATTTCCATTTATTCGTAGTCAAAAGTGACCCCAGAAATTTCAAACTCACCCAAATTTTCAACAAAATTTTCCACAGCATAATAAGCTCTAGTAATTCCTTTGTTTGATTCCGGAGTTTTCTTCAAGATTTCAAAAAGTAATGGCATGACTTCCGACGAAAACTTGCTGATATCAGGCTAGAGATAAAAAATCTAGCTTAACGTGGAGCGATTTTCTAATTGTAATTATCTAACCTAAGTGATTCAAGTCTTGCTGCACACTAACACAAATATATTTCTGTAACATTTCCCTCTACCAAGATCAACTTCTTCAAACATACATAGTTCAACTACATCAAAAAAAAGCAATTGCATGCATACTCAAACAATCAATGTGAAACTATGAGAGTTATGCATGCTAAATAATTAATAAAAAATCGACACCACTAACATCGGCCTTCTTTTCGGCTTCCCTCGCCATAAATATTTACATAAATATGTAACCCTATCCTAAATACTTTCTGAATTAATATAATTGAATATTTCCATCTAAATATGATGATGCGAACCTGCAAATGCTCTGAAAACTGCCCGATAGCAAATAGTGAAGCCGTCCTTACAACCTCATTCTCATTGAGTGAGGCCCGACATACAATCTCCAGAAACTGTTTCAAATGACTGAAAAACAAAATGGGCAAAATTCAATAACTACTTTATAAAATGAGAGACAATGCCCAAAAATTATTATGTACACAGAGGTTGAAGGTTAAAGGTTCAATATTGCCTGGCCAATGCAGTTATTATAGAATCGCCGTTCAAAGAGAAAACAGTTTTTTGATTAATCCTTCTTTTTCGATCGACCTGATCAACTTTTAATACCTCTCACAAAAAATGTCATATCTTTTTGTTCAAACATGCCAGAAATTTCACTCAAGTATCGTTGGAAAGCTTGTTTTTGTCTCCTTCAAACAAACAAAACGACAAACTGTCGTCAGAGACATGCAAAACATTTTCTCCTCACCCTATGGCGTCGATATAAGTTAAATTCAAAAAATTTTTGAGAAGAAGTTTTCTAACCATGTGCTGTGGTAAACACATGCCAGATTGAAGAAATAAAAAATGCTCGCGAAAAAGAGCATTACGTCACTATTAAGACAAATCCTGGTCTTTTGAAGTGAAGCTAAACGAGAGATATTGAAAAGAATATGTTCACTAATCAATAAAATTTTTGCATTGATTAGCTTGTATAATCAAATGTCTGTCTCATTTTTGAGACTTTCCAATCTTAGCTTACTTCGCTTTGATAAATTCTGATGTTCCTTCCGCAAGACATGCAAGAGTGAGCACGAGACCTCGTTGATGACTGGGATCATTGCTTGCCATCATTACTTCAAGCTTTGGCATCTGACAGAAAAAGAGAGTCTAAGAGAGAATGTAATCAAGCATGTCCGAAACAAATTGAATTATTTCTGAGAAAATTGTATATAATTATTCGAGCATCGTGATGGCCTAGCAGTTAAAGCGCTAGCATTAACTGCATTGCCATCGCATCTCTGGTCCAAATCCCATGTCCCCACCACACACAGGGGGTAATGAATTGGAGGGCGGTTGGGGTTGGACGGGCATAAAACCACTCCCCAGGGGGCCATGGATACACCCTGTTGGGCCAACGGAGCCACAAATTATGGTAGTTTTCACTGTACATGGAGTCCTCGGGTTATGACGGTCGCCACTTACGATGTTTCGAGGTTACAAACGCGCACTCCATAACGCTGTTTCGAGGTTACGAACGCCCTTTACGAACATATAGCCTACAGATAAAAAAATATTACTGTACTGTAATATATAAACTGGATCATTGTGATCAAGAAAATCAGTGCTCTGGGCTCATTGGTTTTCGTTATTTACATCGTAAATGATGTGACCAATTGCGAACTATTACGCTTATGAACGAATAATCACTAAGCTTCAGTCACATGGTACAGTACAGTACTGTACACGGTTTCAGTGATACTGTACGGCATTTCGGTTGTTCAAGCCGGTTTTTTCGTAACTTGTTTGAGCGTTTTTTTTTTTACTTTTGCCCTTTGATATGGACTCAAAAGCAAAAAAAAGATGTTAAGATACTGTACAGTGTTCGCTTTTATTCACGTGATGTGGAATTGTTTTCTGTTTTTCTAATAAAGTTCTTATTTGCATTATTTGTACATTTTATTAGTGTACAGTACCATACTTTACAATACAGTACGATATTTATAGAGTAATTCATGCACTGTACCACTGTACAGTATATATTCCGACTTACACTGAAATTCGGGTTACACCGAGTCTCAGGAACGGAACTGCGTCGTAAGTCGAGGACTCCCTTTATAATAATCAAATACTCACAATTGCTTTAAATAGTTTCTCAGGTGGGAGATGCAGAGCTAGTTCATCTATTATCTAAAAAGAGAATAACAAAATGTTCAATTCTTTTAATTTATTAATGTAACACGATTTAACAGGAGTTGGTAATTACTTTTCTGAGTGGACGACTTACAGATGAAATAATAGACTTTGTTACTGGTCTGAAGGTTTAAAACTCAATATGAAAAACTATGGATAAAAAAACAGTTTATTTACAAAAGCTTGGCTAATATTTATATTTGGCGCACATAACAGGGGTAATAAAGGTTGCTCACCCCTGAAATTGCATATTTGATTAAAAGGATCCCTGTACAAACCCTCGTTTAAAGTGAAAAACGTATAAAAACATCACAATTCAGGACTTTCGAATACAATAAATATTAACTACTCACATAAACAGCAGCTGATATAGGGTGCTCTGACTCAGCATCTTCAGAAGAAAAGCTGACGTCATCATCGTCAGGAGCTGAGGTGATGATCGGAAAGATACTATCGAGGATTGGTTCGATCAAAGATAATTTGATGACGGCCTGTGGAAGGATAGGATACGATTAACATGTCTATCCCAGAGGAGAGAGAAGGCGATAGGATGGCTTAATCATATGGAAAACCACGGCCTCTCGTCCGGTTACCAGTCCATGTCGGGTATGGGATTAATTAGCCAGTTTTTGTTTTTGGAAGCATGGACTTGACTTGATGACAGAAGCCGTAGACGACCAGCGATTACGTGAACCACCCTACGGCGTTAAGGAGTCCAGCAATCCTCCTGCACAGTTAGCCAGTTATTTGTTTTCAAATGCATGGACTTGAACTGGGATATAAAGGAACTTTATTTTCTGGCAAAACATGAAGCCCACTGTCACTTTAGGTAGATTGCCTTAGCTCTGGTGATAAAAAAACACTATTTGATAACGAACAACCAACTAGTATGGTGCAGGGTGTGATGCAATGCAAAAATATAAATTGCACGAAGGTAGACCACTCTGATGTTCGTTGAGTATCAGAAAGCCCTCACAATTTTTTTAAAACTTACAAAATACAGGATTAAACAACAGGCCCCATAAAGAAAATAACTTTGAGCAATAAATGCAATAGCCTTCTAGGAGACGCACATTTCCAACAATTCCATCAATGTATAATTAATTTGGATTCCTGCCCATTGCCAAATCACCCTTGTCTACTACAGGTATGTCTCTTTATCTAATATCCTAAAATAAAACATACAATTTCTACCAAATGTAACCCAGTCATCAGTCAGAAAAGGTGATCTGACAAACAATAAAAGATGAATATTAAAATAAGTGCAACCAGGCATAATACAAAGCAGGAATATACCAATTCACTTACAGTACATTTAAATGAGGCTTTGTCAGAACAGATAAACCCAATGTTGAAAACTTGGAAAATTGATATTTCATACCCAATGTCTGTAGCACCAATAACAAGCTTCTATCATCACAGGTTAAATATCTATCTTACCTTTTTCTTCAGCTTGATTATCCATCTTAGCAGAGACAAAGCTCTTACTCTCGTGGTGTCTTCTAATTCTGAGTTAGAAGCGATCTAGAAAAAATTTAATCTTAACGAGCTTGTCGTGAACATGACAGTGAATAAGATCCACTTTATTGTTCAAAGCAACTCAGCTTCATGCAAAAGAGAATCAGAGCAAAGTTACGTGCGACGACCGAAATGCCAAAAGATACCATGAGGTACTTTAATCATGTCCTAGGGGAAAGACTTTTTGCATAAAATGGCAATTCCCAGAACCACTTGCATACACTAACAGTAAACAGTGATAGCTCACAACCAAATGGGTACTAATAATATATAACTTTTTTTATATCTGCAATGAGAACAGCACTAAACCCCCCTGGTGAGACATATTCTGCAAAGGTGTCGCAACAATATGCACCGCATGCTCGCGAAGACGATAACAAATATTCAAAGTGCTGATTCTATTCCATCGTCATTACAATACATGACAAAACGCAGAAAATTATTTGAAGATTACCCTCTAAAACGAAACACCTTGCTGACAGTGAAAAGTGACTTTTATTCGGAATTATTCAAAAATTATCAAAAAAAATATTCGAATATTTTGGTATTAGAATCGCTTCGGACATAGCGTTTTGGACCCTGGGCATAGCGCCTGCAAATGTCAATTTTAACTGGAGATCTTGAAAAAACTTTTGAAAAAAAAAGTACAATAACAGTAAAGCTCACAGTCAATAGATAACTGGTTTTATACCTGCAATGAAAACAGCACTAAATCTTTGACATAAGGTGAAATGAAGCTGACTTCCGTTTCAATTAACGTCTCAAATATTTCCATCAGTTCAGAAGCTTTGTCCTGGAGAAAAAAAAAACAATATAATAAATGATTGTTTATTTCTCAATAAATAGTGTTTGTTTGAAAAAGACTGAGTTTAATGAGATGTAGTAACATTTCCGAAAAATATTTATAACAGTACGTCGCTTCAAATAATCATGCTTTTACTTCAAGATGACACAATTTATAGAAATCTGTGGGCTACCATATTGGGGGGCTCAGAGTTTTAAAAAAGGCAAAGAAAAGTTCAGGAATCGCTGCTTTGATTATCATAAATGTCAAATAATAATTATTTCTTACCTCATCAGTTTCAAGAAGTCTCTGAATCACGTTGACACATTTTAAAACAAGGGGACGAACAAGATTCTGAAAAGAAAAATGAAGAATAGCCTTGTTAAAAGAATTATCCTTTTAAGGAAAATAGAAGTCTAACAATATCACTGATCATGGATTTTTATTATCAATGGCTAGTACAAAGCAGGGACATGTCAATATATATCGGTATCGGGTATCAGCAATGTCTGCCATCTGAATCCCAAACATCAATTTCTTTTTATCTGGAATATTCCTTTTTCAAGCTAAAAATTATGTGCACTCTGTATAATGCTCACAGACTATTATTTAAACCTGTCTACCTGCTACCTACTCAAGGTAATACCGGAATATCGGTATCGGAATATCTGCTTATTTGAAATATTGACATATCGGTATCGGCGTTTATCGCTTTATATCGGAACGGTATCGCCAACAAAAGTGGCATTGTACACAGGGATGGCCATTTCCGAATACTAAACTATTCCGAATACATTCTAAAATAATGTTTTCGAATCTGGAATTCCGAATACATTCTAAAATTGAAAATAACACATTTTTGTTTTAGTTGATTAAAACCCAGTAAATTAGGAAATAAGCTTCAATAGAAATATCAGAATGAAGCCACAGACCAACAGTATATGTACACAAAGTAATTGATAGTTTATAGTTATTAATAAAAAATAATAGCAACTTGTTACACAGTCAGTTTATTAAAATTATTCACTTTGTACAAATGACCATATGAAAAGATAGCCAAAGAGTTGTCTGACGCTTTCTATCATTGGTACCATGATATTACGATAATAGTCGAGTCTATTGACAAAAATACTACTTGTATTCAGATAATTGTGTGTATTTTCTGAGAGTAATAAAATTTATTGGCAATACAGGCAATAACAACCGAAAATCCATTATGCCTTTGAAAATTCTAATATTTAAGCCTTGAGTATTCTACTACCTACCAGTATATTTGTATATAAATTTATGTGGGTGCTCCCGAAGTATGCGAACCAAGATGGCGGACATCGGAACGTAACATGGGTAACAGGTTAGGGTTGAGCGATAATTTTTTTCCAATTTTCCTTATGTTAGTCCTATTATCAGTTCAAAGACTAGCCAAGAGCCTCCCGTAGTATTTATACCTAAAATTATGGCCTAACCCTAACCTAGTACACATGTTACATTCCGATGTCCGCCATCTTGGTTCGCATACTTCGGGAGCCCCTTTATGTGAACCATATTGTTATTATGTGTAACATATTGTTGTGTTTGGAGTTAGAAATAAATTAGTAGAGAATAGATGACCACCACTGCCAGCGCGCAGCCAAGATTTTCGAAATCGGAAATTCTCATTGCCGCCTGTAACACACACCGCGATTCCGCGCTCGTTAAAAGAGCCGTCTTCTTGTCAGCGTATAATGATCATTCTGTTACGTAAAATATTCAATCCATGACAACTACGAGATTCTAAAATATCTATATATATTAATTTAATGTGTCCAACATAACTCGCGGTTGCTTCTTCTTACGTCAAAAAAAAACATTACTATTCGGTCCACGGCAATCTGTGACCTAAAATTACGAGATAAACTGCCTGATGTATTTAATTTTAATACGTATTTTTTGCAATCTTGACAACTCGTTGTCGCCGTTAGAAAAATCTCAAATAATTATATAAAATCCTGTTAAGTGTAGAGAATAATTCATTTCATACAATGAATATACATATAAAGTTTAGCAGTAAATTAAAACTACATATTCATCGCCGCGATTATGCCACCTGTTAAAAGAGTCGACTTTTACAACAAATAATATACCAACGAATATATATTTTTTTGTTGTGCAAGGTGATGAATTCGTGACCGATACGGGCATATTTAAAATGTCTTGCTCTTATTAATTTAATTGTCTTCAGTTTAACCTGCGGTTGCGCCGACAAAATAAAATCCTCACCACTCTTATATACCATTGCAATCCGCGGCCATAAAAATAAAAACGCGAGATAAACTGTCCGATTAAATATTGTTTTATCCGTATTTTGCGAATTCGGCAAATATTTAGATGTACTTGTTAACAGTGACTCCGCTCGATCGAAATGCTCAAAGTAAAATATCTCAGAGTAAAATTTATTTCATCACAATAAAATTGATTGAATATACTTTAGATTAAATATATTATATACATCCTCGCAACCAGGGAAAAAGTCGCGTTTCAAACCGTGTATCGTGTTAACCCGAAAATATTCGACGGCAATTTAAAGTAATGGATAATCAGGCAAATCCCGCCCTCAATTAGTGACGATATGTTTCTAAACGCCGACCAATCATAATGTGTTTATTTTCAGTATTTTAAATTGCTGCTTTTCAATCAAAAAGTTGCGTTATCCTCAGAAACGCGTCGCCGATGAACGTATTTACCAGATTCACAATTCCGTGCGCGTACAAAAATAAAATAAAGGTTATTGTTATCGTGGAACAAATTTGTGGAAAATTTTCGTTTTAGAAAAAATAACACAATTGTAAAGGCGTTTACGGGCCTAAATAACACGTTACGCTGATGAGTGATGAAAACAATCACGCGCAAGTTTCTATCGAGAATGTTTTCATTCAACGGAAACGTCTTGAAAGCGGCGTCGAAAATGTGTGACGTCACACAAATATCCGATATTCTTATGAACGTGAATTCCGATATTCGAATGACGAGATATTCGAATACATTCGAATACTTTATTCGAATTGGCCATCCCTGATTGTACATCTCTACTACAGAGTAGTTAGTACCTTTCAATGTGAGGGCAAAATGAAAAAAATATTGTATAAAAGAGAATTTCAGAAAACTGTAACATTAGAGTACCAATCAAATCATTGAACATTTTAAATGTCCTTGTCTTAAAGGCAACAAGTCGTATGTTCTTTATCCTAAGCTCACAACTATTGTGCCATAAAAAAAAATTGGTGAGCAAAGTAGCAAGCAATTTTAGTGTTTCATTTCAGATGACAACAATATGGTTCAAGCAATGGACAACCAAGAGCTTGAACCCACATACTTCAGTTTATAAAGCACACTTACCACATATTCATCACCCAAATAAGGTACGAGAGAGTCGAACGCCTTCACAGCATATATTTCAGTGTTCCCTACTTCTTTTCCAACATTTTCCAGTGTTCCTCCAAGTAATTTTAACAAGTCAATGAAATGGGCTCCTAATGTTTCATTCACGTAATCACAAACAACGCTGACTAGATACAATGTAGTCTGGAGTGGAGAGAATAGAAGAACATGGTTAATACATGCATGTAAAAAATGTACTCCCGTAGTATGTGTACCAAGATCGGGGAGACCGGAACGTAATATGTGTACCAGGTTAGGGTTAGGCCATAATTTTATTCCAATTTTCCTTATTCTAGTTCTATTAAGAGTTTGGGGACTCGCCAATTGACTCCCGTGGTATTTGTACTTATTGCCAAACCCTAACCTGGTGCACATACTATGTTCAGGTGTCCGCCATCTTGGTTCACATACTTCGGAAGTACCTAAAAAATGAGGGCATGTGAAAAGTAGGTATATGCATTTGCGAATACCTGATGATTCCAGAATCTAATCAAATATTTTTTCCAAATCAAAACAAATCTTAAATACTTGTGAGATATATAACTGTATGTGACCCTTTATTTGATGGGTCCTCCAGACACATAAATTACTGAAAACATAGAATCCATCACTCAGTCAGTTTGTTGAGATCAGGGCTGGGGAGCTGGCTCAAAATCAGTGTGGCTCCAGCTCCAACTCCAGAGCCAGAGTATATTCGAGCTATGGCTCCGACTCCCAACTCCGGAGCTTCATTTTTTTAGCCCGGAGCTGGCTCCAGCTCCGGCTCCGCACACTATAATGTATTTGATAGTACCGCTAAGCTTATCATTCACAAAAAGTCAATGCCTCACTGTTATTTATTTCATGATTTTATCACACACTTGGTAAGGGAATCATGAAAAATCAAGTTAACACTTAATATTGTGAGTTTCAATGGATATCTTATATTACCATATTTCCCGGCTGTTATAGACCCCATTTTTTGGCCTGAGGCATCTTATTGGGCAGCTAGGCTTGCTTGATTTCTGTGGCCAACTGATCAGCGTATTTTTCGCAGATGTTTTCTCAAACATGATTTGTGTTAACCGTACATTTGGGTTGATATATTTTATATTGTGAAGAAAAGATTTACATATAGGAACCGATAAAAGAGCTTAACTCTTTGAACTCTGAATCCCCAGAACGATGCTACTCTCTCACCCTGACCTCCCACGGCGGCGTCGCATCGATTTGACGCATTAAAAAATTGTAATATCCCTAATTTCAAATCGAAATAACTTCTAAACCATTAGATATCAGACGGTCTGTAATATGTCATATAAAAGCTTATCTAGTCTTTTATTTTTAACTGGCATTATTTTTCACGAGATGTTTTGATGAGATGTGTAAGCCTATTTTTAGCCCCATCTACTATTTTTTTGTATTTGGGTAATATTTAATACATTTTTTAGAAATGTATCATCAATATAAGTAAGATTTTGAAAAGTAGACAAAATTACCTTTCGAAGAATATACGGATGACTTTCTTAACATACGCATAACTCATTTTATTGCAGAATTTGTACTATCGATTCAAATGGTTTGCAAACAAAATTGATCAACTATTTTGACGCCAAGTTTGCGTAAGGACGCAAAGGACGACGACGACATTGTCGTGATAACGTTCATGCGACGTATCCTGCGTAACTCTTTGTGTGAGGTATATTGCGCAATTGCACATCTGGTCGTCCACAGCTTGAGTGCAGATTGTGTCATCATTGCATCAGTATCATATCCTCGGCCGCAAATAAAACCCTTTCAGACAGTCCTGTAGATTATCTTTCACACGATGTAAAACTTGTCTAAATATAATAAATGGTTCGCGAGATATAAGGTTTCAAAGTTGCATACCTCTTACGGGATGCGAAAGCCGCGAAAGCGGCTTTCAGCGTCAGAAGACTTTCTCGGGAAAGCCGCTAAGCATTTTCTACAAGCGAGAAATTGTATCGTATACATTCCATTCCGACACCTAGGCATGCAAGCCAGCATGTCATGTTTCAGCATTGCTTGAACATGCCCAGACATGTCTACGTGGTCGTTACTGTTAGTTACGTCACAAAGGTAAATTAGCGATCGGCCGATCGCTTTTTTCTTGTCCACAATTGCCGATGTATTGCGCAAGCCACACCTGTACTACAATCAATAATTGCGCAATCCCGATTTCGACTAAATCCACTGAACACACTCCATGTGACCTACCGCGTCGCATCATTATATCGCAGTGCAATTTATGAGACGAAGACAAGAAAACAAATCGCATTTTTTTCGGAATCCATTTTACGTTATATACAACCAAGCTGAGAAAGCCCATGACCTAACCTTATATACGACACTTCAGATCTAAATTCGGAAATATTACATAATATTTAGGGATTCCCAAATAGTCAAAACGCCCCTCTTTGCAATATAGTTTTGTTTTTTACTAGTAGTCGTTAGCGGCAATGAGGTTTTTTAGATCGCCGAAATCAAATTATTCGCAAATAATATTTCTGAGAAATTTAAGTCGTCTGTTTTTTTTTATCTACAAAAGTATTTTTAACACTTGCCAGTAAATACCATTTATTAGAAAAAGAAAAGCAGTGAGGAGTTGTAATCAGGTAATCGTAAAATAGCCGGTTGCATTGGCCACTAATCGACATCAATAAATATTAGTATACATATATATGGTAATTTGATTGTATAGCAAAAAATGAATTAAGTGTGCAACCCCGTTAACGACCGCGACTGCTTGTAGTTCTCAAGCATGAAACTTAAGTTTCACAGAAAACAGTATATCAGAATGCATTACCGCTATTTTTCACGACAAAATAACTTTATCAGTCCATATTGCTATATCAAAGTATTCCGATACTTTTTCAAATTTTAAAGTAATAGTCACTTTTCGCAAGCTGCTTGTTTGTTTCGTTTCCGTGCAAAATCTTCAAACGATTTTATGCACTTTGTCATGTGTTTTTAAGACGACAAAATAGAATTGTTAGATTGTTTGGTATATATATTCATTTTTCAGTGCGCGTTACAGCATTCTTTCACGGTTGCATGGTGGATATTGTCGCCATTTTCGCATTTATTTCCAGTTACGTCGGGAAATTATTGATTATGTAAAGTTATTATTAATAACTAAACGCACTCACTTTTAGAAAACCTTCCCGCAAAGCGTTTATTCTTGCCAATCCCGCGAGCGAATGGAAGTGAAATCAAAATTTGAATATTATTATGTTCACACGTCTCGCTTAGATCCAACCAAGGTCATATATTAAATAAGTTGTTTTCATACGTTTTGTTACGATACCCCAATAAACTTTCGCAAGTCGGAAAAATAAGTTGCTTTATTGGGAAGATTAGGAAAATATAATTTATACTTTTTCCTGCGCTTTGGCGAATAATTTTGTTTATAATATTTAAAAAAAAAAAACGACTTGTCAGAAAATAATTTTCTATTGTGCTAAAAATGTAACCCATTACCGATACCAGCACTTGCCTTATTGTTTTTATTCTGTTTAAAGTAACTCAATGTTGCGTCGACTTACGAAATAATAAAAGCATCTCTGACATAAATGACAAGCTACGGACGTAAAATGTGTGGAAAACTGCCCGATTATAATTAATTTTGATTCATATTTTTGCGATCTTGCCAAATCGTTATCGCCGTTTTAAAATACCAAGATCCGTGATATAATCCAACACTATTTACTTTAGAACAATAGTAACTTGATTACCGGTAATTATACAACTATTTAGTTCTGTTAAGTGTTTGGAGACGCCAGAAATTATAGAATTAAAATCAGCGTAATTATTATTTCTCAACCCTAGAAATTATTAAAAAATCAGAAGAGTAAAAAAAAAAATAATTCTATTGTCAGGAGCTGGAGCCGCTGAAATTTCTGGCAGCTCCGGCTCTGGCTCCAGCTCCATCTATCATGGCCAGCTCAGCTCCAACTCCGACTCCGGCTCCATCAAAATGTCACGGCTCCATGGCTCCAAGCTCCAGCTCCAGCTCCGACTCCCCAGCCCTGGTTGAGATACACAATGAGAATCTTGTCTCATCAATAAATAAATAGGAAGATGAGAGTCGTATGTCAGAATTGTAAAAACATGGCTTTATTAATGAATTAAATGATTCACCTCACCCTTTGGCAACAATTCAAAAATTTCTTCTGTATCAATTCGAAAAATTTGCTTTTTCAACTGATTCGAAATGCCCAGGAAAATTTCTACTTCCAAACATTATTCATAAATTTTAATTACTAAACATACCTCTCTGCTGCCTTCTTGTGTAACCCCTCTTTTGATTACTTCGAACAAATCCGGCCAGGTTCCGTTAACCTGTCCTAGTTCGTGTTTTGCTATCGACGCGGCAACTTGGCAGAGAGAATGTGCAACTTTAGAATCATTTTCAATTAGCAGTCGCTCAAGCACGGCTTGGCGGACTCCGACACAAATCTCACGGTTAAATGATTTCCACTGCCTTGAAACTTTTCTGTTATTATCAAACGCAAGATATAAGATGTGTCATATGGATAGTATAGAAAGAGTTCAATTAACGTAAATCAGTATTTTTCAAACTGGACATTGAAGAGCCATGTGGCCCTTCTATGAGGGCAACGATCAAGGGCCCCCACGAATCACAAATTAGAATTCCCCACCACCTTGCACAAGGTGTAATAAATTGTGTGAACAATGCTGAACCATCCAAAATGAAGTTACTCCTTGCATATATTGTGGCCGCTTACACAGAGCAAGAGGCAGATAAATATGTTGTATATAAAAAATTTCCGTTCTATACCTTCGGAAAATAATTGCTGCAAGTTTTCTTATTTCTGCGTCATCTCCTTGACAAAGTACAGAAAAGAGAGAAGGAACAAACGAAGCATGACCATTCAATTCTCTGAGATCAGCAGTCGCCTGATAAGATAAAAAGATAATCACAGAGACAATTAAGGTTGCACTAACTGCATTTTATTGTTATGCTGATTATGGGGACAAAATATTAACTTATACTTATATTTTAGTATTAACCTGATTTAGATCAGCGTTTTCCTAAGGAGGAAGAACTCATATTGTTTATTTATATTTATAAATGATTACATTTGATAGGATTTACCAATTTATGCGCCGACCATAGAGCCCTCACTAACGATGGCGACCTCTCTCATATCGAGATCGTTGCAACGAGAAATACCTTGCTCGACTACGGGTGATCGTCTGCACGTCTCGGATCACAGTTCGTATAGTCTGTAAAGCCTTCTCACGTCACAGTGTTGTAATTTTTGGATGATGCATAGGGGGTTAGGATTGACATATGCAAATTTGTTTTGCTACGCCGACTAGAAGTAGTACTTGACGTACGACAACTACACTAAACCCAAAAACTCCAAATGCTGTAACGAGTAATGAACATGCTCAGGAATCATGACACTTTCTTCAAGTTTCAATCCAACCACTCTGCAGTTCTGCAGTTGAGAGTTAGAAAACTCCAAGACTTACTATACAAATCGGATGACATTGTCCCGTTTCAGAGAAACCCATTTTACAGATGATCTGACACCCCTCCTTCGGGAGACGTCTGGACATTGTTGTCCCTCAATATCGGTAATAATACAGTATAATGAAGATGCGCAAAATACTACAAAAAAGCGCAATCTAGTAACGTCATCAATGAATTCTTTGGGAAAAAATAATCCGTTTTACAGAAGGAAACAAAATTTTACCGTAGCATTCGAGTCTTTAGCAAAAAAAAGCAATTTTGGTCATGTGACGGCCGCGATCAATCAAGATTATTATTGAGACAAGCATGGCGTGATATGAAGCATCTGACGTGGTCCCAGACGCCCCTCGTTTGTGAGACACATGGAGTGTTTGTTTTATTAAGCCAAATGGAGGGACATTCTTGGAATTTGGTTGTGTGCTGTACTGTATCAGACTATGTTGTCAGTAATTACCAATACCAGACTTTACTTGTCTTACGACACCCGATACATAAAACTGCCAATAATTTATGTAAAATTTTAAAAAGATTTACCAACCTTTTCAATGACTGGCATTTTCTGGCACCAATAAATTCCCTCAAAATCTGACACAAACTTGTCGCCACAGAGTTATCAGAAGAAGCTATCAGCTGCTCCATAGGTTCTATAAATATCTAACGGACTGGGAAATATCTTATATCTCGTATATTGTAGAATGAATTTACTAAAAAACTGCTATTTTGCCAATTCCGGCACCTTACAGTAACTTCCGAACTTGCTCTACAGCTCTCCGAAATCGAAGCATGTGTTACCCATCTGTAACGCATGAATAACTTTCCCTTGGGAGGCGGGGCTAACACCAAATACGGAAAGTGAAGTGGACAGGATGAATGTTTTCCCAAGTATCGGTTTCCTCGTTTATTGCCGTAATCACAACCAATCAGCAATGAGCCGACATGTTACCTAACAATCGAAATTTCTGCAGCCGCTCAGACAGTTATTCAAGCATGGTTGCCTCGTACATAGTTTTGCGTGTTATTCGCCAGTTTTCATGTGTGTTCGCGAAAATTGGTTGTCGATTAAATTACGTTAGTTGTAAATATGTTTTTCGAGGAGGAGTATAGTTGCAGTTATCAATAATGAGTCCCACACATGGAATAGGATTTACATATTTATTCCGGGCGAGAGGAAAGCCGATATTACGGCTTAACCATATGGCGAACCATGGCCTCTCGTCCATTTACCATTCCATGTCGGGTATGGGATTAGTTAGTTGTTTTCGAAAGCATGGACGGTTTAGGAAGCCGTAACCGACCAGTGGTTACGTGAACACCCTACAGTGGCGAGGAGCCCAACAATCCTACCGCAAATGACCATCCCCGTCCACACCGCCGAGCCAGTTAGGTAATATTTCTCGCGTAAACCCAACTGATCGTATTATTTTGAAGCCATGATTTATAACGCAACCTCGCACAACGAATCCAAACTTAATTGCATCTGTATGAATATCTCTAGAGTTCAAGTTCTCGAAATGGACTCTGGCTTCAGTAAGAACTTTTGAGTTAGACAAAACGAATCGTCTTATCGTCTGTCGTTAAACCTACAGCGGTACGAATACAACGGTAGCGACTTTCACTGATCCCAAAAACTTCAGACACTTTAACGAGACAATGTCTTCGTTATCCAAAGTACGATCACGGTACAATACGACACATTATGATAATTAATTAAGTAATATTGAATAATAAAAATAACATGATCTCTTTCAACGAAATAGTAAGTATATTTGTGAGCTTATTGCTGTTTGATTAAATTATATCTTGTATTGTTTGAAGAAGTTAGGCCATGATCCAACGAAAGCTCACAAATATACTTATTATTTTGTTGAAAGAGATCATGTTATTTTTACTTATCACTTTAATACTATTTCTCTCAAGCATCCTTGTGGTGAGTACCACATACGGATTCGAAGTAGAAAGTAATCAAGGAGAAAGGACCTGCAGCAGTTCAATGCATATTATCCAAGTTCCCCTAATATTGAATAGCTTATATACTAATTACCAAACGATAAAAATGTCCTAATTAAGTGTGTAATCGAGATAAATTATATTAAAACTGGTTAGTCATTGAGAAATGACTCGGGGATAATTTAACTCAATTATGTCGAGTGAAAAACAAATTATGGCGGTTTTTTAATTCTAAGAAAGTTTAAATAACTGTTTTGAATTCGTTGTATATTATTAACAGTAAAATCTTACTAAATTAACAAGATTATCCCTAAACTGGTATCATAGGAACATTTCTAAGCTCAGAACAATGACAAAAAAAATTAACAAATGATCGAATCAATATTTTATTATTATGTTTGGTTATCTACAGAAATCACATTAGATTAGAGAGAGAAAGTGATTTAATATTTTGTCAACCAAAAAATACTGACATGAATACAATAACAAGAGAGCTATGCTCAAATATATGGACACGTAGAGTCACATAATTTTGATGACGTCATAGCGAAAAAAAAAGTAATAGCCTTCTGGAGAAAATTTTTATCTTTAACACTGAAAATTTCAAAGCAATTGGTCCAGTATTCGAAGAGAAAAGCGACTTTTTAAAAACGTGTCAAAGAACAAGAACAACAACAACAACAACATAATATTGAAACGATCGTTATGTCCACTACGTGTCCAATAATAAAGTAATACCAACAAAAAAAAATTACAAACATACGTGACCTAATTGGAAAACTGGAACTAGTAATATTTTTATAAGTTTTCAGAACAAAATCGGGGAAATCTCAAGTAACCCTATTGTTATATGTTCGCATGAACTTGTGAGTGGGGATTTAGTAAATCTAAATATACCCTAAACAGGCTGAACGGAGGGGGGCGAACAATTTTGCTCATCCACACTGGCGGCCATGTAAGTACGACGTAAATGATTACATTTTTGAACAATATTTACAGTGTTACGAAAAGCAAAAGTGGAAAACAATGAGCCTCGTGCAAAACTAAATTTAATTGCAATCTCAGCAAATTCCTTGAGCTACTTTGGCTAAAAACATTAAAATTTTAATTTGGTTGTGGCAGCATCCGGCGGGCCAGAATTGACTTACCTAACGGGGCGGATTGAGCCCGCGGGCAGTGATCTGTCCGTGTAAGAATTTTTGAGCTGGGTTTATAAAAAAAATTTACGCTTTTTAACTGGTTTACTGGTTAAAGTTGGAGAGATATTCACCAATATATAGGGTGTCGATAAAGTCTTAGAATTTTTCAAAATTTAAATTTAAGGGAATTTATCGATACCAATTTACATTTAATTATTTTGGCCCTCACAGATTGAAATTAAAAATATTTAAACAATTACTCATTAAAAAGCAACAAACTGGTTAAGATATATTGAAAACTGACGTCATAACAAATTGAAATTGTAAAGGGCTCCATGGACACCCTGTGTTTCAATCAAAGTTAAGATGAGTTCAAACAAATCAGAAAATTTTGGTTTATTATTTTCCCTAAAGCAGTTTTTATCAGGTTTCGTCTTTTGTCTTAAAACTCGATTAATTTTGGTGCCCCAGTAATTATGCAGTATGTGCACGGAATGACGCACAACCTGATAATCCTAACCTAGTACACATACTAATGTTCAGGTTGTGCGCCATCTTGGTACACATACTTCGGGAGCACCTTAATTTTTTTCAACTCACAGTCAGCAATGAAAGTAGTTCTATAATAATAAACTGATATCAGAGCCAGTGAAGTTCTAGAGGCTGGCGGTCATGGTTCGTCTCATGGGAGTCGTTCAGGGAAGGGTGCAAAAAGAGCGAAAAGTTTTAATCGTAAAATGTTTCAATAAAATATTTTCACATGGAAAATAATCAAAACATGTATTTTTATTCAAACAAGAAAGCTATGCTCAAATATACGGACACGTAGCGCCACCCAATGGCAATAATTTTGATGACGTCATAGCGAAAAAAAAGTAATAACTTTCCGGAGAAAAATTTTATCTTTAACCACTAAAAATTTCAAAGCAATTGTCCAGTATTCGAAGAGAAAAGCGATTTTTTTAAAAATGATGGAGACAAATAATAACAATAACAACATAATATTGAAACGATCGTTATGTCCACTAAACGTCCAATTATAAAATACAGGCATCTTAATACAATACCAGTCGTTAAATATATTGAGCAATCGATCATGAGGGAGCCATTTTATGTAGATGCGCCACTGATCAGAACAATTGTGATCTATAATCTATATGGATTACATTAAACTCAAATTAAATACTGTAACTGTTTTTAATCTTTTATATCAATCAATGAACAAAGTTTTATCAAGTTTTGAGGGTATTCACGAAGTATGTGCACCAAGATGACGGAGACCAGGTTATGGCTAGGCCATAATTATATTTCAATTTTCCCTTTTTTAGTTCTATCACGAGTTCGGGAACTAGCCAAGTGACTCCCGTAGTATTTGTACCTGAAATTATGGTAACCTGGTACACATACTACGTTCCGGTGTCCGCCATGTTGGTTCACATACTTCGGGAGTATCGTTTTGAGATGGTTCTACATCTCACACATGACGCCGTACAGCGAGTAGTATGGCGGATTATTGAACATTCCCTGATCTGCGGCCGGATCCTTGTTTACACTGACTCCAACATTTGTGAATGATGACTTGCGAGACGGGTTGCCAGGAAACCACACGCTTGAAAGGCAGAGACGATGTTCTCCATTGGAAAATTGAAGCTGCATTCCTGTAACAAATCAAGAGAGCTAAGCTCAATATATGGACACGTCAAAAGGTGTCGCTCCTTTTTATTCTGACACATCAAAAAAAAACCAAATTCTAGAAGTCCACAGAATTTTTTTAAATGAGTAAACATAATAGCCTTTTTAGCGAAAAAATACTCTTTAAATCCTGAAATTTCAAAGCAATTGTCCAGTATTGAAGAGAAAAGCGATTTTATGGTGACGAAGAGAAAGAATACCAACAAGAACAACAACATAATATTGAAACAATCGTTATGTACACTGATGTGTCCAACAAGACAACGATGCTCAGTATATGAAAACGAAGACCAAAAATAGTGGTATCTTGGTAACCCCGGAGTATGTAAACCAGATGGCAAACACCGGAACGTAGTATGTGTCCAGGTTAGAATTTTGGCCAAAATTTATTCAAATTGTTCCTATTCTAGTTCTATTACGAGTTCGGGGACTAGCCAAGTGACTCTCGTAGTATTTGTATCTGAAATTATGGCCTAACCCTAACCTGGTACACATATTACGTTCCAGTGTCTGCCATCTTGGTTCATATACTTCGGGAGTACCAAACTTCGGAGTGTTACAAAAGCCAAAGTGGAAAACGATAAACCTCGTGCTAAAACTAAATTTAATCGCAATCCCAATAAATTCCTTAAGCTATTTTTTAGCTGAAACATCAAAATTTGGTTTTAGCTTGATTGTCGCAGGATATAGTTTGCCCATGTTAGGTATAGAAAGCCGTATAGTCAACTCACCTTATACTTCATCCCTGTCCAGACCGACGTCTTTTTCCAAGGAGCGATGATCTGTGTACGTTGAAATGCGTGTAGTTTCTGGAAATGAGCTTCGTCGTAAATATTCGCTGGTTTTCCGCTGTTCTTTGAGTTGCAAATTGCTTCGGCATCACGGACAGTGATGTTCTTTGTGTCAGTTACAAATATTCGGTAGCATTTGAAATCGTATGTGACGTCACATTTGTCTGAAAACAATGTTATTACTGGTATTCGGATATTTATTGTGTATTGAACTGCAAGACATTTATGCTTGTGTACTTTCTATTTTGCATACCGTTTTGTGTCCGTTTTACAGGGATACTTGCTTCAACGAGATAGTGTTCAAGTGAAAAAATAACTCAGGATTTAAATATTTATCCCGGGTGAGAGAGAAGTCGATAAAACGATAAATTTAATCATATGGCGATCAAGGCTCTCTCATCCGGTTACCAGTACAAGTCGGCATGGAATTACTGAGCTAGCGTATTCTGACGCTTAGCACGATTGCCCCAACCCATCGAGCATATTTGTAAATTTTCGTTAAACCAGTTCAACTTCTGTATAAACGTCAATAAATAAAATTTAATTAAGTTACTTTTGGGTTTTTTCTTCTCGTCAAGATTCTTTTTGATCAGTCTGGCGATTTCTGTAAAGAGAAAAATATGAAATTTGACGAATTTTGAGTTTGAATTGAGTATGTGCACCAAGATGGCGCAGAACCTTGACCCTAAGCTGGTACACATACTACGTTCAGGTTGTGCGCCATCTTGGTACACATACCTCATGAAGACCCGAATTTTAAACCCCGAACAAAGCCACTGATATGTGAGAAACTTCTAGTTTTTTTCGCACGACATTTTTACTCGTTCACTCGTTCAATTTCGAACTGGAGAGACTGTTTGCGCTTCGTAAAAAAGTTGGTAGTTCGAATTAAGGCCAGAAAAGTAAATATATTTGAACTCATATATGGCATGCAGTAGGACTCACCAGATCCATCGTTTTTCTGTAAAATAACAATAAAAGTCAGTTGGTCAGTAACGTAAATAAATTACACCATGGGTAAGGTGGTGGTAGTGGGTACAAAAACAATACTTGATCAAAAAAAATAAAGGCTTTAATAATTTTACCTGGCAATCTCCAACTTGTACGAGCTTCCCATTCACGATCTTGGAAACGCAGGATCCAGCTGTCAAATATAAAACGCGCTAATTTAAGTTTTGGGTCGACTTATCTTGTACATTAGTGGTTTTCAAACTTTTTAGGCCGCCCCCCCCCCCTTTTTTAGAATTTGTCTAGTTTCGCGCCCACCTATAAATAACTAGCTAAGAATAAGCCACAAACGAGAATATCGGTCAGAGACCGAAGACATATCGATTGAAACTGGGGTTTCGATTCACGACTCTATAGTGACACCACGTGTCCCGTCACTAATTAATTAATACCATCACTAATTAATTATACGACATAATTCATCCAAAATCAATAGGCTTCTGGTCCGAGATATGATGATTGCACATGCAAAATTTGGAGCAGATTCAACCACGCCTTCGTGTGATATCGCGTGCATCTAACAGACAGACAAATATCTATCAACATACTTACCGATCTAAAGATCGATAGGTAATAACAGATAGTAAGGCGAGAGTATTTTTTGTTTGAAAAACGCGTTGAAAATACGTAGATGGAGAGTAAATATCCAAAATAAAAAAATGCAAATATATTAAACAAGAATATCGGTCAGAGACCGAAGACTTATCGATCGAAAGTTAGGGGATCCCCAAAACAGCGCTCTTTCTCCATAGTGACACCTTGTGTCCCATCACTAATTAATTAATAACTCGCTAATTATACTGCATAATTCATCCAAACTAGGCTTCTGGTACGACATATGATGAATGCACACGCAAAATCTGGAGCAGATTCAATCTCGCTTTCGTGAGATATCGCGTGCATCTAACAGACAGACAGACAGACAGACAACAGCCAGACAGACAAATACCTAATAAAATCGATAAGTAACAATCACATACACCAGGGGGGTCCAAACCCTGGTACGCGGGCCGCATGCGGACACATTCCGTGCGGCCCGCAGTAACATTTTAGCATACAGAGATTCGCAATTATTGGCAGAACATTTTTTTCTAGCTATTCAAACTGGGGCTGCAATCCCGATATTAACAACTCTTCCTAATTCCGATGTCGAGAATGATATTTGTTAAAATCAAGGAATTTCAAGGTTGTATATATCATCGTAAAGGCGGTGCAGATATGGGAATTAAGTCCTGCGATTGGTTCAAAAGGCCGTTATCGGTACGCGTCAAGAAGGGCGCACGCGCGCTTTGTTTTCTATAAATAATGACGCCACCAATACAACATAACAATAGGCTAATTACAACGGTAAACATTCATTCTTCAATATTTTTTAAGAAACTAATCTCGCAGTATTTCGATAAAATTTTGGTTTTCCCGACTGCGACCCGCAAGGCCTCAGAAAGTTTTGCGGTCCTTCAATCTCGCAACCTTGGACCAACTTGACATACAATATTTAAAAAAAAGTAATCGTACAATTTTATTGTGGAAAGCAAACCGCGGGGAACCACATCTGGTTATTGAGCAGTAACACACAAGGTTCTAATACAGGGGTCGGCAATCTACGGCCCGCGGGCCGGATCCGGCCCGCTAAGCTTCACTGAATTATAGTAACAAATTATAGCTGGCGTCTATCATATTTTTTACGCAAAAGAATTTACGTGTAGACTAAATTATAATATAACGTAACAAGTATATAATTCACAATTACTCGTTTGATGAGCCTATAATTTAATTATAATTTAGACAAATGTCAACAAAACGCAGAAAAGTTGATGCTAAGTGCAAATGATTTAATGACGCAAAAAATATTTAAATGGTCAGTCTTTGCACGCTGTTTAAAATTTAACTTCTGATCTGTGTGATAAAATGTGATTCATCTGTCATCCATTCGATTTTTAACATTCTAAAAATATGTGCGGCCGCCAATGACTTTAACCTTTAATTTTGGCACGCGAGCGACAAAAGGTTGCCAACCCCTTTTCTAATATATGGGGGAAAACATCGGGTAATTTAATTGTAGAAATACTGTTATTGGTGGTGAATACTGTATGGTTTTGCCGAATTAAATGACTAAAATATCTCAATAGAAATTGATAAATATTAGAGATTTAAATACGAGAGACATCAGACCTAAGACAAAGCAAACGTGCTTCTGTTCTGAATACATGAATAGTAAAACCATATGGAAGACCAGAACCATACCAGAAACCAGGCAGGCTAGTCAGAAACCAGATCCCAGCAAATATAGCACAAAATAATAAATAATTGTAACCAAAATCTTACCGGGTAATTTCAGTTCCGCATACAAGCCACAGACGAGAGAAATAAAGAAAAGTATTTTGACGAAACTCATCTTTACTTCTGGATAGGTTTGATGACGTAAATAAATGCTTAGATATGAAATAAATATCTGTAATAGTAAACAAGAGTTTTATAGTTTAAGTACCGCCATTGTTTGCTTTCTTATAAGTCTCAATGGGGCTCTTGATTGACTTAATTTGTTGCCGTTTTATAAATATTTTCTGTGGGCAAGACGATTAAAACGTGTAGCGAATTCCAATAGTTATAGACTCAGTGGTTCTCAAACTTTTCAAACCGCGACCCCGCTTTAGAATTTGTTAGATCTCGACCTCAAACTAGCTAGCTAGGAATAACAGACAGTAAGACAAAAGTATGTATATATGTTTCAAAAAAAAGTTGAAAATACGTGAATGGAACGTGAATACGTGAATCACAATCTCTAAATAAAGAAATGTAAATATCCAAAATAAGGCGGGCAAGATCAAATCTTGCGGGGCGCGTCCAACTGCCAGATGAGCATGTGGCTGACAGTAGCTCTTATAGAACAAGGTATTACAGAAAGTTAATGCGTCAAGAGTTTGAGAGGCTCGACGGTGTGGCGCACCTCTGATTGCTCTGCGTGACACGATAACCGCGAAATGACCATTCGGTCTACTTGTCAGCGGCGACCTTGGATCGCTGGTTTTTGGCATTATTACGAAAAAGTCTGTCATTTTTATTCTTTTTAACAAAACTTATTTCTAAGAAAAACGTCCTTTTACGCAACCAAATATGGACAAACTCATTGCAAAAACGCCGTTTTCGAGAAAATTTTTACGGTCACGCTGCATGGCATTTTACGTTATTTCCATCCGCTGCATTTGAAATCAAAACAAAATTACTTGGCTGGGAATTTATCTTGAGTCACCCATTGTGATTGCGCGGTAGCACTAATTTTCAATATTTATTTTATCGTCATGGTAATTTTTCTGTCTCGCATGTATTGTCTTGTTTCATGTGATTTCCCCATTGCTGCATCTGCTTTTTTATAATAAAATTTTACAGTGCACTCAAGAATGAAGAAGACTCATCTCTGAGCAAATTTTTTTTTAAACAAAATTTTTGTCGAAGCAAAGTCAGGCGCACTCACTCAGCATGAAATATATTTACAAAATGCAAAATTTTCAATTATAAAATTGGCGATGTTTTTCAAATATGAAAAATATGTGACTGAACTTTAATTAACGCTCTGGCTGAAATTGATAAAAAAAAATGAAATTGGTCAAATTAATAAACTATTGTGAAAAGAGTTAAAATTGTGATATTTGTGGTGTGCGCTAATAATGATACTTTTAATACGGCATCTATGGTGGACCCATTGCCGAGCCTGTATTTGTGGAGGCAATAAAATAAAACCAAAACTCTCAGCTGCTCAAATATAACTCTCCAGGTACGTTGTTCCAGTAGACGCTCCTCTGAATTCATCCGACCCGGCTCTTGATAATCGACTATTCGTTATATCTGATATAAAGATATAATATAATGCTATTGGTATTACGCAAAATCCTAATTTTCTAATACCGGTAACTTCCGAAATCTCAATTAATCGGTATATCACGGCAGCGACTAACAATGCATTGAAAGCTTCTTCTATGTGTCATCACAGAGAATTGGACCCCCTGTGGAGTCACAGCTCGAAAACTGTGACTCCCTACTCGTGTGATTGAGGATTTATTTTTGTAAATGTATGTTTTACACACAGTGATGAATATATATGACGTATATTGGACCATTCGGCGTAATTTCCCTAACGTACAAGAAGTGTTTTCTTTACAATAAAATAAACCGCTGGTTTTAATGTTAATGCGCATGAGTGGTTACGCCTCTGACGTCATTATTTTTCATGGCGGCAAATTTTGTCAACAAAGTTACCTGTTTTTGGATGGATTAGGGTTATCTTATTTACAATTTGAAGCTGTTAGTTTTTGTAAGCCATGGAGAAGGATCCTGTAAAACAAATACGAAGTAAGTGGTGTAAGCCTGGTGTTGAAATATAGTGATATTCGTGAAATTTATAGCTAAAATATCGGCAGAAAACTTGTTCTGAAAAATTTGTAAATTCAGAAATTAGGATAGGATAGGATTTACATATTTATCCCGGGGGAGAGGAAAGCCGATAAGACGGCTTATCCATATGGCGAACCACGGCCCCTCGTCCGGTTACCATTCCAAGTCGGGTATGGGATTAGTTTTACTGTATTGTTTGTTTTCGGAAGCATGGACTTGGTGGTGGAGGAAGCCGTAACCGACCAGCGGTTACGTGAACCACCCAACGACGGCGAGGAGTCCAGCAATCCTCTCGCACATAACCACCCCTGCATGAGATTCGAACCTGCGAACCCACGCAGGTGCGGTGGCGAGCATATTCCTAACGCTTAGCCCGTTGAGCCACACCGCCGCGCCTCTTAGTTGTAAAGGTGTGGACTTACCTATTTTATCCTTTACCATCTGCGATGACAGTAAGGTAACTGCTGCCGAAACTGCTTGAATAATGCCCAACGTAAACAGGAAAATGTGATGTGAACATTTTATGTTTTTTTAACAGAGGTGTCTGACGAGGAAATTCATGATATGAATTATCCTTTTGAAGTCAAACCTCCTGCTCAATTTTCAACTAAGCAGTTATGCCATATAGGGTATTACATTCTGTGTGAGACTTTTATTTGCATAAAAAATAATGATTTGGGCTGAATTTCAACATCACATTTTTTGTCATTTAGGCTGTCGCACGTTTAGTTCATTAGACACTGATTGTGTATTACAGTATTATACTCGATCAGAATATTTTGTTCCATTTTCAGAATATCAGAAGCAGAGAGTGAAATGTCAAGAAAAAGGAAATTTAAAAGAAGAAGCTGAAATACTGAATGTTCTTGGAGAACTCCATACAGAACTTGGTAAGACAGGGAAATTGTTCGAGAAATTAAAAGATAAGATATACACATATAGATAAGATAAGAAAAACCAAAGGAAAGCCGATAAGACGGCTTAATCATTGGCGAAACACGGCTTTTCGTCCAGTTGGGGCGGCGGTGTGGCTCAACGGGCTAAGCTTTAGGAATACGCTCGCCACTGTACCTCTAATTACTCTGCGTGGGATCGCAGGTTCGAATCCCATGCAGGGATGGTTATGTGCGAGAGGATTGCTGGACTCCTCACCGTCGTTGGGTGGTTCACATAACCGCTGGTCGGTTACGGTTTCTTCCACCACCAAGTCCATGCTTCCGAAAACAAACAATATAACTAATCCCATACCCGACTTGGAATGGTAACCGGACGAGAGGCCGTGGTTCGCCATATGGATAAACCGTCTTATCGGCTTTCCTCTCCGCTGGGATGAATATGTAAATCCTATCCTATCCTAGTTGCCAGTCCATGTTGGATATGGGATTAGTTGACCAGTTATTTGTTTCAGATGCAGGGACTTAATGGTGGAGGAAGCCGTAAACAGCCAGCTGTTACGTGAATCACCCACGTAAGCAAGGAATCAAGCAATCCTCTTGCACATTATTATCCCCACAGGATATGAACTTGCGAAACAACGGAGGGTATTTTTATTCTATCTCAATTTAAAAATATGTCATTTTCATATCAAATATTCCAGGTGACCACGAAGAATCTTTAACACTGCACAAAGAAGAGTTGGGTCTGTGTCGAGTCTCTGAAGATAAGATTGGACAAGCTGTTGCCCATAGAAAGGTGAAGTAATATTGGCAGATCTTTGTGCCACTATAATTTTAAATTTCAAGAGACATCACGAAACCTCGGGCTGTGTGCAATTTTGCAATGTTCACAAATTTAGTGAATTAGTTTTTTTAGTGATTTAGTTATTATGTATTATATTAAGTAATCTGTAATTAGCACAGTTTAGACAGAATTATTGAGATAAGCATCATTTCGATTAGTATTCTCTGTTTAATGTGTCACAAGTTTACTAATTTTTGTCAATCATAGAATATTAAATGCCTAAAAAGACGTTTTCAAACGAAAATATGCTGAAATATACCTAAAATCAAGAATCGAATAAACCAATTTCAAATGTATTCAAATACTCAATTTGTTTTGGACATCCCTGGTGTGACTGTTTAACGGTTTCATATGCATAGACTTACGGTAGAAAAACAGAAATATCATGTGAAACCTTTTACTTACCACAGATTGGAGAATGCTTCGCAGCTCTTGAAAATTACACGAAAGCTTTGCAACATCAACACAGACATCTGGAACTTGCTAAAGTTGCCGAGAATCTACCTGAACAACAACGCGCATATACTACCATAGGAAGAACTTATTTGATCCAAGGAGAGGACTTGCATAATGCTGGATCGTTTGAAGAAGCTAGACCACTGTTCAAGAAGTGAGTATTGGAAGATTGTCTGGAGTAGAATGCACCTAACTGCTCCTTTTAGTGGCTCGGGGTGCGTGGCTCTGGGCTAAGCATTAGGAATACACTTGTCACCGCATCTTCGATTACCCTCTGTGGGTTTGCAGGTTAGGATTCCATGTGAGGATTCCATGTGTGTGGGGATTGCTGGACTCCTTGTCAGTAGAGAATTGACTTAGATTCAATTGAATTATTGGTGCTCTAGAAGTGTGTGTACCAATATAGAGATAACGATGCTCCCGAAGTATGCGAACCAAGATGGCGGACATCGGAACGTAACATGGGTAACAGGTTAGGGTTAGGCGATAATTTTTTTCCAATTTTCCTTATTTTAGTCCTATTATTAGTTCGAAGACTAGCCAAGAGCCTCCCGTAGTATTTATACCTAAAATTATTGCCTAACCCTAACCTAGTACACATATTACATTCCGATGTCCGCCATCTTGGTTCGCATACTTCGGGAGCCCCGAGATAACTAATTTTGTTCACTTACTTCACCGAAAGTTGTGTAAAGGGACTGAAACTTATGGGGAAGGAGTATATTCACTTGGCTAACATAGACAGTCCCCAGACTTGTAATAAAACTAAAATAAGGAAAATTGGAATAAAATCATGACCTAACCCTAACCTGGTATCCACACTACGGGAGTGCTGAATTATCTTATCTTTATTATCAAAACACTATCTTACTTTTTATCTCTCTATATTCCTAGGGCCGAAACGTCCTTTCAAAGCAGCCTTCGTCTTTCCCAATCAATACAAGAATCAAAGACTCTATCAGAGAAAGAAGTTCATCAAATGAAAACAAGAAGCATCACAAACCTTGCGTTGGCGTATCATTATATTTCATTGGAAAAATATGAGAAAAATGATGGAATTTATGCGAAACAGAGTCTGGCTTTGTTTCAAAAAGCTTTGAATATCTCACAGTAAGTACAGAACTTTTTTTACAAGTTTTCATTTAAAGATTCAATGGAGTAAGATGTTCTACTTCTTCTTTTTTCTGTTTGCTAGTAGATTCATATCGAATAACTACAAAGATCCTGTAGCGAGAATTAAACTTTTTTCTTCAAAAATCGATTGTGAGCCTTATAAGCAGTTGCGCCAAATATATGCTGCTTTACGCTTTATTGCCTACACTCAGAACTATTATCGGTTATAGTTCGGTGCACCTTACCTATATATGGATTAAAACCCAATTTAAGGAATTTGTTGACAATGGTCTCGTAACCTACTTGTATGATTGAATTGTTAAAAAAAAATAAAAAAATACAAATGCTTAAACTGATAATGGTGTAACAATTGGCAGTATCCAGAACAGGGGTTCCCAAGCTTTTTTCAGGACGACCCCAAAGACAACTTTCATGTGTCCAGTGCGACCCAAGGTCAATATATATATTTTTCATGAAACTTTAGAGTTCTTTCACTGGACTTTTGAGTTTGGTCATTGTGGTGGTATTAAGTAAAATAAGCTAAAACCCAACAGTGATGTCACAATAATCCCCTACATTTTCAATAACATAAGCATAGAGTGATGCCTATGGGCCTGTTTTACATTAAGTCATGGTACAAACTGCTAAATTTAACATGGTTTGTCAAATCTTAGATGAGTTGTACATACATCCCCTACCATACCTCAGCGACCCCACCGACCCCATGACCTGGTTGCGACCCTACCTATTTATCACTCCGACCCAATTTGGGGTCGCGACCCCTGGTTTGGGAACCCCTGATCTAGAACACAAAAAGAAAAAAGTGTTAAACTAATTTCCTTAATAATTAAGTTTGCCGGGATATATTGAATTGATACAGTGGTTGTAAATGGCCTGGGGGCAGCAGTTTGGGAACAACTGTCTTAAGTAAATTATTTTCTGCTTATCTTGCGATGTCGTTCATTTTTTAGAAAGTACATGTTGGCAGCAGAATCTCACCAAACGAACATATTGCTAACGTCGTACTATCGAAATAGACTACAACCAGACTTAGCGATACGTTATGCAGAAGATGCATGCAGGAATGCTAAGGTTGCCAGAAATATACAATGGCAAATTGAAGCCCTTAATGTCTTGGGAGAAGTAAGTCCTGATATAAAATAGTATCGATGCTGAACTTATCAAATTTTGGTCATTCCAAAGACATACTCTGTATTGATGTCTTTCTTGTTTTCTTCAGATTCATCTTACAACAGGGAACTGTAAATCTTCTAAGAAATCTTTGAAAAAGAGTTTTCGTTTGATAAATTCATCAGAACAGAAGACTGAAGTCAGAGAAAAACTCAAGTCTGGTATGAGATGTTGAATTGTGATACATCTATAAACAACGCTCGGGGCTTCTGAAGTATGCGAACCAAGATGGCGGACATCGGAATGTAATATGTGTACTAGGTTAGGGCTAGGTCATAATTTTAGGTACAAATACTACGGGAGGCTCTTGGCTAGTCTTCGAACTGATAATAGGACTAAAATAATGAAAATTGGAAAAAAATGATCGCCTAACCCTAACCTGTTACCCATGTTACGTTCCGATGTCCGCCATCTTGGTTCGCATACTTCGGGAGCACCCAACGTTCTTTGCAAGCAGAGCTAAAATATTAGTTAAGACGAGAGCATTCCCAAACCTAAAAACAAGACTCAGACAGAGTCTAATAATCTGGGCTAGATATTACTAGTTTGATAAATATGACGCATCAGAATTTATAAAGTTGTACGAGACTTCTGTGATCAAAGCTCTGGATGCAGCAATATTTTTTATGAAGCACATTCACTCTAAACAGGGCTCTTACACCAGTGGTTTTTTTCAAGCAACCCAAATTTGTTAAAATATAAATTTTGTAGAATCTCGCGACCTTTCAACCTTTGAGTCACGACTAGGGATGGGCAATATAGAATACCGAATCCGGAGGATTCGAACCAAGATGGCGGACATCGGAATGTAATATGTGTACTAGGTTAGGGCTAGGTCATAATTTTAGGTACAAATACTACGGGAGGCTCTTGGCTAGTCTTCGAACTGATAATAGGACTAAAATAATGAAAATTGGAAAAAAATGATCGCCTAACCCTAACCTGTTACCCATGTTACGTTCCGATGTCCGCCATCTTGGTTCGCATACTTCGGGAGCACCCAACGTTCTTTGCAAGCAGAGCTAAAATATTAGTTTAGACGAGAGCATTCCCAAACCTAAAAACAAGACTCAGACAGAGTCTAATAATCTGGGCTAGATATTACTAGTTTTGATAATATGACGCATCAGAATTTATAAAGTTGTACGAGACTTCTGTGATCAAAGTCTGGATGCAGCAATATTTTTTATGAAGCACATTCACTCTAAACAGGGCTCTTACACCAGTGGTTTTTTTCAAAGCAACCCAAATTTGTTAAAATAAATTTTGTAGAATCTCGCGACTTTCAACTTTGAGTCACGACTAGGGATGGGCAATATAGAATACCGAATCGGAGGATTCGAATCCCAAAGTATTCGAATCCAACGGGATCCGCTAACAGGATTCGGTTTCCGCCTCTCCGGCGCCAAGCATCAATTTTTGTATTTCGGGTTTCTAATTTATCAATTATAGACGAGCGTTTTTTCTCGCGTGGAAATCCTCTCTCGTTTAATTAAACTTGCGTCTGCTCGCAAAGAACCCGTAAATCGGTAACATCAAACAACTGTAATATCAATCGGCATATTTAAAGGCTTGCAAATCCGCGCCCCAAAACGAGAGTCTAGGCATACTCTCGTCCGACCTCCTAACGGAATTCGAAAGATTCAATGACGTCATAGTGACGTCACATATACTCCCGTCCCAGGAAAATGTTACGCGAAGTCAGGCACGAGTCAATGTGTTTAATTATATCTACGCACACACTATCTATACACCTACTTTCGCTCGATAAACACTACTCCGTCGGTACCCTCGTTCTGCGATATTGCTACTTGCGAGCGTCTCATTAAATACTAAATCAAGATAGCTGCGTGCTCTGGCGACGCCGTTTTTCCCCGCACGACGTAAATGACCTAATTATATATCGGGGTAATCAACCATGTGAATAACTCTCACAAGTTACCGCTACAAAGAAAATAATAACTCAAGTTTTGCAAAATAAAGGGAGGAACTTTAATAAACGGCAGTCGCCGTTGCCATCGCCTGTTTTTTTTTTTTTAATAAACAAAACCATTCATGCAGTCTGACATTTGCCGTACAAACTGAATCTATTAAAATAAGTTCGCATGTAGCAGATGAGTTCATGCAAAATAAACATCGCACAGAAAGAACGAAATTGAATATTAAACGCTAATCGCCGCCCGTCGACTTCGCATCATTTAAAATGTATAAAAAGAAAGGTTAGAAATTGTGTCGACGAACAAAGAAATGCGTGAGACGCTTCAGGTTCACATATCACAGTTTAGTCTTCTTCCGACGAGCTATCGTCGATGTTTATTAGTTTGAGGCTGTACCAAGCTGGGCTTTGCCGTTTCCAACCCCCCTAAAATTGAATTTATACGTCGTTTCACGAGACCTCGTTCAGACGTCCCATCGCTTCCCATAAATCGGGCGGAAGCCTTGTTGACCAGATTTTCTCGAATGGCCCCATCTTCGAACTGTTCTTTTTGCGTGGCAATTAATAGAAGATCTTTTATCATATTGTGTCCGAGATGTGATCGCCAATCAGTGAGAATTCGCCGTAAACAACTGAACCCTCTTTCGACAACAGCAATTTGAGAATGGTAAGCAAAAGCACTAACTCGACAACGATCAACAAATTTTTATACGCCTCCTTCTTTCGCTGGTGCAACTTGTGCCAAAAGTCGGTAGTGCTCAAATCTTTGTAAACCTCATTTCCCTGGACGTCATACTTCAAATCATCCCATTCTTTCAAGCATGCACCCTTCTCGCCCCCCAGCTGCGTGTAGAGGTACTTTGAAGTACTCAAAGACTTGTGAAAGATCTTGATTGCCATATTCAGGGAACGGACGCATTAATCCCGCCATCCGACATCAAGATTTCAGGTTCAGCCATGATAAACTTACTCAAAAATGTTTTCTTGTTCTTCTAATTTCTGTAAATCGCTCGTCAGGCAATCACGCAGATTTCTTATGCATTGCGATCTTGTTTGTTGGGATCTCTGGATGATGGTTTCCTCTGCAGAATGAAAAACCACGCTTTCCTCGTGTTTCCAGGAGTCTGGCGGTCGGTGTTTCACGCATTTTACAAGTAATGCGTATTGCCTTCGTTTGTCCACCATCTTCGTGTCTGGTAAAACGGAGCGGAAGCGGAGTGCAATTTAGGTCGCCCCTGTCATAAGCATCGAGCGCTTCTCGCTCTGCAGGACCGCCGCGAAGTTCCATAGAAGTTAATTTCATTTTCAACCGTTTTATCGCTTGGTAGCGTCAATAATGGATGACCCGTCATGATCTGATTGTATTGCGATTGACGTGGCAGATACCCAATTTACGATATCCTCGTATTGGCGACATAGGATATAGAACTTGAAGCTGTGAAGATTAACAAGAAATTTCTCAGCCTTCATATCTGACTCAGCCTCCCTCTGGTTAGTGAAATGATGTATGTAAACAATCCAATTTGTTTTTAGCGCATGGAGTGCGTTGAGTGTGTGTGCCACAAATCTTGTGCCTTGCGACTTTGGTACACTAAACAACCGCGGTCTGCAACTTTTCTGCGCATTACATACGGCGGCCCATTCTTAGGGCTATTCCGAAAATGATAATATATGTCAATAAGGAAGTCAATAACTGTTTGAAATGGGGGGTCCAATGCGTCTTTCGATGCTAGTTCAATTCGATGTGAATAGCAATGTACTTTGATTAGCCGACCAGGGCACACGTCCTCCCATTTTTTAAGTAAACCCGTTTTACGCCCAAAGTTAACAGCAGCGCCATCGGCGCCTGGCCCCGATAATTTTTGAAAGAAAAAGGCTTAATAAGTTCCACAAGATTTTCAATGGGTGTCTCACAATTTGTTGTTATATCGGGAATCAGGAAACTCAACAGAGAGCGCAATGTAGCGTGGTACAAATTGTTAGCGTCCACTCGAACATATTCCTTCATTGAAATCAAGTCAATTTCGTGTACAGCTGGTTTGCATTCGTGCGCTATTCTTATGTAAATTAGTTCCGACTCGTACGATAACTTGCGCTTGGCGACTGTTGACCCATCCACCATCCAGCTAAAAAAATTTACTTTTTTGTGCACTTCATTTCTTATTGAGGACAATATCTCCTCCGCGAGAATATGTATAAAGGCTTTACAACCTTCTCTGTTACCATATGACGTGGTTATTTTGCCGCCATTGTCTGCGCACAGTTGTAATAAGTCCGCAAACGCATTGAAAGGCAGTTCCTTTCTAGAGACATACAGTGCAGTACGAACAAGAGGTTTTATGGCGTTCTCCGCCCTCTGTTTTTGGCATCCCCATAAGCGAGCGATACTTGTTTGCGTCGGGAGCTTCCCATTCTCAATTTCGACACACTTTAAGTGGCCCTCGGAATTGAGGTGTCGTTCTAAATTATATCTTAAAATCCATATGGTGCCATTCTCCCCGTAAGTCGTCACATCAATAACAACTTTGCCTCCATAGCCGCGCTGTATTCTGTCACAATGTTTTTTGCATACAATGCATGCTGCATGTACGACTTTGGTATTATCTTCGTTGAAACCGAACGTAAAACTGTCCTTTAATCTGTTTGGCCAAAACTTCCAGGCCGCTACAGAGACGGACCTTGATTTTTCCTCCATTTACTCTAATCATACAATTTATAATATCTCCTGTGGTATTTTTAAACAAACAAAAAAACGGTGTTACGCAAAGATACCCTTTTACCGGTAATTTACAACAAAACAGCCGTTAATATAACTAATTAATTACACTAGCCCTAGTCTTACCGACATCTCATCTTTGTTAGTCTGCAACACTTCTATTAAATTCATAATACGCATTCGCAGTCTGCCTTATTACAAGGGAACATTCTGCATTCGCCAACGCCAAGTCGTCCGGAGGCATGCCCGTGCTTGATTCCTCGCTTTTCGCTGTAATGTACTATTGTGACATCATAAACCATCGCCCGCAAACGATTTTACGTCACTAAAGAATAAAGAGAGAGAGGCGGCGGAAAAAATCGCCTCGGACTCTCGTGTACTGCTGGACGCGAGTAATGACGTTTTTTACGGGAGTAATAGCTAGACTCGGGTAGGGCAAAATACGCGAGTCTAGACTAGAGTATGACTCGCGTACTCGCGTAGATTTGCAAGCCTGCGTATAGAATAGTGACGTATCGAATTTGGGTAGGGCCATGTCTGGGTAGATAATGATATGTAACGATAATCATAGAAAATGAGTTTGTCTTCAGATGTTATTACCTAATAACTAAGTACGAAATCGCGTTTACGGGAACTTGGTTTTACGTGTCTTGCTCTCACAGAATAAATGGTTGATTTTAATTGATAGTGGTTAAATTTAATATTTTACAACGGCGCATAGGTTGCAGTGGCCACACGCTGGTTCTCAGCGGGTATGTTTTAGTATACTTGGCAGACTTACATTAATAATGATTTAACGCCGTTTCATGTCTATTTTGTATTTAACCGCTTACTATTAAAGTGTGTAAAGCGTGTCTTAATTTAGCATATCAGTATTTATTAGTATTTAGGGATTACATACATTTGGAACAATTGGAAGGCAAAAAATATTGTAATATTCCCAAATTTTATTGTCCTGGGAACTGCCTGTTTAGTATCAAATGAAATCCAATGTTCAGGACATTTCCAAATAGATAATACATTTATAGTAAGTAATACATTTGCAATTTTTTACCATCTAAATCCAGCAATGTAGAAATTCCCACTATTTGAATAAGTATGAAAATAGAATAGGATTCGGTATTCTGGATTCGATTTAACTATTCTAGAATATTTACGGGCGATAGCGCACCAAATAATAACGTTTTCACCTTGAAACACTGTTGCTGTTATGTAAAAGAAACAAAATTCTTTTCATTGTTGTTATATTTGACTTTTATTGAAAACGGTAAGATTAGGAACAACGAAAATAAATAACAGGAACGAAGAACGGAAATAAAAAATGGGAACGAGTAACGAAATAAAACTGGACTGAACGATAAATGACAAGACTATTTAATAGTGAAAGCGATCATGTGTGTGACAACCAATCACAGACTGTACAAGCGATCACGTGGGATCAGACAAGCACAAGCGAGCGACAATCAACCAATCACAGACTGTACGAGCTATCAGCTGTATGATAAGACAATCCACCTTCACAAGCGATCGTGTGTGTGCGTGCACGCTTGTTATCGTGAGAACTTGGTATGGTTTGAAGCTTTTGGAATTACAGGCAGATCAGCATAATATCATCTCGTTGCTTGATCAAATTCAGATGCGTGAATGAGCCGATTTTTTGGTGCAATCTGAGTCATGCATGCCCAGATAAGACGGTCCCTTAGTTTGGCAACTTTTTTTTTGAGTTTTGAACTCGGCCTATACGCGATCATATACGAGAAAGCGTTATTCTAAGTTCCACCTGTTGAACAACATTGCTTGACAATTCGGCGCTCAAATTCGACACACTTTCTAACCTGATACGTCAAGATAGTTCAGTCTGTTGGACCATGTCACTTCACCCTTATCTAAATCATAAATCTATTGAAACAGAAAAAACTTCACATCTCTTATCCTCATTTCAGTCGTAAAGATCAACCATCTACAGTCAAAGATAAAAGACAGTTTAACTACGGCCGATGAAAAATTTAAACTACATGATATTGTGGCCGATAAGTTCTGTGACTTGGGCTGCTATCAAGCTGCAATTGGACATTATAAACAACAGGTAAGTTTGTACAAATTATTTGAAAGTACTTGGATGGAAGCCTTGGGGGGGGGGGGGGGAGTTGATAAGACGGCTTAATCATCTGGCGAACCACGGCCCCTCGTCCAGTTACCAGTCCATGTCGGGTATGGGATTAGTTAGCCAGTTATTTGTTTCAGATGCATTGACTTGGTGGCGGAGGAAGCCGTAACCAGCCTGCGGCGAGGAGTTCAGCAATCGTCTTGCGGATTATTTTCCTTTTGGGGGATTCGAACCTGCGACCTACTCATAATCATGGTTGCGGTAGTGCGCGTTTTCCTAACGCTTGGCATAATGGGCCACACCCCCAAGCCTCTTACTGTATGAGCAAGGGCATGCCAGTATCAGTATCCATCTGGAAATATATTATTCACTTCTACCCTTTTATTTCAGGAGTTATTGTTCCCACTTCTCGATACAGTCACAGACAAGCAGAAAGCTTCTGTATATTATTCTCTTGCATTAACGAACTCAGATCTCAATAACTATGAGACGGCTATCGAGTATTATAAGAAAGAAATGGAGTTTTATACTGAACCAAAAGAGGTATGTCGAATTTTTTGATGAAATTCTAAGTAACGGATGTCTATTTTCTGATGGGCGCCATGTGTATGTACATGTGTTTGTAGTATTATATATTATATAGTTGTGTTGGGGCTCCCGAAGTATGCGAATCAAGATGGCGGACATCGGAATGTAATATGTGTAGTAGGTTAGGGTTAGGCCATAATTTTAGGTATAAATACTACGGGAGGCTCTTGGCTAGTCTTCGAACTGATAATAGGACTAAAATAAGGAAAATTGGAAAAAAATTATCGCCTAACCCTAACCTGTTACCCATGTTACGTTCCGATGTCCGCCATCTTGGTTCGCATACTTCGGGAGCACCGTTGTGTTTATGTGCCAAGCCTTCGAGCAGACGAAAGCGTGTGTTTCCTATTATTTGTACTTTGTATTCCGTTCTTTGCTCATTTTATTTTGCATTGTTTTATTTCACCATAATACTTTGGCTTATGGCGTAACTAATTCAATGACAGCTACCATTGGAAATTTAGGAACTCCAGACGTCTTCAGCTTTGACTTCTAACTTTGGCTTGACTAAAATCCAGACCCCAGATTTCAGAGGGAAATTTCAACTCCGCTCAAATTCAGAGATGTGCTTCTTGACTAAAACTAGTATTCTTCCCTGAATTGTAATCTAAGTTTTTGAAAACTATAGAATTCTAAATATATTTTATGCATATTCATTTTTTGGTACTTCCGAAGTATGTGAACCAAGATGGCAGATACAGGAACGTAGTATGTGTGCCAGGATAGGGTTAGGCCATAATTTCAGGTACAAATACTACATGAGTCACTGGCTAGTCCTCGTACTCGTAATAGAACTAAAATAAGAAAAATTGGAATAAAATTATGACCTAATTCTAACCTGGTACACATACTACGTTCCGGTGTCCCCCATCTTGGTTCACATACTTCAGGAGCACTCATTTTTTGATATGGATTTATTTTGGTATTTCTGACTTTTTAATTTATCCTCCACATATCCCATATGTCAACTATATCACATATTTCAGCTATCCAAAACCTGGACACAGATTGGAATATGTTTAGAAAAGTTATCAAAACCTCCAGAAGAAATTGAAGGTTGTTATAACAAGGCAATTGAATATGCTGAGAAGTCAAAGGATTGTAAATTGCAGGTAATGTGGCTTTGTCTGTGTATGTATAGGACAGTGGTACCCTGTTTATGATTCCACTGGTATTCATACTATTACTTTGATTGGAGGATTCCAAATCCCATCATGTTCAAACAATTCATGCTCAACTAAGTGAAAACAATCTTGTTAAGCAATAAAACTGGGGAGTACGGGGAATTTTTTTGTTATGCTGCCCACTTGTGGGGGGCCATGGACTCCGGTTGGGCACCACTGGTGTAGGGCATTCGTTTTTCAATCAATAAATGCTTAGCCATAAAACTTTTTTTTCTAGTTACTAGTCAAAACTTTTTACAATTTATGCCCTCGAATATTTTTAAGACACTGGAAAATAACTGTTTTTATTTTAAAGTCAAAAAATGATTCAATTAGTCAAGTTTTAATTAATTTTTTTTGCCTCATTTCTAAAGTCAGTTTATCCGCTAGAAAATGCTCTAGGTAATTCTAACCCACAGGGGTTCCCAAGCTTTTTTCAGGACGACCCCAAGAAGAACTTTCAAGTGTCCAGTGCGACCCCATGTCAATATTTATATATTTTAAATGATTCTTTAGTTTAGAATTTCTTTCACTGGACTTTTGAGTTTGGTCATGTGGTGGTATTAAGTAAAATAAGCTATAACCAAACAGTGATGTCACGATAAGCACGTACATTTTCTATAGCTTAAGCAAGAGCGATGCATATGGGCCTGTTTTACAGTAAGCCATGGTACAAACTGCTAAATTTAACACGGTTTGTCAAATCGTAGATGTTTTGTACATCCATCCTCTACCATACCTCAGCACCCCATGACCTGTTTGCGACCCTACCTACTTATCACTCCGACCCAATTTGGGGTCGCGACCCCTTGTTTGGGAACCTCTGTTCTAACCTAAGCATTCAGCGAAATTGTACGCTGTCGTTGGGTCGTTCACATAACCATTTGTCGGTTACGGCTTCCTCCTCCAAGTCCATGCTTCCGAAAATTAACTGGCGAACTAATATTATACCTGACATAGACGAGAGGACGCGGTTCTCCATATGATTGGGCTGTCTTATCGGCTTTCCTCTGTTCCGGGATTAATGTATGTAAATCCTTTTAAGGTACTCTCGTAGTATGTATACCAAGATGGCGGACACCGGAACGTAGTTAGGGTCAGGTTAGGGTCAGGCCAGGGGTCTCAAACTCGCGGCCCGCGGGACGATAGTTTGCGGCCCCTGCCTTGGTATGAAAGTTTAATGTTAGTGCGGCCTGTAAGTCACTCAGCTCAATTAGAATAGTTGATGCATTTGATATATGATCAGGACAAGTAGAGCAAAACAAAATATTTTATAGTCTATCCCCCGAAAGTAATATGCGGTACGGTAACCTACTAGGACCGTACCTGTAGGCATGATATTCGATTGAACTTTGCCCTCGAAGAAATTTTTTATTCCTGACCATTGCAAATTCTTGGTGCTTATTTTAGATGTGGCTTCGCGAGTTGAACCCTATAAACTGGGGTATATGTTTCACGTCATCATTTTGATTCAAAACATTCAACAACCTGTTTTTCAACAGTACGGTACCGGTAGAGAAGTTTAGCCTAGTCTATCACAGCTATTTCTAGACTAATTTTTGATTACGACAATTAAGCTACGATGCACAAGCAATCAGAATGATCATTGAGTTCTTTGATTCATACTTGAATTTCTGAAACACAACCCAAAACTAACAAATAGCATGCAAAAACGAGGTAATGTTTACAAACATGCCTGAAAATATTTCTGAGTGACAAATGACTGAGCGTTTGCGAAAAAGCCTATTGTTACATCATTTTTTGCATCCTGTTGATTAGCCCATGTTATGTAATAAACAAGGAAGTAGATGCTCGGGGAAAGGTGCATCGCGGAATTACTTACATTTATGTTTTTGACATGTTTTGCGTATAGAAAGTTTAATTATTAAGTTTAATTATTGCTTTTATTGTGAAAAACCGGATGCGGCCCAGACTCACTAAGGCTCCTTCTCGGCGGCCCCCAGGTAAATTGAGTTTGAGACCCCTGGGTCAGGCTATAATTTCAGATACAAATACTACGGGAGTCACTTGGCTGGTCCCCGAACTCGTGATAGAACTAAAATAAAGAAAGTTTTATGTTCAGGTGTTCGCCATCTTGTTGCATATACTACGGGAGCGTCCTCTTTTGTTTATCACCTTATATGTTGTTTGGCTATAAGGAAAATTGAATTGATCGCAATGCATCACTTTACCAAAAGTCTTATCAAGCATTTACTAATAAATTAGAAACTTTCTTACAGCTTAAAGTCCTGAATCTTCAGCTTGATATCCAAGTGAAATCCAATCTGCCTTCAGCAGATGAAACGAGAAAAAAAATATCAGAAATTCAGATGAAATCGGGAATTCTTGTTCTTGATAATGAAGAGGATTCAGAAGATATTTGTGGCAAAGGGAGTGGGGAGGATGTAAAATAATTTTTTTGAGGGGGGGATGTCTCCAAATTAATTGATTTAAACCAGGGATGTTGTTTAAAATGCAATTGGTATCAAATTTCAGACCATCCCAGGCTAACTACAATTTTATACTTCACTTCTCTGTTTCATGAAAATCTTTGGTCAAAGCAGAAATGATTTCATTGTCCTCTTATCAGTTTCTAATCATTTAATCTTTTATTATCGTCTGTTATACGGAGTACGGAGCCGAAGTAAATTTACAGTTATGCAGATCTCAGTGTGTGATACCAGCACAACACTAGAAATACTCGCACAAAAAGGTATATAATTATAAATGTGGATAATTTTTAATTATCCAGGCTGCAGCACCAGAAGAAATTCAAAATGAAACGAGTTTCGATATTCGGGACGAAGACAGTGAAGATCTGCTTGAGAAAGAGTTAGAGAACGTTTCATCAGGTAAGCACCAGTATGGGAGATGGAAGACGAGAAATTATATGCAATTAAGCGTGGCAATGGCTTTCAACTCTGACATTGGCAAACTGCGGACTCTGGCCTGCCTGATGCTTTCACAACCAAACTAAAACCAAATTTTGATGTTTCAGCTGAAAAATAGCTCAAGGAATTTGTTGATATTTCAATTAAATTTAGATTTGACCCGAGGCTTCTCGTTTTCCACTTTTGCTTTTGTGACACTAAATATTTTCATAAAATGTAGTATTCTACATCACACTTACATGGCCCTCCAGTCTAGGTGGGCAAAGTTTCTGGCCCCTGGTCCTGTTTTAACTTTTAACTCTTCTACTATTGCGACTTTCAATTCAGCTGGTTTGAAACTTTTGTTTGAACAAATTTTCATACTAAATATTTTTCATCATAGATGAGAACATATGACTTTCAGTCCATCGGTGGCTGCTCATGACTGATTTAAAATTCACAAACACGACATGAATTATTATAATTTATACATTTCAGTACTTTGAAATTTGTTTTTCTTAAATGTTTAGGTATAATTCAGTTTCTGACATATATAAGTTTCTAATAATATACTTTTCATCGCAAGTAAAAATTTTGGTACTCCTGAACTCGTAATAGAACTTGAATAAGGAAAATCGAAATAAAATTATAACCTAACCCTAACCTGGTACACATTCTATGTTTCCGTGTCTGCCATCTTGGTTCACATACTTCGGCAGTACCAAAATTTTTGTTACGAATAAATTATCTTCCTAGATAACTCAGACACAGAAGAGACTCGTAAAAGTAGAATCACAAGCAAAGTCTGGAAGAGAAAGTTGAATGAAAAAGGTGAAACCCCGCTACATAGAGCTTGCATCGATGGCCATATGAAGAGAGTTCAACTATTACTTGAACAGGTCAAGTTAGTGAGAAGTTCTCAATTATTAAGGACTTCTAAATAAAATGTATGATTACTCTTTTTTTTCGATTTGTTTTCATTTTTTTTAAGTTTTGTTTGATTTCTATTTTAACACTCACATCATAGAAGAAAGCAGAATACAGCTTTCAGAAACGGAACATATGCCCTTAAAAAACTGTAAAAATAAATAGCTGTGTGACAAATATTCTGTTTTTCTAGCGACCTTCCTGTACTTTACATTTACTAGTATGAATCTTATTGTCATTTCATAGATGAGAGACTCAATGAGACTCATTCAAAGCGTTTTTTTATGGTATTGTTACCATAAACGACATCGCCGTCGTTGGGTGGTTCACGTAACCGCTGGTCGGTTACGGCTTCCTCCACCACCAAGTCCATGCTTCCGAAAACCAATAATATAACTAATCCCATACCCGACTTGGAATGGTAACCGGACGAGAGGCCGTGGTTCGCCATATGGATAAGCCGTCTTATCGGCTTTCCTCTCCCCCGGGATAAATATGTAAATCCTATCCTATGCAACTTTCAGACTTTTGTTAATAAAACAAGCGACCCAAGAAGATTTTCATGCAACCCAGTTTTGGGTCGTGACCCATAGGATGGAAAACACTGACCTTATTTATTCACTCTGTATAGAGGCAGGCGCGAGTGTTTAGCCAGATATTACTTTTCTGCACATAATTAAGCCCAGCACCTTGCACTGGGTCTTTATATTCATGTTATGTTTCCAGGGTCATCCTGTGAACGAACCAGACTATGCAGGATGGTTGCCGTTACATGAAGCTTGTAATCATGGATTCGTAGGTGAGACATCACAACTCAACAAATATATAATTTAAATCATTAGAAGCAGAACCTTAGCCATAAAGTTTTACTCTTATGCTTTTAACCAATGTTTTTTTCTTTTCAGAAATAGTTCGACTTCTAATAAACCACGGTGCAAATGTAAACTACCCTGCTAAATGTGGAGGAACAACACCTATGCAGGATGCTGCAACCAACGGCCATCTAGACATTGTAGCTTTGCTGCTTGAGAAAGGTGCTAATCCTAGCATCAAGAATAAAGAGGTAAATTGAGCCTATACGACTTCAAAATAGCTTACGATCGGCTGATGGGTAATCCACAAAAATGAATGAGTAGGCCTACTAAATAGGCAGATACCTACTACACAAACGCAAACAAAAATTCCACCGCTGTTAATAAGCCCACAGAGCCGCATTCTCAATGAAATCACCACAAAAATTTGTATTTTTCATGTTCCATTTGATTTGATTATGTAATTGTACCCGAAATAAATGTTTCATCATTTATTTAAGATTTATTCGAATAATACAATTCAGATCTAAGGCCCGTCTACTTTTTAGTCGTAAGTGTTGAAATTCCTCAAAAAATCTTACCAAGTGTCCACATATTATCTTTACCTGTGCGATGGACGCATTGGCCACCTTTTTTACAAACCATATGCTTTCTACTGCTTACCTGTTCATAAGAATATCCAACCAGACGTATATGCTCCTGTGAGTCACATAGGAATTCCACACCCACAGAATCACAACCCTGTCAAGTCAAGGCTGTAATGGGAAGAACTGATTTTTCTACTATTATTCGCTAGCTGTACTTTTCACTTTTGGTTGTAACTAACTTGCTTTTAGCAAACTTGCAACTCTTCCATCAGTACTCTTTCCATTTTTAGTTTGAGGCTTGACACCTTTCTTGGAGTGTCTAAACAAATTTGTATTTTACTTTTTTTATTCAGGGTGAAACGCCAATCAATGCCTTAGAATCCTGGTTTTCAAGAAGTCGAAGCCAGCTGGACTCGTACGACATCGAATCTTACAGAAAAATCCATGAAAGCCTACTGAAAGCGGCCACTAGTGGGGGACATAAAGAGAATACGGTGCCGAGTTCAGATTTAAGCGTCGCTCTTGGGAATATGGATGACCTGTTCGACTCTGAAATTTCCTCTCAAAAAACTATTGAAGCCGGGGGAGGACTTACGCAGACTTATAATAGGGGAATCCCCGAAAATATTTTTACCCCCTACTCTGAAAATTCTACAAAACCTTCACAAAACTCTGCCTATGTCCATGAAGTTGAAGATTTGCCAAATTTTTCTCAAAATATTGATGATTTTGGTGATCTAGACCCAAAATATGATGAAAATGACTTAAATTTTAGTGACAGTCAGATTTTACCTACCTTGGAATCAAGGACAAGAATTTCAAAAGTACGACTGTCTCAAGGTGGCGATAAAGATTCTTTTTTTGACGGTGCTGGGGAGTACCAACAAGCTATGAATAGTTTGGGCGGGTCCGAAGCACTAGCCCGTTTATCAAACGGGGTTAAATCCTCTCGCGCCCCCAAACGACCTTCAACTGATGGATTTGACCTTGTAAAACAAGGTCTTGTGGGTGAAGATGATTATACGGGTGAAGATTGGCTCATTGATGATACAGATGACGTGGGTTCGAACCCCAGTCTCACCACTCAAATGAGACCCCCAAAGCGACCCAAAACAGTACACTCAACAAATACAGGGCAAACAAATTTTGGTACTTACGGATGGAAACAGTCGAATTCAGTGAAAAAGTCATTAAAAGACACAAATTCGGGCAGTTTTTCATCCTCGTTTCTAAATCGAAGCAGTATTAGAAATAAAACCCAACCAAAGAAATTAATAACTACAAAAATAAAAGATTTTATGCCAGAACCTCTTATCAATGATGACATCACTATTGACGATGATGATGTCATGAGAATTCCCAGTGTTCCCAATGATATTCCCAGTGTTCCTTCTACAAGTTTTATCACTCCAAATCCCCCAACAACTCAGCCAATAACGACACAGCCGACTCAAACTATGAGAGTAAAAGTTAAAATAAATGGAAAGATGTTTTTGATTGCTGTGCCCGGCAGGTAAGACTTCTTATATTGTTAAATTATCAATCACTATAGGAAGGCTCTGCGTTGTGGTGCCTTGTGCTAAGCATTAGAAATATGCTCACTACCGCACATCTGATTACCATTCGTGCTTTCGCAGGTTCGAATCCCATGAAGGAATAGTATTGTTCGAAAGGATTGCTGAACTCCTAAGGTGGTTTACGTAACTGCTGGTCGGTTACGGTTTCTTTCACCACCATGCATCTGAAAACAAATAACTGGCAACCTAATCCCATACCCGCCATGGACTGGTAACCGGACATGAGCTCATGGTTAATCATAATATGAATAAACTGTCGTATTCGACTTTCCATCACCTCCAGGATAAATATGTGAATCCTATCACATCCAAAGTAAAATGCTGTACGATTATCGAAACTGAGACCAAGTAGTTTACTATACCGAATCCATCCTGAAATATTATTCCTGAATATCATATATATTCTGAAATAATGTCGTGCATTAATCTTGCACTCTTTTCAGCACAAAAACGATTTCCTGGCTCTGTGAGAGAGCTGCAACTGTTTATAAACAAAACACTGGTCTTCTACCTAAGCTTACACTCTATACTGGAGGATCAGTCAATGAGGTTTGTTATACATTGAATGCATAAAAGTTTCTTTATTTATTACTCCCGTAGTATGTGTACCAGGTTAGGGTTAGGCCATAATTTTTATTCCAATTTTCCTTATTTTAGTTCTATTACTAGTTCGGGGACTGTCTGTGTTTGCCAAGTTAATATACCAGTCCCTTCACACAATTTGATGTAAAGTACGCGAACAAAATTAGTTAACTCCATATTGGTACACATACTTCTGGAGCGCCCTTTTTTGACAGAATGCACTGGTAGCGAGGGGTCTGATTAAGCATAATAGTTTGGAACCTATTTTCTCCTATGTCAATGGTTACCAACCTTTTATATCTTGTGACCACAGTCTGGAGTAGGGGTTCCCAAGCTTTTTTCAGGACGACCCCAAAGACAACTTTCAAGTGTCCAGTGCGACCCCAGGTCGATATATAGGTATATTTTTGATTAAACTTCTCCAGCTTCCTTCACTGGACTTTTGAGTTTGGTCATGTGGTGATATTAAGTAAAATAAGCTAAAACCAAACAATGATGTCACAATAAGCACTCACATTTTCAATAGCATAAGCATAGAGCGATGCCTATGGACCTGTTTTACCGTAAGCCATGGTACAAACTGCTAAATTTAACATGGTTTGTCAAATCTTAGATGTTTTGTACATCCATCCTCTACCTCACCGACCCCATGATCTGTTTACGACCCTACCTACTTATCACTCCGACCCAATTTGGGGTCGCGACCCCTGGTTTGGGAACCCCTGGTCTGGAGGCTTTTCGCTCCCTTGGCCCCCTTGTTCATCATTCCAGTGGTATTTATATTGTTACCTTGATTGATAGATTCCAAATCCCATTATGTTGAAACAATGCATGCCCAACAAAGGGAAAACATTCTGTGAAATAACCTTATCAAGTAATTGAACTGGGAGGAATAAGGAGTTTTCTATTAAAAAAAGAAGTAAAATCGGCGCCTGGCATTAGAGCACTCTCCAACTGCTCTGTTGCCCCCTAGATGGGCCACGGCCCTCCAGTTGGAACCACTGTTATATTTGCTCTCTTACATAAATGATCTGAGAATCCCACTCGTATCCAGCACTCATGAATCATTTTGTTAATTCATGTTGTTGCGGGAGAATCGTCCTTCTCTGCAACTGATGAAACAATCAATTTCAAAAATTTTAACACTCTAAAGACAGAAGTTTTTATAAAAATATATGTTCTGGTGTTCCAACCAAAATATTGCTGTTTTTGCCATGGGAACACTATAATATGACATCTGGTACAATTCTTTTAACATCTCGCTGACATTGTGGTGGCCATTTGACCATTGTTTCCATAAATTTAATTTTTTTATTGTTTTCTTTCATGGGAACACTTTTATATGACATCTGGGACAATTGTGTTACCATCTTGCTGTAATTTTCTGACTATTATGTCCTTATATTTGAGTGTTTCTCTCTTGTTACTTCTAGGAAGATGCTTGTCTTCTTTCTAATGATGATTTAGTCAGCGATGCCCTTCAAACCAATGAGCATGTCACTGCCAAGATCTCAGCCTGGGAGAAGACGCCTCTGTCTCAGAAATATGAAGAAGCTTGCAAGGAAAATAATCAAGGTAAAGTTGATTTTACCCTCTGATAACATTGCGTGGGTTCACAGGCACGCACCCACTGGTCGATACGGCTTCCTCCACCATCAAGTCCATGCATCTGAATCAACCAACTGGCTAACTAATCCCTTCAACCAGGGTTTCTCAAACTTTTTGAGCCGCGGACACCTGTTTGTGAATCTTATTTTTGACTCACCCCCATCCTTTGTTGTATCAATTTGAATTAAAACTCATTAAAATCTGAATCAATGCATATTGAAGTTAAATACAAGTAGGCCAATGGCAATTCGATAAGATCTATTTGCTACCCGATATCCGGACTGCTGGTACTATTCAACACATGGAACTAATTTAACCGTGTATATAACTACAGTCTCACACAATTAACTTAATTTCGTTTCATGCGTCTTTCTTGCATCAACGGTAACGAGCTCAAAGGACCGAGCACAAGTTATCGACTGGTGATAACTCGGTCCCATCCGACGATGTAGCTCTGTGACGAAGGTCTAACTCACAGACGCTGAAAGCAAGAATCGTTCTGCAACAGCTTTTTCACTCCCATTGTTAAAGTTTTGTAACTATAACGATTGCGCGAACTTATGACTTTATCTCGTTTACGAATGGACTGGTAACCAGACGAGAGCCTGTGGTTCGTCATATGATTAAGCTGTCTTACCGACTTTCCTCTACGTCGGGATAAATATTAAAAAATTCTATCTCTCCTTTATCCCATCCGCAGCTGAACGGAATTATTTGTTTTTCAGTTACCAACCCAACAATCCTTAACGCCTGTCACCAAAGTGTCAGTACCGGGAAGGTAGATCTGAAAAATTCTGGGCTATCAAGCTTGCATCTGAAAACATTGGTAAGTAACCACAGTTATTTACTTTGCTTACGAGACCAAATGTGTTAATTTAGTATAAACTGTAATTAGTAAATGCATGTAAACAAAACCAAAGTAACCACCAAGACATGACAACAGGAGTCATACCATAAAGTCCCTTTACAATTTCAATTTTGTTATGAAGTCACTTCTTTATGTATTTTAACCAGATTCGTTGTTTTTTAATCAGCGATTTTTCAAGTATATTTACTCCATTTAATACATATATGAGGGCCAAAACAAAACATGGTATCGATAAATTTTCATTGCAATTTTAAAAAAAATTAAAATTTTATGGACACCTTATATTTTACCCAAACTTTTTGTCACTACATTAATTTAGTCAAACTAATCGTTTTAAGGTTTCAAGTCTGACGCATCAGGAAATTACATCCATTCTGTTGCCAGGCAACTGTTTACATGACGATGGAGTTGCCACCTTGTGTGAATCGTTACAAAGACACATGACCTTGACATGCCCTTCAAATTCTTTTAATTCAACCCTCACTGAATTAGATTTGAAATGTTCGAATCTAACGCAACATGGTTTAAGAAGATTGGCACAAGCTGCCGAAAGTGGGGCTTTGAAGGTAACATTTTTAATTAGCTGTGATTTGGGTACTCACGTAGTATGTGTACCAGGGTAGGATCAGGCCATAATTTATTCTGAATTCCCTTATTTTAGTTCTGTTATGAGTTTGTGAAATGTCTGTGTTAGCCAAGTGAATATACCCCCTGCCCATAGGTTGCAGTCCCTTTACACAACTTGATGTAAAACAGGCGAACAAAATTGGTTACCACCATATTGGTACACATACTTCTGGAGCGCCGTGATTTGTGCCAGTTTCTCTGCAATACGAAGCCAGATTTTGAAGATATTCTGTATTCTATATTCATAATGTATTGGATAGAAAGGTTATTGATGTATGGCCATCCCTGAACTCTGGTGGTAATCCTTCCATCTGGTAGTTTGTTTTTTCAACTAGTATAGGGTCGCCATACCGTCCAGAAAATTCCGGACATGTCCGAGCTTTAGGGGTAAATTTTGCGTCCAGGCAAGAATTTAAAAAATGCTCAAATGTCCGGAATCCGGAATTTTACTGCATCTGCAATCTTACTGTGCACACTGCTAATACAGAACATTGTTATTTCGTACCGTGCGCATATTTTTTACTACGAGGTCATGAAAATAGTCATGCACTGTCTGGAACTTTGCTTTTTGAAATTTTTGATTGCAAGTATATGTTCTCATAATATGACCATAAACCAGTGGATCCCAAAGTCCCCCAAAAGATATTTGCGGGCCAGAATAAAGGAGTGCCCACAAAGGGCCGATACCGGCGTATACAAGATACAGGTATAATTGAATTGTTAAGATTACACATGTGCTTGAACTGTGATAATGACAAAACAATGGGTGGTACTGAGAAAGCAAAAGCCTGTAAAGTCTTACCGAGTGATGTAGTCCTTGCTCTTCACCTTTATATTGTATCCAACCAGTTTAGTGTAAAATCCCTAACCTGAAGCACTTGCCACTTTCTCCTTCAGCAACTTCAAACACTGGACATCTCTTACAATCGGTTTGGAGATTCATGCTTAGAAAATCTGGCAACCCTGATCAAATCTGTCACCAGTTTGAAACGACTTTCACTGTCAAGATGTAGATTCACAAATAAATTATTTGAAAATAATTATCTGGCTTTCAAAGCTGCAATGCAAGGTAAGCATCTTCGTTTGAGTAAAGCATGGCGGCTCATTTTGTTGAAAACTAACAATTGTTGAAAGCTTACCTCATTGGTTCCCTTTGCCAATCTGTTCTCCAATTGCTATTCATAATGAGTACTTCAATTATTTAATTTTTAACGGATTCTTATCTCGTGTTATGCACAAGTCGCCTCTCGGCTTCTATACATTTGAGGTAGTTTATAATGTGTAAACGAGAATATCGGTCAGAGACTGAAGACTTATCGATCGAAAGTTAGGGGATCCCCCAAAACAACGCTCTTACTCCATAGTGACACCTTGTGTCCCATCACTAATTAATCAATAACTCGCTAATTATACGGCCTAATTAATCCAAAATCAATAGGCTTCTGGTCCGAGATATGATGAATGCACATGCAAAATCTGGAGCAGATTTAATCTCGCTTTCGTGAGATATCGATTCCTTGTCAAGAATGACTAAATTACACCCTGTGAAACGTTGGCTTATCTCAATAGTTGCAAAATATTCGAGGCGATAAGCAACTATGAAGAATATCCCTCTGTGATTTCTCAATATTTTCTAACTTTTCATTATTTTTACCGATGGATTTGTTTAACAGGTCACATGCTTCTGTCAACACTAGATGTCTCTCACAATCAAATTGGATCAGTCGGAGTTGAACTTTTACTTAAATCTCTCCCTCATTCTACTCTGACAGATTTGAATATTTCTGGCACGTGTGATGCTGCTAATAACTTGTTGCTAATGAGGTGAGTTATTTGGACTAGTAAATAGACAGTCAGTAGTTTATTTTTTCACATACCGAACATACGAACGTGTACAAACAGTGAGGTAAAATAAAAAATTTCAGCGTGAAAGTAGAAGCGGTAAACCAATAATAGTAATCGAGCAGCGTCACCTATGAGGGAGTCTAACATTGAATCACACAAATACAAAAAAGCCAAACAATATTTAGTAACAGAAATTGGTACGTTTTAGACTGACTGTTTTCTGTGTGAATGAGTCGCTTTATCTGTTCTCTACTCCCCTCTGGTGTTAGTTCGAAAAAATATTCACTCATATTCTATGCATAAAAGTTTAGCGAAATGTTAAAATGCTTTTTCACCTTTTCTCTCCCATGGATATAAGATTGGAGAGATCATTTTCTGGTGTTCGAGCAAAATGTTTTCGGTCTGCCCAGCAACAATAAGGTTTGCTGCTTTTCAAAAAAGTGGGATTTTTCTCCTAGTCCAAATTTGACGTTGTATGAGACCCATTTACAATTTTTTTTTATTCCCTCACCCAGGCATGTCATCAACTATCTCAAACAGGAAGGCTGCAATCTTCAAGTGTTGCATCTGGCTGCCAATCATCTCAATTTTGAGATGATAAGTGAACTTGCTAGGTAAGTTATAAGGAGGGTAGTGGGACACTGTGTGAGGGTTCTTTTCTCATCAGTTATTTCCAACTTCAGGGATATATGTGGTGTGTTTTACCAGGATGCTTGAATATCGTGTAATTAGAGTGATAAATAATCTCATTTCATTAAACAGTTTGTATTTGTTAGGGCCCAAAGTAAATTTTAATCTTAAAATATTGCCTAAATGCAATCTCCCTTGGATCTCTTTATTCGGAACTTTTAATTTAAGTCTTTGATTTAGTGGTGCATATTGTTCACAGTCTCACAAATTTGCCTAGAGCCTTGTTACGAGTAAAATTAAAAAAAAAAGATTACCGTTAAAATTAGTTCTGTTGATGATGCTTGGTGAAAGTTGTCAGTGCTAGGCATGTGTAGTATGTACAATTACCGGTCCTTTCTCCTTTCCCTTTTTTGTTTCAACCCACCATAAGGTTCACGAAGTTAGTCAACGAATACTAATAGCATGGGCGTAGCCAGTAATTTCTGAAAAGTGGTTCAGAGATTTCTTACTGCCAAGTTAGATCGTAACAGCTAGCAGGTTTTCAAAATACTTTAGGGTCTAAAAAGTGTTTCAAGCTACAGAAAATTTCTATGTGTGATACAGCAAAATGCTTTTTTACATTTCACAAGGGGGTACGTTTGGACTCCCATTGGCTACGCCCCTGACTAAGAAACTCATTTTTTGTTTGCAGAGAATTAACCAAAATTCAACAACAACTACCTCTTCAATCGTTAAATATTTCCAAAAACCTTCTAAACTCTTCCATGGAATTAAAGATCACATCTTTGTTGAATCAGATTCCAAGCATTGCAGAGATCAGCGTTAATCCTTGCTGCCACAAGTGGAAAGCTAATATAATGTCAATCAAAGCTTCAAAAACTGGAAATCATATGACTCATAGAGGACGATTATTATTTGCTTAACAAGGTTGATTAAATCGAGTTTTATTTATTTACATTTAGAAAAAATATTGATAATAGTAAAAAAGTGTAGTCAGCCCAACGTTTTATTTTGTATAATGACGTAATACAATGCTCACTTGTGCCTTTTGCAAAATTGCATTTTAAAAAAATGTTTTTTTTTTTTCTGGAGGGAGGGGGGTCTTCATGGCCCATCAGGCCCCCCAGCTATGCCTATGTAGGGGTTGAGAACCAGTGCCCTAGGCAAAACAATATCAATTTGAAGATATATGTCGTTTTATCGGATAATTTTTGTTTTGAGGCACAATCAGTGGCTTCTTACTTAGAGCCTTGTTCAAAGCAAAGGTTGTAAGTGTAGAGCAGAAATTTATCATTTTTGATTTGACGAATGTTGTGTATCTGATATCTTGTTTTTTTTTGCTCTATGAGTTCTCTTTTGCAAAAATATAATCATTTCCATTCAATACATTTCTTATTCATCGCATTGAAATCATATGTTATGCTTCATGGGAAATCAGGGTGGGCGTTCCCAACTTTGTTTGCGCTGCTCTTACCGAGACTACAGCACAATTAAGGCACTTTAATAATCGTTGCAAATATTCCTGACGAGATGGGTCGGACACTAGCACTGTAGGAAGAAGATCCCTGTTCGTTTATTTGCCCAAAAATGCAACACCATCTTTGCAAGGAATAAACATAAGTCTCTGTAAGTTATTTTATTTTTTTCAATTTTGCCTAGACTATAACACATTTTGTTCCTACATGCCTGACCACCTCCGTCATGCTTGTCGTTCGGTCTTTTCATCTAAGGACTCTTTTCTATAAGTTACAACTTTGGTCATTGTTTTGATAAACAAAGTTGAAAGAATATGTATATATAAATATTATTATTAACCCTTTCCGTGCGGTGGGCACGTATACGTACCCACGACAAAACTCGCTAGATTGCGGCGGGTACGTTGATGTACTCCACTGTTTTATTTAGCAATCGGTCGCAAACTGTTGGTCTAGTTTTTCCGGGTTTTAGTTTATTGATAAGAAGTCTTCTTCGAGATTAACATAAGCGACGGTAAATCTCGCTTTCGTTTACCATGGGAATTTTATTTGCGGCGGAACGAGGGAGTGTTTTTAAAATTTATGCAAATTTCGGTGTTTTTTGGGTGGTAATAGAAGACATATTATCCCTTCCATCTACCAAAGTATTTTGAGTTAGATAACGAAATTGCTACAGCAATATTATGCTATTGTTTGCCAACCAAGAAGCGGTAACAGTAAAGGATTTAGCGAATATTTCTATTTTTTATCACGGTTTGAAGTTTCAACACCCAAGAAAAAAAAATGCCTTTTTTCTATCCGGTTTGTGACTCGGACCACCCCTTTTGAAAAAAAAAATTTTTTTGATCGCCAATTGCAAGCTCTTTAAATAAGCTTTCCAACGAGCCGTCAGTGGGCAGCAGAGGATCATTACTTTTTCGTTAGTCGATCGATTAGTTGTGGGGGTACAAATGCATAAAGTCGGGGTAGCAAATACGATTATTCAATAAAAAATAAAAATCGCATGGAAAGGGTTAAATGCATTGATCTGGTCACGAGATGCCCACCATTGTATATCAAACAGTGGAGGAATTCTAAATTTTTAGATTATAGTTCCCGATGTTGCGGACTAGACTAGATAATAGAAAATACGAGAATAAATTATCAAAGATCTGGTGAGGGTGAATTTCTAAAAATTACAGAACCTTTTGTAGCAGTGGAAGGTCAGGGCTTGTGTTGTTTATGAGTCATTGGATTTTTTGAATAGGCACAAGAGATTTGGCTCCACGTATAGCTTATGGGTTCCCACCTCATATAATACTAAGGAAGACTCCCCACACCATCTTTTGATTTTTTTCAGCTTAATTTTTCACAATCCTTTATGTAAGTTTGGTCACAGTGTAAACAATATCGTCACGAGTCTTGATGACCTGCAATAATGACCTATTTTGCATACTGACTTACACAATTCTATGTTTAAATATTTCACCGCACTGTGTTTCAATAAAAATCTGTAACACTGTCTTTTCTTTTAACATTGTTTTTGGAACTAAAACTCCCTCTCTCTCTCTAGTCGTAATTGAAGAGACTTTCCCTAAATCTGGCAACACTGAATTTACACATTTGCAGCGGTTCCGGGAGCAGCGCGAGGTCGGCGCGGCGTTGTTTGTGAGTTCCGAGCTTCTTTCAGTCTTTTAGTGTTAGTGATTAATCCAAAAGGAATATGTATAGGGGATTTGAATATGATTATATGGCTTATGGTCCTCCACCTCCCAGGAGACGAAGAATGCCGCCACCCCGCGCGATGAATGGCTATGGAGGTGGGTACAGTGGTTATAGAGGAGATCATGGCGCGGCCTCCCTGATGAATGATTTAGAAGCGGCTGCGTATCTTCATGAATACGAAGCAGTACTAGCAGAAGAATATGCAATGGGACTTGAAAATCCATACGGTGGAGGATGGGACCGTTATCATGAAGAACCTGTGTTAATGCACCCTCCTCAAAGAAGAAGATTTCCTCGAGCTCCGAGACAGCCAAGACCTGCAAGAGGCAGAGGAGGAATGACAAACAGAGTGTCATCATATGGGGCTGGTTTAGATAATAGACAAATTATGAAAGCGCAAGAACGATTTTTAGGCCCCCAAACGAAATCAAAACCAACAATTACAAAGGATAATGAAACGACAGCCTCAACATCAACGCAAAATGAAGAAAATAACAATAATACTGGCGATAAAAAGTCTGCGGAGAATGCAGTAACGACTCCTGTAGTGCCATTAAAGTCAAAAATTACAGCCAAACAACAGTGGGAGACAAGTTATGTTGAAACCATGAAAGAAGAGTCGTTGAGACCCAAACCCGAGCCGGTTATACCATCTCCGGCAAAGAAAAACATAGAGCCGACACCAATACCTGCTCTAATGGACCAACCCCAGGTATCTGGGCTTCAGAAATCTTCCAGCAAGAAACGAAAAAACGATTGGTTCAGACGTGGCCCGTATTTTCGACGGAAGAAAAAGAAAACCTCAGAATCTGAAGGAGCGGCTCAAGAACCAGGATTTGGATTTGATGTTAACGGAACGAATGAGGGGTCAAAGGTTACAGGAAGTGAAGAGGGAACTACCTACCCTAAAACTTGTAAGGTATGTAATGTTAAACTCTATCAACCATCACAAGCCGATGACCATTACAAAAGTGAAATTCATGCAAAGAACGTCAACAATTTTTTGAGTGGGGAGGACACAAAAAAGATCGAGAGAAAGATAAATAAAATTACTGAAAACCTCCCCACACCTATAAATACTCCAGAGTGCCTCGTGTGGGAGAAAGACACAGGTGATCGCACACAAAACACTGTCAGATTCTGCCGCTTATGCTCAGTCGAAATGTCATCTTTACCGACAGCAAAACAGCATTATGCAGGAAAAGCTCACGCTAAGAGAATTAGGATCGTTCAACGAGGGAATCGACCTTATAGAAAACCTTTTAAACCGACTCATTTTGTCAGCGGCGGAGTTTTAGGAATTCAAGAAAAGCCCATCGAACCAGCTTATAGCTATAACCCAGCAGCTCACTTAGCGTTTACACAGCCTGATTCACAAATCGCAAATTCGAGCATAAATTTTAAACCATCTCTGCCTGGTGATTTTGCAAATAGTATGACACCTAGTGGACAATATTACTGCCAAACATGCAACATTGTTATTGAGCACGCAGGCAGTCTAAGCACTCATCTACAATCAAAACAACATAAATTAGCAAAAGCGAGGAGCTAACTGTGTTTAAATAAATAACTTTTTAGTCAATAAACTGGAAACTTTTTGGTGCCTTCCAAATTAGTCTTTAACTCAGGAAGCAATGAAGCGTCAATGCCGCTAGATCCGTGGTTCTTAACCTTTTTTCTTCTGTGGCCCATTCACTTTTTCATGCAAGGGGAAAACTACAAGACAAGCGAAAACTATTACTGCAAATATAGACACTTTCACTATAATATTCTTAATGTTGATTCTGTCGGTTTACACTTCATTGATTTCTACTCGGGAAGCAATGAAGCGTGTATGCTGCCAGTCATACTTTAATACACTGATTCCCTACATGTTAGTTTTCGAGTTGACTTTGCCAGTCCACGTTTCTTTGATTCTCCTGTGCTAAGTTATTTCTGCCAATTTATGCTTCATTGATTTTCACGTGTGATGATATATTCTTGTTGATTCTGCTAGTTCATGCTTCATTGGTTTCTGCATGTCTATTTATTTCTGTAAATCAATGCTCCATCGCCTTTTACTAGATGGGATATATTCTAGCATTAACTATAGGCCAACGCTTTTGAAATCCTATATGTTATACCAATCTCGTCTCATTGTGAATAATTTTGTGTTGTTCATAACTTCATAAAATATTCATATTACTGTTTTTCAATAGTATGGTTATTTGAATGAAAAAGAAAAATTATTTTTGATAATAACTTGTGCATTTAAGAGTATTTCAAGTTCTGGTGAATTCAATACTTATATAGAAATTGTTACTTTCGTTTTGCTTTATTGTATGAGCCACGCTGTAGTATAAAATAGTTTTTTTCATCACAGTTCACTTTCTGCCAATTTTTTCCATTACCATCAGGAACTATACTAAAAATGAAGTAAAATTTAATAATTCAGAAAATATTTTTTTCAAAAAACTGATAATATCTTTAATGAGACCGATGTGCATGCATATTCTCGCACAAAAGATGTAATCTTAATTGTATTCTGGTCTCAGTACTGTTTTCAAATTTGATCAATATTTTGCATTAACATGAGAATTGTAGAAAAAGATTTTACCGCGCCCCCCATTTTGCAACCCACGGGTGGGGTCGGCACGCCAAGTTTGAAAAATCTTGATTTAGAATATGGATTATTTACAGCTGAATTCTCTGTATTTGACTGACAGGGGTAACTAAAGCCGAATAAGTTAATATTCAAATTAATTACAGTTATTAATTTCATAGCTATTATTACCATTTATCCATTTCCCTGAGGATTTGAGTGTATGTCCACATTTATTCGTTTTTCTCTGTTTGTGCAGTTAGTTATCTTTGTTCTTTTCAATGTGTATCTGTTCACCTTGGAATGCTTAAAACATTCAATGCATTAAGATTGCTATTTCATCATTTGGTTTTTCATTAAGAAATTGAATGAATCCTTTTTTGTTTCACTGCTCCAGGCCCTAGCTCCACGGTACTCGGTACTAGAAGCCATTGAAATGTAATACATACAGTAGAATCTCGTAAGTTGCTATTTAAAATCATTTCAATTGAGTATTTTAGGAATGCCTTAAAATTGTTATACTTCGTCAGGTGTCTTTCATCGTGTTTGAAGAAACCTTCTCTAGCCCTGATTCCAGTTCCAGTAAAATGTCAAAAGCTCCAGGTTCTCAGTCCTTTGTTAGGGGCCATTGAAATGTAATTTGCTTTTAAAAGCAATAATTTTTTTTGTAAAATATAACCAATTTCAAATGTATTCGTTGCTTTTTCCCTGGGCACATTTCCACCCTTGGCACTGTTCTTTATTTATGAGTGATTAAATTATGTTGACTAAAAATTGCTGTAAATTTGTGATTTCATGTATTTCTTCTCATTATTTAACTGTATATATTTCTTTTTAAGCTATTACAGTCATAGGGCTTAGGAGCTTATTAGCTAGAGATTTAATTTAACATAGAAAATAAAATTTTGGTGTAGACTGTCGAACAAATTGCTGAAGAATTTAACACACAGGCTTGGGGCTTTGTTGTCAACTATTGGGAATGTTGGAATCTTATTAGATCAGTGATTTTTAAACAGTCGAACAGGCCCTGCGAGTGGGGGTTAGACAATTTTTTGAGGGTGTGAAGCTAATAAAAAAAAAATTGTTAAATTTGATCTTGCCAGCCTTAATTTGGATATTTACATTTCTTTATTGTTTAGAGCAGGGTCGTCCAACCCGTGGCCCGCGGGCCATATGTGGCCCGCCGAAGATTTCCGAGTGACCCGCGTGGTATTTTTCAAATCCCAATTTCTTTTACAAATCTGAGCCAATATTGAAACCTTTAATAAAAAAAAATTGTTTATCGTCGTTCAAACGCGCGAAAAGCACCACCCAGCTATCGAAAGCCTTTTTATGTCCCTATGTGGGCCTTATTGCTGGAGAGAGATGTCTGAATTTATTTTTATCGTCTACAATGTATTTCAATTTGTTTCCGTGTCTTTTTTTTCTGTGAAGCCCAGAAAACGCATTTGTGTTTTCATCAACTTGTAGTCAGTATAGTGAAAACTAGAACATAACTGCCATGTCAAGTGTCCCGCGCAATCATTCGTAAACTAAATGTGGCCCTTCGGCAAAAAAGGTTGGACAACCCTGGTTTGGAGATTGCGATGCTATCCACGTATTTTCAACGTGTTTTTTGAATAAAACATATTTTCACCTTACTATTTGTTAGCTAGTTATTTTTGAGGTGGAGCACAAAACTTGACCAATTCTAAAAAGGGGGCGTGGTTTAAAAAGGTTGAGAACCACTGTATTAAATTGACAATGGCAAAAGCTGATAATCCAAACTACTCCGCCTGGAGATCACGGGAAATCAAATTAAATGAAGAAAATATCACACCGTGGGAGGCAGCTGAATTACGAAGGGACGATATAAACCAACTGTGTTTTGAACTTGATTCTGAGGAATTAGAATTAGATTTATTCTCAGATTTGTTTCGGAAGGAATTAAATGAATATTCAACTATTGTAGATGGTGAGTGGTGTGCGTTTAGGGAGATATAAAATAATATAGGGTCTACATGAAGTCTTACAATTTTCAAAATTACGAGGGGATTTTATCGATACCATATTTGTCTTGGCCCTCACAGATGTATTAAATGAAGTAAAAATACTTAAACAATTACTGATTAAAAACAACAAATCTGGTTAAGATATATTGAGATCTGGCTTCATAACAAAATTGAAATTGTAAAGGGACTTTATGGACACCTTGTATGTATAAATTTGAAATAGAAATATTCTTGATTATTCCTAAAATTGGAAATTTTTGATTTGACATATTCCAAGTTATCTTATTGTAATTTGGTGAACACAATAATGTTTGTCATCTGACCATATTTCTTCTCGTCTAATGCATAACTTAAAATTTCTACATATTTTCTTTATTATTCCAGGTGAAGACAGCACTAAATCATTTCAAGAGGCAGTGAAAACTTTAGTCCCAGATTACAAGAAAAACTTTGAAAAATTCCAATCAGGACTTACGACTTCAAAACTACTTGAATTAAAAAATGTCAAAACTGCCTTTGAGCAGTGTAAGCTCCTATCAGAGCCTGAAAACAATGAAATTAGGAAAAATGAACATGTTATAGTCCCAGTTGGGCCGAAATCGGGTAAAAATGGTCCAAATTTGACCTCGAATTTAAAAGAAAGGCTAAAATCTTTTAATATTTATCAAAAAGTCCCGAAAGATGGAAAAATTACAGAAAATGAAAATAAACGAGGGTTTTTTGAAGAAACTTTGAGAAAAAGTAAAAGGAAATGTGTTGTTCCGGACGACAATATTGAAGTTGGAGACAACGAAGGTAATTATTTTTGCTGTAGCTACTTGCAATCAATCAAACGTCAATTGACTTGTTGCTCTGATGTTTATAAGCCAATATTATTAGAACTATTTGTGTATACTTTTTCAAATTTTTAATTCAGAAATGTTAAATTTAGTCATTCTTGCGGTTTTGTGTCTCTAACCTGAACCTGGGATCTACAAAATAGCGGCCTTGCCAGATATCTCAATGTTATCCAAACTAATTTTTTAACCTTTTTCATCAATGTATATTGGCAGGTTTATTCTCTGGAGTCGAACCTGAGCGTAAATTTCATTTCAAATCAGCGAAAGAGCAGTATGAGATTGATAAAAAGAAAGGAAAACATACATCTCCACAAGGTAGATGATTATAGATGGGAATGTTTTGATAACATAGAGCTATTGAATTTCCGCTATAGGAGACCCTTAGTCTCTGTCGTTTTTTTTCTGTCTGTGTATGTGTCGAAGCTGTAGCGTCTAAACGGCTAAACCAATCTGTTAAATATTTCTGACGTGGGTCAGCCTTTCACCCTCGTAATGTGTGTTTCATTGAAAGTCCGGAGTGAAGTTTCGTTTCCATGGCAACAGCAAAAAATTGCACAGATCTCACTATGCTTATTCATAGATAATGTAGGAAAACACAGAGTGAATAGTGATAGTAACTCTTCAGGCACCTTGCCTAGAGCCTGGTTTAGAGAGCTACAAGAAACAGGAATTATTTTTTGTCTTGCAGGTACCTCAAACAACAACATTCCTGCAGGAAAGAAATCACTTGGGGCTCGTCCTCGTAATAGTTGTTTCGGGAAATTTGTTCCGCCGAGCTCAAAAGATCAGAGAGAACAGAATGAAAGAGATTGTGTAAGTTGTGTTTATTTGTAGAGAGTATAATGAATAGGATTTATAATACAAACGAGATAGGTTTGCGAGTCTGTGAAGTTTGATATTTGTGTTAGCCGCAACAGCCACGACCCGTCCCGCCAAGTCTATTAGTGTGTCCATTGTCAACACTCAAGTCCTCATCAAGCATAAAATTTGAAGCTATAGCTGTATTCTCTTCTCTTGCCGTTCCCGCGTGGAAAAACTAATTATTTCATGCGGCCCAGCTAGATATCTGAAGTTGGTTATATGGCCCTCCGACATAAAAAATGCTGCACATACCTGATTTAGACTCTGAGATTTAAAAATCCAGAGTCCATCTTTGGGATAACAAAAAAGCGTTGTCAGTTTTTCACTGGCGAACAAAAACACGCTCCAAGACTCGCACCGAGTTTAATCCAAAGACCATTGGGTGCTCCCGAAGTATGCGAACCAAGATGGCGGACATCGGAACGTAACAGGTTAGGGTTAGGCGATAATTTTTTTCCAATTTTCCTTATTTTAGTCCTATTATCAGTTCGAAGACTAGCCAAGAGCCTCCCGTAGTATTTATACCTAAAATTATGGCCTAACCCTAACCTAGTACACATATTACATTCCGATGTCCGCCATCTTGGTTCGCATACTTCGGGAGCCCCGACCATTGAAATCTACAGGGTGGCCAAAAGTATTGCGAAATGTATTTAGTAGTCGAATCCTTCATTTTTTCATGGAAGCCAGGTATTGATCAAACATGCTCTTCATTGTGTGAACACTCAGGGAAATGTCCGAATGATAGATTATTTGTTTTCACAAACTTATGCGTCTGAAGGACCCATTACAATAAAACAGTCAATACAACTATAGGGCAGGGCTACTCAACTATTTTTACCGAAGGTCCGCATACAAAACTTCAAGAATATTTGGGTCCGGTGTTTCCAGAAATTATATTTACGCATCCTTAAACACGCAATTCCTCGGCCGACTAATGATTATTAGCTAGTCAACATTGTTTATTATGGCGTTATAGTTCTTTTCGTATATATTTTTAAATCTATAAAAGTGATTTTATAAATGGAAACTTCAAAAGTGGGGTTAATGATCCAAAATAAAGAATTAGGCGCGGTCCGAATCGAATACCCGAAAGGTCCAGATTCGGACCACGATTCGCCAGTTGAGTAGCCCTGCTATAGGGTAGTCACTACAAAAACAGGAAATATGAAGATCAGATCACGAATGATATGCATATAATTGTAGGTCGAATTGTAACAATATTCCTGAAATTAACCTTCGAAACGCTACACGAGCTTGGACTTCTAGGTTAAGACACTGCTCTGAAGTACATGAATAATATTTTGAGGATATATGAGTGTAATACAACATATGCCTTTAAAAAACTTTGTAAAAATAAATAGCTGCTTGACAAATTTTCTGTTTTTCTAGCCTGTACATATCTTCCAGATATTCAAAATTTGATTTAAGAAATTCGATTCAATTCTGAAATCATCAAATATTTGAAAATGTCCAGTTAACGTTCATTTATAAACAATTAAATTTTTTCGTTTCTAATTTCCCAGTCTCTTCTTCGGAAATGTGGACAAAAAACTGGCAACAATGAGATGGACGTAGATGAGATTGATCCAAGATTGAAAGGTCTGGATCCCAAGATAATAGAACTTGTATCAAATGAGATTATGGATCATGGACCCCCAGTACAGTGGGATGATATTGCAGGTGTTTGGTTGTATTAAATAGGGAATAGTTGGTGTGGCCGAGTGTAATCATTTTATATTAAATCCAGGTGAGGTATGTTTGAAATTAATAATCTATTTGAACACAAATCAAAAAAAAGTATATTGTAGTGAATTTTGATTTTGAAAATAAAATTATGATATTTAATCTGAAAAGCTGGTGTTCAGACTACACTAGTTTTATCAGACTCAATGTGTCAAACTTTTCTGCCTCGTGAGCTCAATCTCTATTATTGAATGGAAATTGTCTGTTACTTATCGATCTTAAGATCGGTAAGTATGTTGATAGGTATTTGGCTGTCTGTATGTCTGTTTGTTTGTCTGTTAAATGAACGCGATATCTCATGAAAGCGAAGTTGAATCCGCTCCAAATTTTGCATGTGCATTCATCTCGGACCAGAAGCCTATTGATTTTGCATGAGTTATGTCGTATAATCAGCGAGTGATTAATTAATTAGTGATGGGACACGCGGTGTCACTATAGAGTCATGAATCAAAACCGCAGTTTCGATCGATAAGTCTTTGGTCTCCGACCGTTATTCTCGTTTATATATTGATCAATTTGAAATTTTTATTTCTCATTTCAAAAATTATCTCACAAATTCCAAGTCCCTCCAAATATTTTGAGTTATCTTGTAAAATTTGCTCCTAAACAGTGCAATAACTAGCTATGCCCCTAATATTTATGCAATTCTTCATTGTACATTGTTTCAGGCCTTGAGTTTGCGAAGACAACGATCAAAGAAATTGTCATTTGGCCGATGCTGAGACCAGATATATTTACCGGACTTCGTGGCCCTCCAAAGGTGAGATAGCTTTTAATCCATTCTTTCTGGTACATTTTGCAGTTTTACTATGAGCAGGATTCATACACTTTTAATGCAAATATATTCTTGTGTTCTGACAAGACTGCTTACTCGTATGGTGATCAATTGTGCAGTGGTAAGCATTTTCCTAAAACATGGATTTTACCTAATGACCCCTGGTGTTCCTGGGTCATTTTGACACCCCTCTATAATTTTTTTAATATTTCACCAACCAAAAATGCCAAAGACATCATTAATGTGTCCCTAAAAAGCTTATTTTCGTCGCTTTCCACTAAAACGCGCCCATATTACTAGCGTAAATGGGTCGGACCATATGCCGGTAAGAAGAGAGAAATTTCAAAAAATTTCGAGAAAAAGTTTCTCACTTTTAACGCTGTGGTCAACACGTGATTGATATGCGAGAGAAAGAGTTTTCCTTTGGACGAGTTTTACGTCACCTTCAAAATAAAACAAAAGTGGGATTTGTAAGTGAAGTGATATTCGTTTTATCCAGGTTTTATCGAAGAGCATTTGATCGCGTGCTGTCTGGTATCTTTGTTTGTTTATTCTGAGCCGGAGAACGTTGCTCGCGCGTTCAAAATACTTACAACTAACTAACAACAGAAATTTTGTTTATTTTTAAGCTTTGAAATACTTATACAAATAAAATTGACCGTGTTGCAAAATAAAAATTATACATAAAAAAAATATGATGACGCCACCGTAAGTAAGAACACTCGGATCAAGCATGGATAATTTAAACTCAAACACTTTGAGTTTTGAAATTGGTTTTGTTCACATGCAGACCACTATGAAATACTATTGACCCCCCAAAATACATTTAATTCAGCCATAATTCCAAATTATGACACAGATCAGCCAATTATAACCGGTCCGAAACCCCAGGGTTAAGAGGTTTTTCAGTCCTCACTCTAAAGCAGGGGTCAGGAACCTTTTCGGTCGAGAGAGCCGTAAAATGTACATATTTTCAATTGCATTTCCGTGCAAGCCATATAGCATTTCTTCACTTAAATGAAAGCCTGAAATTTTTACTCTAAAGTCAACACATATATGTCAATTTAATGTGACTTCTGATGCTGTATATTGTCACTACGGGCCTTGAACGGCTGCTCACATGCAGCACAAGTTGAAATCTATGATACTCATCGCTCTTCTTTCGTTTAGGCATCTCCTTAGTATTTTAAAAACTAGCTTTGCTTGTCCGATTTAAATATGTCAAATACTGTAAGTACAAATGGACGAAAAGCCTTATTTTATTGCTCAGCAACTCCATCGCTTTGTGATGTCACAAAATATGTTCCAGAATCCTCCAGCTTTGTCACAATGCCTGTCTGGTAATTCTCTTAGATAACATAAACATGCGCGGGGCGCGGTAAGCCTATCCTTAGAATACTAGATTTTTCCGGGAGCCATATGCCGTCACCAAAAGAGCCCATATATGGCTCGCCAGCTTTGGGTTCCCGACCTTTGCTCTAAAGTCTAAACTAGCACTGTACTAGCAAACCATAACTAGGATATATATCGTTTGGAAGTACTTGCATCTTTCCCATTCAACATTGCCTACTGAATCCATTTCCTTTTGAGTGGAGTGGCAGACATGGTGTTTGAACCTAACCATCAAAGCGCCATCAAAGCAAATTCTGCATAACAGTCTCTCTGCAATTTTTTTATGGACTCGCGGTCCACTAAAAATTCAGAATAGGAACATGTTATATTGAGCATTGATTTATTGCATGTTGTTAGTACAGTTCGATGTGATGGGGGCAATTGCTTGGTTTCCACCTGTTCACCTATTTGGGGTTCTGTTTGGGCCATTACTCTCGTATCATGTCTTATGGGTTACAAGTAAATACAAAAACTGTTTTCGGCACTATCCCTTATGAAAACCTCCACAGCAGTGCTTTTGTGTCGGTGTAGAGTTGCTTCGCGGTCCCCCCAAAATCATTTGGCAGACCCCTAAGCGACTGCGGACCCCACTTTGATAACCAATGCTCCAACCACTATTTTATTTTTCAATAACAGGGCATTCTGCTATTTGGACCACCTGGTACTGGTAAAACATTGATTGGGAAATGTATAGCAAGTCAATCTGGTGCCACATTCTTCAGTATCAGTGCTTCTTCACTCACTTCAAAATGGGTCGGAGAAGGAGAGAAAATGGTTGGTTTGGACTGGATTCAACCGGTTTATACTGGTATTAACTGGCGTTCACATAGCATTCATGCAGCTGATCACATTCAGTGATTCCCTTTCAATTCCTTTATCAACTGACTTTGCTTTGACAATCTTGAAAACTCGAAAAATAAATTATATTCAATAGATAAGAAAATTCACTTATTGAAAAGTTTGGAATATGGTGTTTTAAATAGGATAATTTTTTATATTCGATAAGACAATAAATTTTAGCAGGGCTTTGAAAGTAAAGTCAACGAGACGTATTTCAATTAGGAAGTGTTTTTATAATGAGTCTGCTTTGTTGGACCAATTCATACTTCCAAGCTGTTCTCTTGACAGTGTTGACTTGAAGTGTTTCATGCGTCATATAGGCCTCTATCCACTGGCATCTATGTCACAAAGAGAAACATATAGCTGTTGATGCATGCATTTTCATTTGCAACTTTTTCCTTTCAGTTGACGACTTGAGACCTTGCTCGTGGCAAACTTGAATATAAAGTAAAATGCTAAGCGATCATGCTAATTACGAATATATTTCATTTCACAGGTCCGAGCGTTATTTGCAGTAGCAAGTTGTCATCAACCGGCAGTTATATTCATCGATGAAATAGATTCGTTGCTTTCCCAGAGATCTGACAGTGAACATGAGTCATCTAGAAGGATAAAGACTGAATTCTTGGTTGGTTTTTCTCATTAGATTCAGTATTTTTTTATTCATTTCATTTGTTGTTTTTGTAGAATATAGGTTTGAATGTTTGTGGAATGATGCAATCGTTTGTGAGTTAATTCCTCAGCCTTGTAATAGTCTATGCATTTGATACAAACAGCTGGTTAACTACGCTCATACCTGACATGGTAAATGGACAAAAGGTTCTGCATAAATTTAGGCCTCTTTCATCTTGCCAAGAATAAATGTGAAATTTGTGCTCAGCAAATTATTGTGACCCGTGGTTTCTATAAGTTCAATCCTCGATATGGAATACTAAACCTTATGCCAGAATTGTTTTGAAGCACAACATTACTTCACCCTTGCTAAATTGAAATTTTGAAAGCAGTCCAATTCAAATATATATGATATATATCATGGTTGCCATACCGTTCGGCAAATTTCGGACATATCCGGAATTTAGGGTCAAATTTTGCGTCCGGGAAGAATTCAAAAAATGCTCAAATGTCCGGAATCCGGAATTTTACTGCATCTGCAATCCTACTGTGCACACTGCTAATACACAACATTGTTATTTCGTACCGTGCGCATATTTTTTACTACGAGGTCATGAATTTTCACTACGAGGTCATGCACTGTCCGGAATTTTGTTTTTTCAAATATGGTGACCCAAATATATATATTCTAGCACCCAACAAAATAGTCATTTTCCAGGTCCAACTAGACGGAGCAGCGACTTCCAAAGATGACAGAATTCTTGTCGTTGGAGCAACGAATCGTCCGCAAGAAATAGACGAGGCTGCAAGACGTAGATTGTCCAAGAGACTTTATATTCCTCTACCTGAAGCTGATGCCAGAAAGCAGGTACTAGAATTAAATAGGGTCAAAGTTGGAACCATAATGTTCAATCATAGTGGGAAAAATCAATGAAATTCCTCAACAGCCCTTTTCAAAAAAATACTCAAATTGGGGTCATGTACTCCTTCATTTCTGAGCAAAGTTATGATGAGCAAACAAATACCAATAGCTACATGAGAAACACATCACCCCTCCCCACAAAACAGAACACTGGTCACGTATTCCAGAGAGAATATAACTTCTGTACAAAGCGTCTTAGGTTACCCTAACTTTTGGGTACAATCGTACACAAACAGAAAATCAAGTGTTAAATAATTTTCTCCATTGTTGTAGAAGTAATTAAGCAATTAATGAGTTTTGTTTTTGTGGTCAGCCTGTATATAGAATAACAGAAGATACATATATACCAGGGGTTCCCAGCCCCCCTTTTGTAGGCTTTTAGCACTCATGGCCCTCTGTTTACCATTCCAGTGAGATTTTGATTGTTAGATTCAAAATCAAGTTATGCTCAACATAGTGAAAACACCCTGTGAAATAACCTTATCAAGCAATGAAAATAGGAATAACGAGGAGTTTTCATGTGAAAAGTAGAATCAGTTTTGCCTTGTGACCATCGCAACTGCTGATATAATTCACTTGGTTTACTTGCGCTCATTTCTGATTTGAACTTTAATGCTCCTTTCCAACCTAATATTTATTTCAGATAGTAGAGTCCCTACTACAGCAACAAAGCTTCAATATTGCTTCTGAAGAAATTACTTCAATCATTTCTGGGAGTGACGGCTACTCAGGTGCTGATATGGCAAACTTATGCAGAGAGGCCGCTCTGGGACCGATTAGAAGCTTACAGGTAAAAGTAACTATATGAATTCGGTTTTTTAGAATAGGATTTACATATTTATCCTGATGGAGAAGTGGTAGTTGTAGACCAGTGGCTCCCAACCGTGGGCCCGTGGGCACCAAAGTGGGGCCCAGGGCAGTTGGGAGGAGGGACACGATGCTAGACGCAAAACTGATTCTACTTTTCACTTCACAAGAAAATTCTCCATTCTTCTTAATTTCATTGCTTGATAAAGGTATTTCACAAGTTCTTTTCACTTTGTTGAGCATGAATTGTTTAAACATAATGGGATTTGGAATCTACCAATCAAAATAACACTATGAATACCACTGGAATAATGAACAGGGTGTCAACAAGAGTGCTAAAAGCCTCCTTAAGGTGACCACGAAGGAACCACTGTTGTAGACATATACTTGTCTTATCAGCTGTTTCTTGTCCAACTCGTTGTTTAGAATGGAAATAACCCATAAACAGCCCGCGGACTGGATCCGGTCACTTGTGTCTTATAGTTTTTATGAATTTCCGTTGAAAATATCGATGAAAATCATGTCGTAATGACCCTGTTAATTACATTGCGCTTCTTATTAATATAAACAGTGGCCTAGCTGTTGTAAATAAACTTTTTTATTGAGTTTAGGAGTAACCAAGTCTGTTATCTGTAACTCAGAACTTAAATGCCCACCCTTGCCATAAAGTATTTATCTTTGCTTGACTTCAACAATTTCTATTTCTCCCAGGGCATGGATATTAGTGCAATTAATAAGGATGACGTTCGACCAATCATAGTAGACGATTTCAAGAAGGCATTGTTACGTGTTCGTCCAAGCGTATCTTCGAAAGATCTAGTTCTATTTGAAGAATGGAATAAGCAATATGGGTGTTGCGCATTCTGAGTTCTCTTCGCATTAGTTTGAAAAAGTTCTTGTAAATCAGAAAAATTGCAAACTGTGAGCCAATCGTGTACCATCGAGCATTTTCTAGTGGACCTCCTATAAATTCCAATTTTGACAGTAATACGCAAAAAGGGTATTCCCATAGTATATGTACTAGGTTAGAGTTAGGGCATAATTTCATTCCGATTTACCTTATTTTAGTTCTATTAAGAGTTCAGGGACTATCTGTGTTAGCCAAGTGAATATACCTCTTGCCCATAGGTTTCAGTCCCTTTACACAACTTGATGTAAAGTAGGCGAACAAAATTAGCTTCCTCCATATTGATACACGCACTTCTGGCGCGCTCAAATTTTTTGTTAAATGGTTTTCATTCATAAATCAAACAATCATAAATTACGTTCATTTTAACCAATCGAATTAGTCATATAGATTAGAAAGCAAATAACGTTATCAAACTCAACCTGTACAAATTCAGGTCTCAGATGTGACTCTCCTCTACTTTTGGCAAATTTACTTGGAAAATACAAGTATGTCTTCTTCGGGACCTGTTTTTCTCATCTGTTTAATTTTCTTGTCGATCTTTAATAATGTTCTTGAAAGGACCCCTATTTTCTAGGCCCACCAGGTGTCGGGACCCCCAATGCTAACTTATTGTATATGGTTGCTTGTCTAATGCTTTATTTAAGGTGGAACATTTCATAAGAGAATCATAAGTTGTTCATTGTTTTTCTCAGTTCAGTTTTTTAAATATTTTTCTAATAAAAAATTTATTTTTGTTATAAAAAAACATTTTCTTTGCAGTTCAGTGAGTTGGGAATATTAAACTCTGCAGTTAAATGTCATCAGAATAGGACAGGACTAGGGGCAGTTAGTTCTTTTGTGTGAACAGTTTGTTCAAAGCAGAAGTGTGCGGCCGCAGGCCAAAACCAGGCCCATCTTTTAGTGTGGCCAATACTTGATACAACAGTTCGTTTGAAAAGGCACTCACAAGGCAAAAATACATGTTTTTTGCTCTTGTCACGGCAATAAATCTTCTGCTGCTTTACCTGGTGCATTTATCTTTGGGAGACTAAGTGGTGGCCGAGTTCTCTTCTCTTGCCTACCCCGCTGAATTTTTTGTGTGGTCCAGCTAGATACCTGAAGTTGGTTATAAGACTCACCGATAAAAAATGTTGCACGCTCCTGGCTTGAAGCATAGTGCTGATAGATTGGTTTGATGGTATATCCTGGCCTATTTGAACAAGCAGTGAAAATGATTATTTGTAGCAATATTGCTTGTTAACATATTTCTGGCAACGGACACCAACTGGCTTAGAGGTACAAGGGTGACTAGCCACTTTGGCCATACTTGAAATTCCTCGTTGGTCACTAGGTTAGGTTGCTGTTAAATAATGTTGCGTTAGTTTAAAAAAGGGGGTGGGGAAATATGCCGAACCACACACCGGTACTTCTTAAACTGCTGGCGAATGCGTGGTTCTTCACAACATTCCCATTCTGGCATTGCAGTTCAGATCTTCGACAATCCTTGGTTTTTCCATTGCATTGTACTTAAAAATAACCAATCTAGTTTTTTTCTTTCATGTTGACTAGCATAGTATTTTATGACTCAAACTTCTAAAAAAGTTTTTTGCCCTCTCTCCGAGAGCCTTAGGTACTAAATTGTAGAAGTATTGACCACACAGTTTCTCCATCTGTATATCAGTTAATTCTTGCAACAGAGATGATAGCAGACACAAAACAATTCAAGTCAGGAAAAAAGCTAGATTGGAATTTACAGATTGAAATGGTGAACGAACGAAAATATAATAATATCTTTGTAAAATGTAATAATAATAAACTTGAGAGAGTATTATGTATCATAATGGTTCGCTTTGTTGAACCACAGAACGTTCTGTTGTGAAGTCATAATGATATTGTGCGGTGGACCATGAAAATTCATCACCAATATCAACATTAAATTGTCCATAATTAAAAGCGCAAGCCACGGAATCGTCTATTTTAAACGGTATATCATGAAGAGGTGATTTAGCTGTCGGATTCTGTCCATGAAGACTTGAGGTGCTGGTTTGGCTATTCAATTGTCCTCTAGTGCCACCTTGTGATTGATGTAGATTGTTTCTCAATGGTGTGTTTTCGTATGTTGGCGGGGACGAATAAGTCCGTTGTGATGGGTTGAAATCTCGTTCATTCTCTGAGAACTGCAAATAGAAAGTAAAGGATATTGCCATGGATTTGCGGAGGGTTTCCCTAACTGCTTGCCCACTGTATTTTGGAGGTCACAAAGAGTACACAGATTTCACACAAAGTACGAAGTCTGTTGTACTGTTTTAGACTTTTGATTCGAAACACAATCATTAAGTTAGTGCAACACATTCACAATTCCAAGAGAATATATAGGTTCAGAGAAACGACGCTCTTGCATAACAATGCAAGACTTGACAAGGGCATGAAAATACATTAAAAGTTTAGGAAACCAATTGAGACATGACTGGTCAGATCACATGTATTCCACTCTAATTTAAAGAAGTGCTGCTGCTGCCATTTTCAGTGTCTCTAGCTGGTTTTTAATCAAATCTTAGGTTTAACCCCAATGCTGACAATATCAACTTGATTGTTCCCTGAGAACTTTGATTATAAAGTAAAAGGCTATTATTATGAATAGACACTTTTTAATTGGCTATATAATGATTAATTGGGGCCTCTTCATTAACAGTTACAAATCCCCAGGATTTAGCTGACTTTTATACGATTCAAATCTTTACTCTTAGTAAGAATCATTGTGGCTCATTCTAATTAAAAAAAAAACAGGTGCTGGTGTTTCTCGTACTTTGTATCACCAGCTATGTTCAGTAATTTATTTTTCCACCATTCCAAAGCACACAATGTGAATACACAATACAAGAAATAGGAAATATGGTACTTTAGGGTGAAGGGAGGCGCGAGACACCAAGACTGGTGATCGAGCAGCGACACCCATGACAAGTCTAACAATAATAGATAAATAAAGTGTTGGGGTCATGTATGTTTATTCCCATTATAAATGAATTAGTAATTATCAATACTGAAGACTGGATGTATGCACAAGACCATATTGGCCTAAAACACACGAATGTACGAAATGCAACCCTTTTGATAAGTATAAAAAAAAACAATAAATCAAATTGGTAAGATATGTTTCCCTTATACAGACAGTTGTGCATTAATAGGGGTGAGGGAGGTTTGTACAAAGGAGTTTGTAAGACAAGAAAACATCTATAAATAGGGACACTACATGTATACATAATAATAAAATTAAACAAGAGAGCTATGCTCAAATATATGGACACGTAGCGCCACCCAATGGCAATAATTTTGATGACGTCATAGCGAAAAAAAAAGTAATAGCCCTCTGGAGAAAAATTTTATCTTTAACCACTGAAAATTTCAAAGCAATTGGTCCAGTATTCGAAGAGAAAAGCGATTTTATAAAAATGGAAACGTAGACAAATAACAATAACAACAAAATTTTGAAACGATCGTTATGTCCACTTCGTGTCCAATAAATTAGACGTAAATACACACACTTAAGTGGCGATACCATCTAATATTAAAGATCCGGCATTCAATTTCTATGGCTGCCAATCTACTTGCATCTCAAACCTATACTACAATTATAAAGTGAAGGGATTTTTAATTGGCTGGATAAGTCATGATTATAGCTAGGGGCTTGAAATATTTAATTGGGGTCTTTATTAAGATACAAATTATCTGAATGATCCAGACTCCACGTTTGAGCATGTCTATTCACATTAATCCCACCCTAATTTGTCGCTTCATTGTGTTCTCTTTATTAATACTTACAAATTGAAATGAACATATTATACCGTAAATGACGATGTTCAGATTTAATACACTTACAATTAGAAACTCTCAATTAGTGGAAATACTCATTAAAAATGGCTGGGAGTGCTAAGCTAAGCGTGGACATGGCATTTCACCTCAGATTACTTCTTTCAAAGGGGATGCGAGAGACAATATTTTGCATCAAAATCATTTTCCGATGGTCCTGTGCGATTTTTGACACTCACACTCACAAAATTGCCGTGCCATGTTTCAGCTATTATTGGAAAGCTTGTTTTGGCTCTCATTCTTATAAGTGCATCATGAGATTTTACCCTGATAATTCGGAACCGCTCGAACAAAAAATTTGGGGACCACTGAATTAGAGGATCTAGTATTTACCTGATACATTGGAGGCAAATCTTGGTCTCTTCTGTCAGGAGTTATCGCATTTCTTTCATCTTCTGTTTCTCCTACAAGAACGAAGCCATCTTCTTCCAAATCATTGTTCCTACTTTCATTATAAGAGGCTGGCTGTTGGGGCGGAAGAGGTTTTAGTTTCTTAGTGAAAAATGACATTTTTAGGAAAATCTGTAAAACAAGATTTATAAGTTAACAGCAAATGAAAAACACCGTTGAAGTCTCTAGACTACAGCAGGGACGTCGCTAGGAATTTTCAATGAGGGGCGGGGAATTCTGAAATTTCTAAGTTGGGCTGTAACAGCTAGCGGGTCCGGAGAGTGGTTGAGTGGGTTTACAAGCGTCTTGAGGGTTTACAAAATGTTTCAAGCTACAAAAAATTGCTATGTTTGATACAGAATAATACTTTTACATTTTAAAGAGGGGTATACTTTGTCAGATGCAACAAATTGAGTTGAAAGAATCTTTGTCAATTGATAAAGATCTAATTTGTAAATGCCAGCAATCCTTTTGCACATAATTATTCTCCTTAGGATTCGAACACACAAAGGGTAATCATAGGTGCAGATGCGAGCGTATTCCTAACGCTTAGCACAATGTGCCACAGTGCAAAGAATAGCGAGCTAAAAAAAAAATTTTTGCCTTCGCAGTATAGATGATTTATATTAAAATATTTGTTACCAAAGAAAGTATTTGGAGAAATTGCGATAAGTCAAACACAGGCAATAGAAAACATAACTGTTAAAACACTGCATGAAAGTGCCAAAAGTCTATACAATGAAAGGGCATTAGAGTAAACGTCAGTAAATATGACTTTATCATAGAAAAACACAACATTTCATTTGCTACCGTCCACATGGTCCAACTGTCCTGGTTGGCACAAAATATTTCTGTAGTGAGGTCTCCCGTTACTACAGATATACAGTAGGACACAGTTCTCTGATTCCAAGAATAGCCCCCACATTAAAAGACATCAATTAAAACAGTGAGAACAAAACCCTCCTAACGAGCCAGTCTGGGTCTCCATATCGACTTAACACCGCAAACTGGCACTGTGTAATAAACTAAAAGCAAGCGCCATCTGAAAACGCCAACATTGGATTTTTCGGAAGAAAATAATCAGATTTACCAAAGGGAAAAAAAACAGCATTCAAGAGATTTTAGCAAAAAAATGCAATTTTGGTGATGGCCAACACATGTCTTGATTGATTCAAAATATTATCAAAACAAGAAGAGCGCAATCTCTCGCATCTGCTATCATGTCATACTCCCTCATTTCAAAGACAAATAGAGTGTTCGTTTTATTGAACCAAATGTTGTGACATCTTGGTATCGGAGAACTGTATCCTCCCTGACTGTAAGAGTACCTGTATCATTTTACAGAAAAAGCATACTGCAAAATATACATAGTCTTATAACTTAAACTAGTATCATTTACCATGATAATTCATGCAAGATAAATCAATTGGAATATTGAGAGCAGCAGACAGTTCATTTTGTAAAAGGTCATATAAATTTGACCCGTCATGAGAATAAATCCATTGTCCGTTAATAAAATCATAACGTTTCGGCCCTGAAGTCGGTGATGAAAGCCATATTTGCCTATTAGGAGATTGCTTATTTATAACATAAGTCCCCTTTTTCTTGCCTAAGTTCATAGTCATAACTCCACTGCTATAATTAATGTCCAATTCATCATTTTCAATGTCTTCAAAAACGTTTTCAAAGTATTCCGAAAGTTGATCCAGAGTTTCTTCGCTTATTCTTTCATAATCATTCAAAGAGACCAGTTTTTCTTGCGAAAAATAGCGACAATTCTGAGACAAAAATTGTCCGATTTGTGAATGTTGACTCGTCTGATTTGCTTTTACCAAAACTGTTTCCATTTGCCGTATATTTTGGTTTTGCGACTTCAATCTCGTACATGAAAAACACCGTTGACCGAAATTTATTCTATTGACTCCACTAACAGCAAACCTAGCCAACATTTTGACTTTTCTATGCCCCACATTTACATAAAATCCTAAAGTAGACTCATAATGAGGAACTGTGCGCATTGGAGCGTCACGAGATGTCAATATGACGTATTTTTTGTTGTTTACAATGATCACGTTTTTTTGTTACATCGATTATCGATTTGCGAAAAAATTTATTCACGATAATACCTTACTGAAGCGTTAAAACTGGAAATCTTGAATGTTGCAGGTAAAAAACTGCCGCAATTTACCTTCTTTCGGCTAAAGAGTTTTCTGATGACCGGTCACGGACTGTAACCAGTCAAGGGTTACAGAATTGCCTATCAGTTTTCCCCGAAAACTCGACAATGTAGAATGCAAAGTATATATGATTTTTATATAGTGGCGTGTTGGTTCCAGATGAGACTAAAATTTATTTCTATCGGTCTACGTTACTACGCTATTCAAGCGCTTGAAACACGCATGCCATTGCACCGGGAAAAAACTGCATGGGCGGCAGCTTTTTCGGTCGTAACTAATTTCTTATTAATAAAACCAAAGTAAAGTTCTTCTTGTGAGGACATATTGACAATTAAATTATTTTTTAATTCACTAGATTTCGAAAACACAAACCGATTGTTTACAACTATGCTTGAATATTTTGTTAGAGCGAAGAAAGGCATATCTGAGCGATTGTGATTTCTGATTATTAAAACCAAAGTAAAGTTCTTCTTGTGAGGACATAGTGACAATCAAATTATTTTTTGATTTATTAGATTTTGAAAACACAAACCGATTGTTTACAACTATGCTTGAATATTTTGTTATAGCGAAGAAAGGCATATCTGAGCGATTATGAAAATTACCATTGTTATATCATCGTTGACTTTTTGCTAAGAAAATAGATGCGTGGGGGGGACATTTTTTGTTTATCGCGTCTCCTTCCACCCTGAAATCCATTTTTTTTTCTTGTTTTATTCTGTGTGTGTGTAAGTATCAGTAAGTTTTTTTTACTTGTGTTTTGGGGCTCCCGAAGTATGCGAACCAAGATGGCGGACATCGGAACGTAACATGGGTAACAGGTTCGGTTTTTTCTTTACTGCCGTAGTACCCGAGCTGTACATATAAATAGAACTAAAGAGCGCTCCATAAGTGCGTGTACCAATATGGAGGTAACTAATATTGTTCGCCTACTCTACACGAAGTTGTATAAAAGGACAGAAACCCATGGGCACAGGATATATTCCCTTGGCTAACACACACACAAATCCCCGAACTCGTAATAGAACTAGGATAAGGAAAGTCGGAATAAAGTTACGGCCTAACCCCAATCTGGTACACAGACTACGGGAGTACCAACAAAACTGCGCTCCGCCCTATGCCGAAGACTTAGGTGAAATTTCTCCCGTGGAGGTTATTGCGTATTTATGATATCAGTCAAAAACAATTGTTTCCACTTATATATATATATTGTATAATCGCCTGAACAACCAAATTTTTTTAGGAACGAGATCCACATCAGGCTATAAATTCCCAACTCGAGTATAATTGTGTATACCCACAAAAGTCGCATATACATCGCTATGTGGCGCACTGGGTACTGAAATAGACGAAAATTGGCCAAAACCAGATACAACACAAAGAAACTTTGGAAGTATAAATGCCAAGATGGCGGCGATCAAATTGTCCCGCGCTGCGGCATGTATTTTCAGTTCAGTGATCTAAACATCACTTAGTTACCAACGTCACGCTTGGCAGCCCTCGACGATGCTAATTATCTCGAAAAAATTACATTGAACATACCGCGTTGATTCGAAGTCAGGTGTATTACTGCCTGAGTGAAAGGCGTTCAACTGGGACGATCGAGTGCGCTGTTTCAACTCTTCTTGAATGTGTGGATATTCAAGAAGATAATATGATATCCCTTTTTTAATTTTCGTTTATTTTAGTTTACTTTTTTCAAGGAAAATGCGTAATTATGCAATCATCGGCGACAAGATGCGTGAGATAATTTGAGGAGTGAATCCACAAGCCAAATTTCTGACTGCCAGTAGAGAAATACTAAGACTGGAAAACGGTTCATCAATTTGAACCTTTCTATAGCTCTCGCTTTAACCCTGGTTTGCTGTTTCTAAATTTATAAAACATCTCACAAAAAATGTTGAAATTAGTGCGGCTATATGCTCTTTTACTGATTGAAACGGTATCATACAAACTGAAAATAAAATGAAAAACGCCATAAATCTTTAAGCAATATATATAAGCTCGTGCTTAGAGCCCCAGAGGAAAGGGAGCACCACATAAATTTAAATCTGTGTTTAATGAAACAACTCGAAAGCGTTGAATGCGCACATTCGTGTGATTCAGGCCAGTATGGTCCTGTGCATACATCCCGTCTTCAGTATTTATAATTACTAACTTTTTTATTTTGTTTTTACGAGACGAATAAACATATATACATACAAGTTGGTACAATCGAGTTTGTCAGTCGACACAGACCTCAATATTGGCCCGGTTGAAATAAAACTATCAAGTATCATCTATTCTAAAATATATCTATCGATGTTTGTAAATATGAGAACTGTTCAAAATAAATCATGTAAATGAATCGTAACTTGGCCCCAAATTAGGATAGGATAGGATTTACATATTTATCCCGGGGGAGAGGAAAGCCGATAAGACGGCTTATCCATATGGCGAACCACGGCCTCTCGTCCGGTTACCATTCCAAGTCGGGTATGGGATTAGTTTTACTGTATTGTTTGTTTTCGGAAGCATGGACTTGGTGGTGGAGGAAGCCGTAACCGACCAGCGGTTACGTGAACCACCCAACGACGGCGAGGAGTCCAGCAATCCTCTCGCACATAACCGTCCCTGCATGGGATTCGAACCTGCGAACCCACGCAGAGTAGTTAGAGGTGCGGTGGCGAGCGTATTCCTAACGCTTAGCCCGTTGAGCCACACCGCCGCGCTAATTACTAATGAACACAGAAACTTACTTATTCTAGTGTCAGATAACATAAAACACGAGTTCATAAATATTATATTTTATATCTAAGGAACCAAAAACATAAGTGCTTAGCGCACTCGAAAGACATGTCCTGGCACTACCAAACCACGGGCCACCCTCTCCTGCAGAAACAAACAAGCATGATGAACTGTCGATTATATTTAATTTTGATTGAGATTTTTTCGATCTTGTTAAATAAATAATTGATTGAATAAATGATTGATTGATTGATTGATTGTTAAATCGTCAAATTTGATCTGTTATGGCAACATTGATTCCGCTTTATTGCAGTCGACTGGTTATATTCAAGATCATTGTTAAAACAATCCCAAGATCTGCAATAGAATCCCAAGAATTACTGATATGCATTTATTTTAGTAGAATAGAAAACTGATTGACCATATCCCACTTTACACTTCATCATAATCCGAAGAAATGTGGCGTGCGGCCTCGACGTAGTTTTAGAATGAACAGGAAGATACATCGCGCGCGCATATTACTGCGTTTCATCTTCAGTGCCTGTGATAAGGTAGCATGTTTTACCCGTCATGGGGCTCTTGATGGTTAATCCAACCCCGATTGATGCTATTAAAAGATGAGATTATGCCATTATGGGCATAAATATCACCAGTAAACAACAAGCAATAACCTATACGATATACGTTCGTGTTTTTATTTTGTAATATGTTTGTGTGCGTGAAATGGGTGAACATGCACATGTATTTCTGCGTGTTTTAAAACTTACTAAAGGTTTTGCCTGTTGTCCCGATTTTCCCCATTATTCTGTGTGTTCATTCTCATGTTATGTGTGTTCATTGTTTGTTTCGTGTTTTCTTTTTAGGGGAGATCAAAATAAACTTATACCTCACCTCGTGAACACGCGAGAGAATGTGACAGCATATGATTACGCCGACTTTTAACAATCTTCCTTTGCTTCGATAAATCAAAAACCCTAATCCGGGAGATGTCATCCAAGATTCATAACAACGCGCCTTTCATTTCTAACCATGTTGCCAAAAATTCACGCATGAATGCAAGTCGAGGAAACCGGACTTTTCTCTTCAACAGCTGTTTACATTGCAATGCTTTGTGCTTTGTTTACCAGATTGTCACGCCGCGGTTTGGCCTATTTTCTGTTCAGATACAATGTAAGCGTGTTTTTAAGATTTGTTTTGAAGTTGAATTAATCTTTAAAACATGCATTAGTTGATTCTCTTTCTGTGGTCGAGTCATTGTTAACGTGTGTTTAGCGTGGTGTCTGTCCTGTTGTAGGAAACTCGGGTCCGATTATTCTGTAATTACAGTACAGCAGTACCAGTTTCAATTGTTCAATTTAGGCCACTAAAGCCTACTTAATTTTTTTTATACCTATGAATCTAGCATTAGGTAGGGTATGAGTTAGACACCTTTTAACTTTGCCTGAAATAGCCTGTATTGATGATATTACTTTATTAAAGCAGTAAAGAATTCAGGAATGACAAAAAGTGAAAGTTTAGGATTTTACAAATGACCTACAAACCTAAGAGTATTCTACAATATTTTGTGGACAGTTTCGAACAAAAAAAGTATTCAAAGCGCTTGAATACTTTTTTTGTCAAAATCTATTGTGTGCATTGTAATAAGCCAGTATGCCGGCGCGTCTAGTACGGTATTCGGATCAAGTAATATTTTATTCAAAACCAGTACAGGTCAGCAGGTTGCGCCATATATTCCATGCGCATTATGTATGGATAAAAACTCCAATTTAAGCAATTTGTGGCCAGTCTGCCAGGGTGCCTCATAATCTGGTGCACCTTGTGTCCCATAAACACATTATTTATGGCGGGCCTGCACAACATACGACCCGCGGGACTAGAACTTAAAAAATAAGTAACAGATGTTGCTATTTACTGTAAAATTTCAAAAAAATTGGAGCAGATTTTGTAGAAAAATTTAATTTAACAGTCAAAAAAGTACAACAAGAGGAAGATCTATTGCTAATAAACGGATTGCTTGTCTAGCCTACAATGGAAATATCCAATAATGGTAGATATGACTGAATAAATTGTCATACATATATTTCGGACGGTTTTACAAAACTGAAGTAAAATATTTTTCTGCAGTCAGTTTATACTGCAACACGCAATACCTAATTCTAATAAAAAAGAAATATTGAAAATGAAGGGTGGGTTTTCAAGGTAGATGAACCACTAAATACATATTTGCCATCTCATATGCAAAAATATTGTACCTTGTTTTTATTCAAGAAAATAGGATTCTTCAAATTTTTAAGCTTCCCAGTAATGAAAGTGTTTCATTAAATTTAACTGTTTCACAATATTATTTTGATTCGTAGTTCATCTTGTGAATATGTATGGGGCAAAGTTTGCGGCCCGCCGGGCCTTCAGATTCATGCTTATGGTAATTTGAGTTGTGCAGGCCTGATTTAGGGTGATTGTTGCTATACTTAGCAAGCTCTATATCGTGATTGTGATGTTGCAGGGACATAACCCTATATTTAAATATTAACTTTACTAATTATTTCATGATTACTTTATTTATCACTATTGTTGTATTTACAGAATTATAATTTATGTTAATTTAAGAATTTGAAGTCATGATGCTGTGGGCAGTTTTAATGCTTGTGCTTGTGCAGAGTTCGTATTGTATTATTGGTATACACAGAACCAACACTCTGAAACCTACCTGTGATAATACAGAATGGGTGAAATCAGAGAACGGAAATGTTCATGAATTATCAGAAAACTGTGCTTATGTGTTATCTTCAGTGGAGTCAAATGTGCAAATGGAGACATTTTATGAAACATGGTTTTTAAAATATGAATCTTTGATATATTCTATAATAAGTGCTTTTATGGTCGGGCTAAGTGGAATATTACCGCTTATTATGCTTCCAAAAATGAGTGATGGGTCTAAATGTCTTAACCGCCTCCTTAGCTTTGCAGTTGGAGGTCTGCTCGGGGATGTTTTCCTTCATTTGCTACCAGAATCGTGGAATGCATTGCTCATGTCAGAATCTGACCATAAAAGATTCCATACTGCTGCTGTGTTCAACGGATTTTGGGTGTTAGTCGGACTTATCTTCTTTTGGACTTTAGAAAAAATGTTTTCTAAGGAATCAGAAGCGACAGAAGAAGTGAAACCAACGTCAAACGTATCTAACGGAGATATATCTCATCAGAATTGTAACGGAAATAACAACACTAAAGAATGGAATATAGAAGAAAAAGATTGTTGCTGTGGCGATGATAAGTTGATCGTGCAAAATGGAGTCCACAAAGTTCGTTCAGATGTCAAAGGTCATTCTGACATTGCGCAATCAAAATCTAATGTTAAAATGGCTGGATATTTGAATTTGTTGGCCAATATTATTGATAATTTTACACATGGTTTAGCCATCGGTGGGAGTTATCGAGTCGGGCGATGGGTTGGTATTCTAACAACTCTCGCTATTTTATTGCATGAAATTCCTCACGAACTTGGGGACTTTGCAATTTTGCTTCGAGCAGGCTTCGATCGCTGGCATGCAGCGAAAATGCAACTCATGACTGCCACCGGAGGGCTTTTTGGGGCAGCATTTGCCCATATTGTGGGCGCTAACACAACTTGGGGAATATGTATTTTGCCCTTTACTTCAGGGGGTTTCTTATATATAGCTTTATGCACTGTGGTGCCAGATTTGCTAAAAGAAAAATCACCAAAAGAATCCTTTTATCAATTTTTATTGTTATGTTTAGCCATAGGCATAATGGGCCTTGTCAGTATTATAGAATAAAAAATCTTTGTTGTTCATTTTTATCCATTTTTCGTGCCTTTAAAAAATTTATTCCTATGTGCAGTGTATTAGAATATTTTTTCCGCAGTTTTCTTATCTTTCAAGTCAAGTATTTTTTTTGAGTAGTAGAATTCTTGTAAACTGTTTACTGAGTAGGAGCGCAGAGTAAAGCTTCATAAATTTCTAACACTGTTTTATTTGTTATGTTCATTTGTTGTAAGCTTTTGTCTATAGCAGTGGTTCCCAACCTGTTATGGCCCCCTTACGAAGGATTTTAGCACCCGTGGTCCCCTTGTTAATTATTCCAAACATAGTAGCAATGTACACAAGTAAAATTGGAGATTGGTCTCAGATTTGCTTCAAATTGCATTTATTTGTGTAATTCCTGATTGCTTGCAAGCCATAATAATACCAAACTATTGAATATGTTTAAAGTTAGAATAATAATAAAATCTTATAGAAGCCTTTTTGTTCATAGTCTAACGAATCAAATAGTCTACCGCAATGTTTCCCAACCTTTTCCAGTTTGCCACCCACTTTTATTGTCATTTTTTGTGCGAACCTCAATGAGATGTTAATATATAATAAAAGAAACAATGTATCCCTATGCTATTTACTATTAATGCGAAACTTGATCTTGCATATTTGATATTATTAGATCAAGTCTGATAACAACGTATAATTCTAATTGTTACATTGTTTCATAATTGTTACATACTGATAATGCCACAATTTCCAGATTTAATCGAAAACTGTATGTAACATTTAGAAATACCTCGCGGCCCAAATAGCACTGGTTAGGAAGCCTTTTGACCTTTATATCTATGAAGCATGTTTTTTTCTTTTGTGTTTCGAGTGAATGAAGAAGAGAGTTTATTATTAACGCAGATGTTTTTTTTTATTTCATCACCATTTTAATAACATGAACTAGAAGCTTTATCTTTATCAATATTGAACTTTTCTTTCAAGTTTATTGCTCTATGCATTTTATTGAACTGTTTTAATGTCGTTTTATTGTTGTTTAAATTTCAGTTGCAGCCATTGCTAAATCAGTAAACTTTGACCTTTCATGAATGGAAACTTTTGTAGATAGTTTTTTGTGTGATAAATTGCTAAAAAAATGGTTATATAGGTAATTGGAAGCAGTATAATTCTTAAAAATATTTTGGCTTCTAATTTTGTTTCACATAAAAATACTATTTCCATGAGTGCCATGGTAGCTAGTTGATTGATATGATAAATTTTGGATCTTTCCCAGTTATCCCTAACCCTCTACGCCAGGGGTGGGCAACTTCTCTAGTCGGCGGGCCAGATGTGGGAAAATGAAGTTTTCGGTGGGCCGGATTATAACATGAATAGCATTCAATATCCTAATCACATATTTATTCCCTAATGCAAGGAAGAAAATTATAATTCGTGTTTAAAGTAAAGTTTAAACTACAAAAAAATAGAGATCAAAAAAACACATATATCATGATGTACTAAAAGTGTAATAATGTGATATCATAATGTACTGATGTACAGTCAGTGGGCCGGTCAAAATCTCATTGCGGGCCACGGGCCGTATGTTGCCCACCCCTGCTCTACGCTCTACTAATAGTAAAAAAACTCATATATTAGCCAAAAAATGGTTTGGCTTTTATTAGTTAGTGTGAGTATTCATATATTAGTGTGTGATAACTGGAAGGAGGGTTAGAATTTGAATATCAATTAAAATTTGGGAAAATTTTGCAGATATAAAAACTTTTTCTATACCGGTAATATTTTTCATGATTTTGGTAAAAATTTTCAAATGGTAAGATCAAGTGTATCATCCTACTGTTAGGTAGTGGTTGAAATTTTATGAATATCCCTCAAACTCCCATCAAGTTTGGTTATTTGGCAACCCTTCTGATTTAATTCATGAAATTCAAATAATAAACACCTCCCTTGAACTCAAAGTATAATGAGTTCTATAAATTTGTTCTCCCAGACACTTTGTAATAATGATAACAAAAAATTCTTCAGATTGGAGAACCAAATGTCATTTTCTCCGAACCCATGTTCATTTTTTAGTATTGTGCAAGCGGTTATGCAACTTTTGTTTGTTCATGAAGCAGTTGTTTATTGCATTGTTTGTTAATAATGCTTACTTTTATTATGTAATAATGATGCCCTGACTTCGCCAATATTTGTTTGCAAACATTGCAAGCTGATCAAGCATTTCTGCCTGTTAAAGAATTTTATTTATTTTATTGCTCTGATTATTAGAGTATCAATAATAACCCGCTATCCTTAGACCAGATATGTCTCGCTTTAGTGACTCAAATCATCTGTGGTCCTGTCCTAACAGCAGTAAAGGGGACTTTTTCAAATGTTTATTTAGTGTTTTAAGAGGGTCATGACACATGGAAAATTATATTGTAATATTCCAATTTAATTTCATATTTTGGGAGCATCCAAGAATTTTCAAAGCATGGTGGGGGGGGGGTTTGTCTGAAGTTTCTAATTTCCAAGTTTGACCGCAACAGCCAGCGGTTTGGGAAAACATAGTTTTTCGGCAGTCTTGAGGTTACAAAAAGCGTTTCAGGCTATGAAAATTACTATGTATGATACAAAAAAATAATGCCTTTTTTATGTTCTATTTTAAAAGGCGGGGGGTTCCAACCTGCGAAATCGCTTCTCTGGTATGCTCTTGTATCATATACGTTCAGTTTTAACTTATTATATATGGTTACAATCATATATAAGGGTTTGATTTTAAAGCAACTGAACAAGTGAACTGCCAATCAAGTGTAGTATATCTTGTGTAAATACTTGATCTTCAAATGATTTTAAATGTCTTTTACCCCCCCCCCCCCCCCAGAAAAAAAAATTTGTGTAATTACCATTTACTTATGCTAAAATATACATAATGTGAGTGAGTGTTCATAATGTCCTGTTACATTCAAAATTATTAATTAGGTTAATTTTCAAAATATTTTAACCATGCACTATAGAATTTCTCTAATTACTGTTCTTTGGGCCTGATAGTATAATTGGTAAATTATTAAATCAATTTCAATAAATCTACTAAAATCCCCCCATTTTATGTACTAATGCCACTTTAGAAGCCAGTATTGCTACTTCAAAAATTTTGATCAATTTCTATTTTAGTAATAAGTGCTTTATTTATTTTAGTGATTATAATTGAGGTTGGCAAGGGCTGGTACTTGTGCCTTAGGCTATTTTGCTGTAATTGTACAATCAATTCTTTACATGTGTTATTATAATTCAGTTTAATGAATGTTTTTCTTGCAATCGCTTAAAATGTTTTATTTATCAAAATGACAGTTGTGATTGGCCTTATATGTCTTATATCTGGCACACCATCCTTTATGACCTTGTTTTGAATTATTTCCGAATCCCAATTTTTAAAATTTGATATTCCAGTTTTATACTTTAAAATTATATTTGATTTGGATTCATAATATTTTTTGTTACATGTTGGGATGAACAGTGTCTTGATAAATACTGATAAATACTGATAAGGACTGATAACAAACTGATAAATTTCACAATAAAATAGAACTGTAAAATCAGTCTGCCGATAAAAAAATTTTTCCCTTTTTTTAAATTTTTTTCACTGTTGCATGAACTCCTTCTTTTCATCAGTGTAAAACTGGACATTTCGAATCGAATAGTAAAGTATTTGAATCGATTCAGACAAAAAATTACGAATTGTTGCCATCTTTTTTTTTGTCTGTAAAATACAGATTACAGAGATAAAGTATTCAAGATTTTATTAAAAAAAAATTGGTCTATTTGATCTGGATTCATCAGGTATTCAGAAAGGCCCAGCCCTATTTCAGTGTGTCAGACCGTTTATGAGACATTTTATGGTTATATCATACTTTCATTGTATAATTTGTATATTCCATTGGAACAAGATATTTTAATTATCCGTACTTTTAGACTGACATTTTCAAATAAAATTATTTTGAATTTTGTTTTAATATTCGCTGATTTCTTGTTGATACTACTGCTTTATACATCAGGAGAACTTGCTTGAATTGTCTCCCTTTTATTTATTTTTGGTTCAATTCACTATTGGGTAAACTTCCTCCTGTTATTAGGATGTTAATTATTATTTTTTGTACATTGTATGGTGTCACATACATGGGGATTCGATTTAAATACAACTCTGGGTTGGGTATGGATTGGAACTGTATTTCATTCAACTTTCATTTTTTTTTTTGACTCATTCTCTCTGAAGTAGTCTATGAACAAGAAATCACGTTTATGTGTTGATTTATCAGCCTTTACAAATATAATCAAGATAATATCTATGCCTTTATCAGCATTCATATTTTTGACTGCAAGAGACTCTAATGCGATGGTCTCAAATTTTTATGGCACATAGCTTTCAGCACGCATGGCCTCCCTGTTTATCACTCCAGTGGTATTCATAGTGTTATTATGATTGGTAGATTCCAAATCCCATTATTTTTAAACAATTCATGCTCAACAAAGTAAAAACCTTTGTGAAATAATCTTATCAAGCTATGAAACTAAGAAGGATGGGGGTTTTCCTGTAAAAGGAAAAGTTAAATCAGTTTTGGGTCTGGTATTGTGCCCCCCACCCCCTCCAACTCGTGTCCCAATGGGGAGCAAGAAACTAGGAGGCACAGGAAGTTTTCTTATGAAGTAAAAAGGAAAATTAGTTCTGTGCCTAGTATTGTGGGCCACGTTGGTTTGGAACCGTTGCTCTAAGCTTCTTGGAAGTGAATGCCCAATATCCCACTGCCAATTTCATCTACTTGCCCAGTGCCTTGCTCAGAACAAAAGTAAAATAATTTATGAAAATGTATTTGGGAATAAAATTATTCAGAATTGTTTTATTATAAATATCCATTGTATGTTTGTTATTTTGTTTTTTCTCTATCTTTGTAATCAAGAAATAGTTTATATATACATATATCCTCGCATATGAGCCGACACTTTAAAAATGGCCCTAAACGGTGAATTTATAAAAATTTGCATATAAATCGTACAAGTTTATCTTGAAAACTTAGCATGGTTCGAGTTGCAGCTGTTGGAATTAAGTTTAATTTGAGTGTGAACAGAGTTATGCATGTTTAAACCAAATTTCCAGTGCATTCAGAATTATGCATGTAACAACCGATCTCTTAGTTTGGCAACCTTTTCTTTTGAGTTATGAACTCTACTTATATGCGGGGATATACGTACTTGTTAAAAACTACTAGCATACTTAGAATGGGGCTTCCAGCATTCATGTCAGTACAATTGATATTAATGTGATGTCTTAATTCAAAAATGTGATGCCATATTATCATGCACTGGTTCTTAAACTTTTTAAGTCCCCTATTTAGAATTTGTCAAGGCTGGCACCCCACCTCAAAAATAATTAGCTCACAAAAACACATTGAAAGTATGTGTACATAACAAAGAAATATAAATATCCATGATAAGGTGGGTAAGAATAAACCTAACAAATATTTTTATTTTCAACTAGCTTTACGACCCCTTTAAAAATTGTCGATGCGCCCCTAGTGAGGCACGCCACATTGTTTGAGGACCACTGGTCTACTGTCTATATCTGATTTGTTAAAGAGTATTTCAAAATTTGGCAATCGATTTTTTCGAATAGTATGATAATATATATAGGAATAGGATGTTTGCCCATTAGTAAATTTGGCAATATAGTGGTTCTACTGTAAAAAACGACTGTTCTTAAAAATAACTTTTTCGAATAACACTAAATTTAAAATTTTTTTAAAAATAATTTCTTTGGATATTTTTGCTTTTATGCATAAATAAACATTGCATCATGAATATGTGGCATTCTATTACTATTTCAGGCATGGCAGTGGTGCCATGGTTCATGAGAATGTGGCATCATGTTACTAATTGAAGGCATGACAGTGGTGCCATGGTCTAATATCTTCCTTCTAATTATGCTAGTAGCTATTAAGGTTTTGTTTTCTGAAATATTTTATTCAAGTGTGTAGTTTTTCAAAGAGTTTATTAATATAATATGCAAAGTGTTTTATCTGAAATTTATTGTAATCTAGATTTTATCTTAGATAAATTATAGATAAGAGATTAGATAAAATGGAAGGTTGGTCCCCAAAGTGTCAAGTCTGCGGAGAAGAGTTTGATAAGAGAAATCTTATGGCTATGATTAACCACTGGAGGGCGCATAAGAGAGACGGAACTGCTCCCAAACTTGAGAACAAAAAAGAAATATGTCATGAAATTATAAAACGTGCGAGAGAAAGAAACAAATCTGCATCTTCAGCAGAAACTATTGCACCATTCTTGCGCAATCTTGTTTCGAATGGACCAGAAACAGAAGAGAGCAAAAAAAATGAAATCGACGCTTATAATAAAGTAATGGCGATTGTACGGAATGTCAAATCAAAACCTGGGTACAAGAGCCCTGTCTTGGACTTGGACACAATATTTAAAAACTCAAATTCTGAGGAAAATAGTATTTCAGCGATTGACGTTACGTTGCCGTCTGGTGCCACCAATGGTGGAAATTCATCAGCGCCGTCAGGTGGTTTTCTTGAATGTAAAATATGTGGAATGGCTTTCCATAGTTTTTTCAAAGCTCGAGATCACCATCAGATGCATAAACGAGAAGTTATAGAAGAAGGTGTGGCTGGAATTGATATCAATGGTGATAATAATGACTCCAAAAGTGAGGATATCCCTGAATCGAGGGACGTCCCTAGTTTTGGGGACTCAAATGCACAAATTGAATTTGCTGGTACTCATAAGCAATCGAATGATACTCAATATGGGAATAATGAAATAAAGGAATCAACTTCCAATCAAGCAGCTTCAGAAAATTTTAAAATGGAATACGCTGATTCAATTACTGATTTAAAACAGGCAGAAGAAGAAATCCCATGTGTGATAATTGATGACTCTGATTCAGATAGTGACAGTTTAGATCTCGCTCACCCGACGCCATTAGCGTACGATTTTGACGAATTCAAAAAAGCTGCAGAAGAAAGCAAGAAAAAACGATTGTCAGGAGACAGCTCATCAGCGAACAGCGTGTCATCAAAAGTTTCACCACCTAGTGGAAAGACTAATATCAGCTTGATAACTACTCCCGATGGGTCGTCATCAAAAAGCACGTTGTTTCTTAGTGAGCCCCTATCAAGTTCTCTTGTGGGTACTTATTCTTTGTCTGAGCAAATGGATATTTCATCGAATACGAGTGAAACAAGCATTGAAATTGTAAGTGTAACAAGCCTGGCAAATTGTTCTAAACCAATACTTACAGATCAAGACACTGATACTGCTATGGAATCTATGAATCCTACCGGTAAAAAAGGTATCACAACTAGTACGGAATCAGGATCAGATTTCTCATCACAACAAAAATCGGCGAAAAAGAAGCAGTCACGAAAACTTTCAAAGGTTATTTCTTCTGTTACAGAAACTGACGATACTGATACTGCTACGGAATGCTTGAATCCCACCGGTAAAAAAGGACGATTAATTATCACAACCAGTACGGAATCGGGATCAGATTTCCCATCACAACAAAAATCATCAAAAAAGAAGCAGTCACGAAAACTTTCAAAGGTTATTTCTTCTGTTACAGAAACTGACGATACTGCTACGGAATCCTTGAATCCCACCGGTAAAAAAGGACGGTTAATTATCACAACCAGTACGGAATCTGCATCAGATATCCCATTACAACAAAAATCGGCAAATAAGAAACAAACAAAAAAACTTTCAAAAGTTATTTCTCTAGTTTCAGAAACTGAAGATACTGATACTGCTATTGCTACGGAATCTTTGATTCCCACCGATAAAAAAGGAAGGTTAATCACCACAACCAGTACAGATTCTGCATCAGATGATTTCCAATCAGAACAAAAATCGACAAAAAAGAAACAAACAAAAAATCTTTCAAAAGTTATTTCTTCAGTTACAGAAACTGAAGATACTGATACTGCTATTGCTACGGAATTTTTGAATCCCACCGGTAAAAAAGGAAGGTTAATTAAAACAACCAGTACGGAATCGGCATCAGATTTTCCATCACAACAAAAATTGGCAAAAAAGAAACAAACGCGAAAATTATCGAAGGGCATTTCTTCAGATACAGAAATTGAAGATAGCTTTCCTTTTCAACTAAACAACACGGGTCAGAGTTCAATATTGAGTACAGGAACTGATTCAGGAACTTTGGAGGCACCAATTTTTAAACCTATTTCAAGGGAATCCTTGAAAAACTCTAGGAAAAAGAAGAAAAAATTGATTTCTAAACCCATCTCAGGGGGATCACTGAAAAAATCTAAAAAGAAGAAAAAAGTGATTTCTGCCAAAGAGAAAAAGAAAATAAGTTGTAGACTCATACATTCAGAAATTGTTGTGAAACGTAAAAAGAAAAAAGTGAAAACTGCAAGAAAAATAATGGACTCTGATACTAATTCTGAGGAGGATGAAAAATCCACATCTCAAAAAAAGATAATAGAGACATCTAGTGGATCAGAAAAAATAAAAAAATCCGTTTGGACTGATATTATTAATTCTCCTTCAAAAAAAATGAATCCTTCGGTAAAAATAGATAATTATGATCGAGTGTTTGACGTTACGGACACGGAAGAGGAATCTTCTGATTCTTCTTCGGAAAGCGATGATGGAGAGCCACTAGCTGAATCAGTCGTTACTGAGCCGCAGGAGTTGGAAAGTCAGGAAATGCAAATTGAAGCGGCAGATATGTTGTTTGACGAATTGCAGGATGATGCCATGGATTTAGATTCTGAAGAAAATGTTACCGATATAGAAAATGATATAATTACAGATTCTGAAGATTCTCAAAGATTGTTCATTGATACGCAGGTTTTTCCTGATAGCTGTCCAGAACAGCAACTATCCGAGTCATTGTTACCTAATAGTGATATGATGGAAAATGCCCAAAATTGCGATCAACTTAATTTAGAACTACAGCCTCCTAAAATTGCTGATGTTGAAGAATTTTCTGAAGAGTCTCTGGAATTGGAAGATGACAAGAATCCAAATTTGTTGCCGACGCAAGAAAAAGCAAATGGTGAAACGGTGCCAGTAACTTTAGCTTTGGGTGATAAAGGGACACTTTCTGAATGTCCTGATACTCTTTCAAAGAATATGGCTGATATAAGTGGAACACAGGATGAAAAGTATTACGAAACATTGCGGAAAATGTATGAAGACATTTCTGATGAAGAAACTGAAGATTCAGAGAAACAAAATGACCCTAATCAAGCAAATCAAATAGGAGAGAGCAATGATGCAGAACAGATAAGAGAGATCAGTCATGTGCAACCAGCTGTGAATAATTCAAATTCTGTGTTGGTTCCTACTCAGTCTATATCTGTTCCAAATCTGGCGACTGTGAATCATGTACCGCTAGCTCAAGCCTACCAGCAGCCTGTAATTGGAAGCACAGGTATAAATCCTGGCGGAACATCGTACATATTTGGAAACAGCACAATTGGTAATCTCTACCCTTCACCATTAATGCAAAATTATGAAATTAACCCGCACGTTTCAAATTATCCCTCTGGAATGGGGAACCACGTTTCACCAGTATCACAAATAATTCATCACAGTTTTAGTCCGTCAGCTCAACCACAAGAAGTACAAGATGAAAATGTAGTTCAGACAACAAAACCAACTTTAATGTATGAAGACCTCTCGGATGAAGACACTTTTGTTACTGAACAATCAGGTTCCAATAATAGCATTGTTACAGAACAATTACAAAAAGATATTTCTCAAAATGAAAGATCCTTTGATAGTGGACCTTTGATTATTGACTCACAACCTGCCAGAGACTGCAACATTTCAATTTCTGAAGCGCAGTCAAAATGTATTGTTAGTCCTGATTTAACAGTCTTCCCGGAATATGATGAATCAACCCCAGAGCGGAATATTTTGAACAAAAAAAATTCACTGAACCGTGAAGAAAATGGAAATTCCGGCGAATCTGAAATGTCAGATGACGATATAAGTGAATGTATAATCAAAAAACCTCGTAAAAAACAAATAAAAAAGGAATACCGCCCTATGAAGACTGATAAAAAGGATATAGGTGAATTGAATATGATGGATGCTGGCAAACGCAGACAAAAAATCACACCAAGACGGCGTATGACTGCCGAGAACACCATCCCTGATCGTAACATTTTTGAAATCATTGAAGAGGATTCTAATTCTCCTAATACAAGAGATTCAACTGAAATAGCCAGTCTAATGTCTGAAGCACAAGAAAGTTTGTTAAGACAACAGTCAGCTGTTTTAAATTTGAGCAATAAAATTGTCGAAGCTACACCATCGGAAAATATTGAAATAGATTTATCGCCTTTAGACCTATCGGCTTCAAAAATGTCATCCACGCTGCCAAAGAAATCTAGTGTTCCATCAAATGACTCTAGCTGTGATAGTAGTTTAAGAAAAATGTCTCCCGATTTATGTAAAGTCACTGTTTCGGGGGATCAAAATACAAAACAAATGTCATCTTTAGAGGATACTGTAACCAAACAAGCATCCATGAGTTCCCCTGTACAAAATCGCTCTTTGAAACATCATGAGCTGACTATTAGTACGTCTAGGAATGACAATATAAGTTCTTCTGCTGGAATTGACCTCCAATCTAACGAAAATAATATGGATACGTCAGACGTTGGAATTCCTAATGAACCAATAGTTGTGAAAAGAAGATCAACCGCTCGTAAGTCAATTCGTAGAATGTCTAGTCATCAAGAACAACCATCCTTATTGGCTTTATTATCGTCACCGGAAACAATTCAGCCAATCAAAACTATTTCTTGTGATTTTTGTGGCAAATCTGTTTCCTCTCTACAAAAGGATTTATATCTTCATTGGCAAAATGATTGCAAAACTGGACAATTATAGAAAAATGACTTCAATGATTTTAGTTAATAAACTTTTTTTTTTTGGGGGGGGGAAAGGGGGTTCATTCTCAGCCCTTTTGTATTGGTTCCCACCTATGTTTATATCGTTGCAGTTAAATAGCCTTCGTCTCATTTTTCATGAATGAACGTTTTGGTATTATCTTCTGTTATTATGGATCAGTGCTTTCGGAGGTTTTTAGCACTCATCCCTGTGATATTTATAGTGTTATTATGATTGGTAGATTCCAAATGCCATTATGTTAATAAAATAATTGATGCTCAACAAAGTGAAAACACCTTATTAAAAAACCTCATCAAGCAATTTTCTTGTAAAATGAAAAGTATAATCAGTTTTGCGCCTGCCATTGTGGCCTTTTTTTAGCCTAACCCTACCCTACCCCCAGTTGATAACCATCTTTTGGGTTGTTTACATGCTGTACCTGTTTTAGTCTTGATTTTAATTAGTGCCTTATGTTCGTTTTAAGGTTTGTTAGAAACAAACTCAAATGTGATATATATTGTGTTCCAAGGTGCTAGTTATGGAAAGTTACGTGCGGTGCTGTGAACAAAACGTTTTTCTTTTAGTTATTTTGTCATTATTTTTTTAAAAGTTTCATATTTTAGTTCATAAATTTATAATGGAAATCCTCCATTTGCAGGTTCTACCTTTATATTATGATTCATTCAGTTTCTCTTATTTTACAATATTTACCAGTGTTGCCACATTTATGCTTTTGTACCAGCGCAAATATGACTTTAGTGGCTTTATTCAGAGCAAAGTATTAAGCCCAGCTTCCCCAGAATTTGAGAACTTTTGTAACATAATGAATATCGCCATTTGCAGTTTCTACTTTTATGCATGATTCATTCAATTTTAATTATTTCACATTATTTACTAAGGTTGCCACATCTACGCTTTTGTACAAGAACAAATATGTCTTTGGCGCCTATTGAAGCCCACACATATTTAATTAGGCTAGAATATTTTTTTCACACACCGCCGAGCTTGGGTTTTTGATATATGTTTAGATTATGTGAGGGCCATGTTTGTGCTGCTGTTATCTGTTTTTTTGTTTATCATGACTCATCATATATTCATTTTGCTGAATTTGCAATAAAATTGCAATTCATTGACCTGAATTTTGTTGCCTGCAATTTATTTTTAACTAGGTCCTAAATTATGCTGAAGAGAATTTGCTTCGACACATGTAGTACAGAAGAGATACATTTTCTTTTTTAAATATCAAGTCCACTGCAAGGCACGAAACTACTCTTATTTTTAGAGTGGTTTGCCATGCATATAATTTGTCTAAAACTTCAATTTTTTCTGATTTAAAGTTTGTGTCATGACTTTATTTTTGTATATCATGATCAGTCAAGGGTAAATTTTGTTTTTCTGTTACTTATATCACCTCTGGTGCCTGATTATTATCTTTGTTCACACTTGAATAGTCAAAAATAACATGTCCCTGTCTTCAAGGCCACAAAACCACAATTACCGGTATATACCGGTATGTAGTTACTTAGTAACCTTTCATGCATCAGTAGTTCGTTGTCTGTAATCTTAAGATTTTCTTTCAAATAACTTTTCAACCCTGCTTGCAGAGTCTTTTAGTTTTTACTCATTACCATGGGAAAGGTATTGCGCAACATGTCTACTATCTAGCATTGGTGGTTTGGAAGTAGAATTCTCGCCTGCCACATGGGAGGCCCGAGTTCGATTCCTGATCAATGCATATCAGTGTTGCAATAATTTGCAATGAAAATGTAAAATTTTCTTCATACTTTCCTGACACAATATGTTGCATTGCCGTGTAGAAATTACCAATATCATGCAGTAAGAGCAAAAAAAACCTCTAAAGATCAAATTTTGAAGATTTTTTTTTAGCTTCAATGTCAAATTTCTTCATACATTACCAAATAATATGCTTCCTTGCCATGTACAATTATTATCCTTTATCATGCAGTAAGAACAAATGGCCTTATTTATCACTTTTTTATTTGTATTACCACTGATCCTTCATGCTTTCCACAGTCATGTATTTTCACAAGTTATTAAAGTTTTGTTAGAAAGTACCGGTAGCTCATTCTGTTTTTTTGCTTGTTATATAAACTGTCCATATTCAATGGGTCAGGACTCCCCCAAGCTTGTAAAGGTCACTAGTTTCTCTGTGTTGTTTGTTACCACTTGAGATATCGTACGTTTTGATCTGCCTGTCTGACGGCCTAAAATTCTTAATATTTGAATAAAAAAATTTTGAATGATGTCAGTTAATTGTCCCTACTCGTTAACTCCCTACTGCAACAACTCCGTTGAAGGGATTTTCAATGCACAGTTTTCCATTTATACCGGGTGACCCAAAAAAATGGAATCTATACAATATGTTCCAAATGGCCTGGGTTCCATTTTTTTGTCGTGTCACCCTATAATACTATATTAAATTTCTGTGAGCAAAGGGTTTTCTTATTTTCAGAGCAAATTGCCTTCTTCTTCTGTTTGCAGTAATACTCAAACTGTTTCATGTTCATTTTTTTTCTAATTTTTGCAAAAAAAATCTTCTTTTTTTTCATATTTTTTATATTCACAGAAATAATAAAAATAAAAACTTAAAATACGGTGCAAACGTCTCAAATTATGGGTAAAAAAAGCAGAAGAGCAAAAGCGAAAAAAAGCGATTTTCAAAAAGTAAAATTGAAGGTCGGGAAGAAACGTCCATTGCCGAGTAATGTGACGGAAGTCGCGTTCAAATCTCAATCGATTTATATCCCTGATCAAATGAAAAATGTGAAATTGGAGGAAGAAGAGATTGTAAGTATATTAGTTATTTTGGCGCTCCAGAAGTATGTGTACCAATATGGAGGTGACTAATTTTGTTCACCTACTTTACATCAAATTGTGTGAAGGGACAGAAAACTATGAGCAGTGGCCCAGTGGGTATATTCACTTGGATATTTTTATTTCCGTCGTGCATGAAATATTGTAGCGACACAAGTAATAAGAAAAAAACCCACTATCACTTGGCTAACACAGACAGTCCTCGAACTCGTAATAGAACTAAAATAAGGAAAATCGAAATAAAATTATGGCCTAACCGCTAACCCTAACCTGGGCTGCATACCATGGGACGGGAGTATTGTTATTTTGGTGCTGGGATAAAAGGGGTGAAATTAGGTTTGGATGTGGTTTCATCATTTATCCAGGAAAGAGAAAACTTGATAAGATGGCTTATTCTTATGGTGGACAACAGCCTGCCAGTTCATGTCTGGTTTGGAAACAGTTTTTACGAAAAGTTCTAAGAACAGAGTTCTTGTGCATATCTCACAGAATTAAAAACATTGCTGTCATATAGAGGAGTTATGCAATGTTCTATATAAATATAGTTATTAATGGTTTTGTTTAGAGTTTTTGTAAATTTATACAAAATAATATAAATCGATGAATTTGTTTTGAATAAGAAATCATAAAAAAGCAATATCAGACATATCAATTAGTCATACACGCTTAATACATAACAACTATCTTAATTATTCTAGTTTACCATTCTGATTAAAGTGAAAGTCATATTGCTAAAAATTTTATGTATCCTGATTAGATTTTCATAAATGTCTGTCAGTTTCTCCAGCGTGCACTTTTAGTGCCATTGGATACAAATTTGTCCAAAGCAATAGGTATTTGTCTGTATGTCTGTGTAGTGTGTATGTCTGTTAGATGCACGCGATATCTCACGAAAGCGAGATTGAATCTGCTCCAGATTTTGCATGTGCATTCATCTTATCTCGGACCAGAAGCCTATTGATTTTGGGCGAATAAGTCTTCGGTCTCTGACCGATATTCTCGTGTTTTTGTGTGGTTGATTTTTATAATATATAGAAAAGCAGAAATTTCGTAAAGATATTTTTATATGGGCATTTAATATGTAGCAAGAGTAAAAACGAGAATATCGGTCAGAGACCGAATCCTTATCGATCGAAAGTTTGGAGATCCCCCAAAACAGCGCTTTTACTCCATAGTGACACCTTGTGTCCCATCACTAATTAATTAATAACTCGCTAATTATACGACATAATTTGCCCAAAATCAATAGGCTTTTGGTCCGAGATATGATGAATGGGCATGCAAAATCTGGAGCAGATTCAATCTTGCTTTCGTGAGATATCGCGTGCATCTAACAGACATATCGGAATGAGAAATAAAAAACGATTTGATTGATTGACATACACACAGACAGACAGACAGACAAATACCTATCAACATACTTACCGATTAAAATTGATAAGTAATAACTATCCAGAGTGACTCAAGAGTCCTGCTGCACACTAACACAAATTTATATCTATAATGTTTCGTCTGAACAAGGTCAGGCATCCATGTTGAACTATTCTTGTTTGAGGAACGTTCCCTTGGTCAGACATTTCTGTGCAGTATGATTTTCACTTCAATTAGAGTGGTAAACCAGATTAATTTAGATAGTTATTATGTCTCACTTGACTAATTAATATGTACGAAATTGACTATATGCTTTTTTATGACTTCAAAACAAATTCATAAGTTTATATTATTAAAATATTTATAATAAATATTTTAACGTACCTGTATGTATCTCTATTAAATTGATTTGGATGGATGAATAAATGAATAAAAAGAATTTGATCTATGCAAAATTTGTTTGATAATTCTTCCCAAAAGCTCAATATAAGCCAATCTGTGAATGTAAAAGTAGGGCCTTCTATTAATTTTAACCATATGTAGGATGTAATAAACCCGGAAATCGTTCATGTTATGCGCAGGAAATGTGACAATGTAATAACCTATATGGTAGTAATCATCGAAGAATCTCATACTGCTTTATTATTTTCCCATTAGATACCTTGCAATGTTTTGAAGAGGTTTTAGAGCAGTGGTTCTTGACCTTTAAAAACATGCCGAAATAGTTGAAACAAGGCAACCAAAACTTCATAAGGGGGAGCATTAATTGCAACAAGAGAACTTTTACTTGCACATGGTCAACAGAATAAATGCCTTTTTTGTTCACATATTTCTTAAAAGTCTTCTCGAATGTTTCATAGGACTTTTGTCAAACACATGGGGGAGATCTTCCGACCCACTATCCAAATTATGTTATGGACTTTTGCATTGTTTGTCTTGGTAGGAATACACTCACCATTGCACCTCGTAGGATGGTTCACATAACAACTGGTCACATTCACGTATTGAGAACCAATGGTATGATTTGTTATAACATTAAGACGTCTTATCGTCTTTCTTCTTCCCGGGATAAATATGTAAATCCTATTTTGTGTGCTTATACAGAATTTTCTTCTAATGAGTTGAACATCTCTTATAATCTTTGTTATGTGTAGGCTGAGTGATTTTCCGTTACTGTCTCTTCAGGAAATTAGGTTGTTGATCATGAAATGTGAGTCACCATCTATAGCTTGTACAACAATGTTAAAGTAGAAGATGCTTCATGAGTAATAATGTTTTGCATACGATGCTCGGCTAAAATTAAACGCACCCCAGTAATATACCAGATGACAAAAATAACAAGCACAACCGCTCTCTGCAATCTCTAAACAATAAAGAAATGTAAATAAGGCGGGCAAAATCAAATCTAGCAAATAATTTTAATTAGCTTCATGCCCCCTCAAAAAAAATTGTCCATGCCTCCCCCCCCATGTGGGGCATGCCCGACCGTCTGAGAACCACTGGTTTAGGGCATCCCTGTGTAAAATTAAATATTGTTAAATTTAAATTTACAGGAAGAAGAAATCGTAGGGAAAAAGAACATTCCAGAACTTCTTGGGCAAGTTGGACATTTCAATACAAATTTCAGAACTGATGCTTTGACTTCATTACGAGTTCATTTATCAAATAACAGGAATCTCATTCAAAATCATTTACCAAAAATATTTGAAAAAGTTTTACGAACAATGGCTGATGAAGATCAACAAGTTAGGTAGGTAATGGCATTCAGTGCCTTGAAAGCAGGGAAGATGTTGAAAGCTTTTTTTCAAATTTTTTTTTGCCTTGGGGTCAGTCGACCTTAAAGTCTTGCCGCTCCCTTCCGGTTATATTTCATGTTTACTGTTTATTTGTTTGCAATATTTACTCCAATGAAACTCTATTCAGACTCTTATTTGGTGGAGAATAAAAAAAAATTTCGATGACATGATAGACTTTTTGCAGATTTGAAAGCTTTTCTTGATTTTTTTTTGCATTGGAAAAAAGACCCCCAAAAACTAGACGTAACCCGATTTTGATAATTGTATTTGCAAAAGGGATTACAGACACTCCCAATAATACAACATTGTTGTAAACTGCTTGTCTTAGAAGGTCTGACGAAGAGTTACAGAAATACATTTGTGTTATTTTTATCCACTGTTTCGTTTTTGATATGGATAGTTTTTCTGGCTGCAGCAACTCAATAATGAATGATTATTTTTATCTGTTCTTCCATTTCCGATGCCGGATATTTTGATCGCTCATTAGCACTAATTAGTTAGTTCCGGAAATATTGATGAAAGGAAATGACACTGTTAGTAAAATAATATCATAATCTCTGGCATATTTTGGTTAATAACTGTCCAATTGTTGGAGATTGGAACAATAAATTAAGCAGGCTATTGAAAATCATGATAACGATAACTGTTGAAAAAGTTAGTAGCATTGTATTTCTCATAGACTGCTCAGTCGGAGCCTAATTCAGAGCAAAGATGCAAAACAAATTACCTATTTAGTATTTATATAATCCACAAGCGACATGATGTTTTCTTATTCCCTGAATTTAGTTTTTTTTTCAATTTAATAATACAGTTCAATTCAGTGGTTTCCAAGCCTTTCAATGTAATTCTCTTCCCTGGAATTTATTGGAACTCTTTACCCCCCCCCCTCCCCCCCTTTTACTAAACATAAAAACTTCGTTTCCGTTTGGAAAGCAAAGTTTCTTCCCCTAACACTATAAAAAAAGTGCTCTTAATTTAATGGATTTCTTAAAAACATTTTATCATTTTCATTCATTTCTGATTTTTTCACTTTTAAATAGATTATCTATCATTAAGCTTTCCCTGATAAAAAACCATTGCTTCAAAACACAAAATATTCTCTTTTTTTGTTCAGGAAATCAAGTCTCTCGTTTTTTCGACTTATTTTTGCTGAAATATCTGAGCAAGAGATGTCTCCATTCTTCGATATAATTCTCTCGCATTTATATTGTGCAATGTCACATATACATGATGATGTACAAAGGGATTCACTGCAGGTTTGTAGTACTGATACTGATATTTCTTGAATCGTTTTTATACGTCGTTTGTACTCAGTCTGTCATTGGCTGCTATGCTGTTGCCCATGGTTACCTCACAGGCACTTGCCAGATTCTCTTGTTTGAAACGGATGTATTTTTTGGACATTAATCTTTTTAATTACATATAATTCGACTGCTTTTTATTCAACCTGTATCAATGTTAGACTTTTATCACGGGTGTCGCTGAACAATATCCAACATTGTTTTTTTCGCATCACCCTTCATGGTGAAATGCCATTTTCATGTTTTTTTCTAACTTTTGTTCGCCTCAAGTGTATTTTCATTTTGGTGATAAATAAACTACTGACTGATACTGAAGCCTGAAGAATTAAAGGCTAATTACTGTATTACTTTGTTATCCACTCTCAAAACTTGTACTTTGCTTTAAAAACTATTGCGTATTTTTTGTGAATAAGAACCCAATCTAATCAATGTCATGGATATGGATTTTTATGTTAAACTATCAAATTTATAAATCGACTAATTAATTTTATATTTAAGAAAGAGGTAACTAAGCATTGGATTCGGGGATAACGATACTAAACAGTTTGGGAAATCGATTCTTGAGAAAAACAAATGATTGAAATGCAGCTTAGGGTCCATTAAAAGACAGTAATCAATCTGGCATGTAACGCAAAGTCACAATTCAATATGGTCTTAGCCGCTCTCTGCATATGCAGCAGTCATCTGCCTCGTGTGTTTTTTACTTCTGAATGAGTTAGACCAGTGGTTCTCAACCTTTTACTGGCCGCGTACCACTGGAAAAGCCATTTTTTGGCGCGGCGACCTAATTCGCAAGACGGACGAAAACATGCCCATCTCGATTCGTTCGTGGACAATAGCAGGCGAGGGCGATCTCTAAAGATTGGACTGGCCCATAAGATGTTTCTCCGACCCTTGACCCCAGAAAAATTCTTCCTATACTTTACTATTGCAAAAAAAATTTACTTATTTTGAGAGTGTTTTGATGTGTTAGCGCTTATAAGCTGGTTTACGTGTTTAAAAGCCCTCATTTTTATAAAATTTATCTACAATGTGCCGCTTACAGGCACTGATAGCTTAGTTTCGACTAGTCTATCGCAGCATTTGCGAGACTCATTTTGGATTACAGCAACTAAATTAATGCTCCTTTGAAGACATAATGGCAATTAGGAGATTTAAGTCACAACTATTTTTTGAAAACTGACAAATATCACGCAAAACTACAAAAACGAGGCAATGTTTACTGATTGTTGCCGGTTACGGAAGTAAACAAGGAAATTGATGCCCGGGGAAACATTCATAAAGGCCGTTTAGTGAATACATACAGTATGGAAGATAAAGCGTTGTCGGCATATTTTGGCCAACTCAAAAGTTAATTGTTGCAATAATTCAAAGCTTGATCATCTTCCGCGTACCACTAGGTTGAGAACCACTGAGTTAGACAAATTCCAAAAATATATTTGGAATATATATTATATACTATTAATTTGCACCATATGGGTGTTATATTGTATTGGAATAATTCCAATTTCCTAGAAAAGGAAGAAAAAATACATTCTAAATTGTGTAAGCGTGATTAAATATTGAGATAGTATGGATAAGTATTCAAAACGGCTGTTTTTCATTATACTATTGATAGGCTCCATATGGTAGTTATATTGTATAGGAATAAGCGCATGTCAGCGTTATGGCTATTCATTTAATGCTTACACAGGAAATTGCTAATTAAGATTTTTATTATGTGTATAGTTTGCCGTGCATGATTTGATCATATCATAGCAAAATACTTTAAATTAATTCCCTTAAGATGGCCAGTGAATTAATCCTCTATCACAGCTTTTGTCAAATAATTATTTTGCCAGAATGTTTGTTTGAAAACCAATAAGTATTGCAAAATAATCGGTGCTCCCGAAGTATGCGAACCAAGATGGTGGACATCGGAACGTAACATGGGTAACAGGTTAGGGTTAGGCGATAATTTCTTTCCAATTTTCCTTATTTTAGTCCTATTATCAGTTTGAAGACTAGCCAAGAGCCTCCTGTAGTATTTATACCTAAAATTATGGCCTAACCCTAACCTAGTACACATATTACATACCGATGTCCGCCATCTTGGTTCGCATACTTCGGGAGCCCCAAATAATCTTTGTAGTCTGTTACAAACATAATCACAAAATTTTTTTCCTGGTCATAAATAATACTATGTAAGAAAATATTGAGCAAAAAAAAGTGTTCTTTTTGAATAAGACAGCAGTACATAGAGCATATCTTTCATTGTAATACGCACAAAGAGTGCTTTTCACAAGGATAAAATTAATACCTTATAAAATCACGGATTATTTATTATACAGATACACGGCCTGGACTGTAAGACGGCAAATGCATGGTTTGCCATATGCTTGAGCCTCCTCATAAAATTGTCTATGCCTCCCTTGTGTGGCGCTCCCCATCCTCTAAGAATCACTGATTTGAAACATCACAATATTTTTTTTTTGATAAAATTTTCAATTTTTTTTGTAGGTCGTTGATCTTGTGATTGAACACTTTCCAGGCTTACTTTCGGAGTCTCACAGGAACTCACTTCTCCAACATTTCATTGAGTTGATTTCAACAAAGCAAACAACATCAGCTGCCAGTGGGAAAGCTAAGAATAAAGGTGTCGTTGGTAAGTATAGTATAAAATAATTAAATAGGATAGGATTGTATTGTTGTATGTATTGGCTCGGCGGATGGTATATTATCCTTCTCATTGCTGAGTACAGGGCGTGGATTCACAGGTTCAACACTCTGTGATGGATAATTATGTTATTTATTATGAACAGTTTGCTGGACCATTCGCAATCATGGTTCACATAACACCAGGGTTAGCCACCAGTTATATTCACGTTGAAGATAAATACAGCACAAAAGCGAAAAGATGTAAATTACAGACGTTGCAAATTTTTAGAAAAACTGATGCCCTGATAAACTCATGTCGGCAAATCGTTTTGCTATACATCCGTTGTTCTTTATTTATCTTCTTTAGGCTGGTTGTTGCTATCTCTGCCATCAAGTTAATTCATATTGAACAACTAATTGGGTAATTATCTCTATACCATAACTAGATTGGTAACTGACTTTGGTTTACCAGTCATGTTATCGGCTTCCGTTCTTCTGGAGTGAAGTTGTATTCTTATTCTGGGATTATTCTATTGAACCTCCTTTTCATCCCAAGATAGTTAAGTTATGTAACAACTTGTCAGTAACGACCCCTCTTACTTAACCAATCTGGTGTAAATGGCCCTACATCCAGCCAGTACAGGTAACAGGAAGAAATTCTTGTCTACCGCATCATCATGCTGGCTTTACTATCCTCCAAGATAAAGATGTAATAAATCCTATCTTATCAGCTAAAACATTATAAACCAATCATAATTCTATACAAATTCCTACTTTCAACTATGTGCAAACTTTTTCTGTAATTATGCAGGAACAACCAGAATTCTGTCGATGAAACTTTCAAACAAGGAATCATCAATATCCTGGAGAAACAGAATTTTGAGTCGGTTACACCAACTTTTAACGACTTCAGAATCACCAAAAAACACAGAAAACACAAAAAATCATCCAAAATATTTGGAAAATTTGATCAAAAATAAGAAAATTAGGTTCAATGAGGAAAATGGTGCTATGATACAATGGAACTCAGATGATATCAGCAGTGTTCTGACGGGATTCGAGTCGCAGAAATTATTGAAGCCGGCATTTTCACTCAGGTTCGTTGAGGTTTATGTAATTAATGAATTTGATATTCGGTGGACATATGGGAAAAGTACATGGGGGCAGAAAGCATAATCCAAGTCATTTTGAACAGAGCAGTAGTCGGCAAATTTTTTAAGTGAATCCCAAATAGTAAAATGGAAAAGTTCAAAGCCCAAAAATTTTGTTGGTAATATTCTTGTTAATGGACACCTGATTTGTAATTAAAACTAATGCAATTGTACCGGTACACGTGGCGGTATAAAGATTGAACAACTGATTGTAGCGGTACACGTCGTTAGCTTTTAGAATTTTAATGACGCTATAAGATAACAGGATACACAAGAATAAGCATAGTAACAACTATTAGGGTAGTTGCAATGCTGGTATTATAGTTGAAATTAAATATATTATCGTTTGATATATGAACTAAAACCATTTGAAATTTTTTTGTAATGTTGGATTTATAGAATTTTTTTGGGACCTCCAGAAGTATGCGCACCAAGATGGCACACAACCTGAACATAGTATTGCGTACCGGTTAGGATTCAGGTTGTACGACATCTTGGTGCAATACTTCAGGAGGTCACTTTTTTGTGTATCATTGGCATAATCAAAATTTATTGAAAGCCCACTAGAAAATACTCCGCGGCCCAAAATTGGGCAAATCGTTCTTGGAATAAGCATGAAAAATTAGTCATCAGGACTACCACACTTAAATATTTTTAGCTTCTCCTTTTCTCGTATATAAGCTGATTATAAATTTTAAATCCTATTTACAGATCCATTTCAATGAACACTTTATCATCCTTCACTCCTGAAGATACAACCACGACACCATGGCAACTGATCACAACCATATTTCCACTGCTGTTTGACTGCTGGCATGAAGCTGTATCAGGTAGGAGAATGAGTATGTGTACCAGGTTAGGGTTAAACCATAATTTAATTCTGATTTTCCTTATTTTAGTTCTATTAAGAGTTCGAAGACTGTTTGTGTTAGCCAAGTTAATATACCTCCCGTCCATGGGCTTCTGTCCCTTCACACAATTTGATGTAAAGTAGGCGAACAAAAATAGTTACCTCCATATTGGTACACACACTTCTGAAGCCAGAAAATGAGCTTCCGGAACTGGCCCATTTTTTTATGGGAGAAGGGCGTATTGTCCTATTTCGTGGGCTCTATAGCAGAAACAGTGATAATCTGGATGGCTTGCTATCCCCTATTTCATGTATTCACTAGGTTTTGGCTTTCTCCATCGTCCAAGTACATGCACATAAATCAAGAAACTGGTAGACCAGATTTTCCATTTCCGACCTCTGTTACATTTTGTCTAGCATTTTGTTGTGTGTAGAAATGGTAACTAATTTAGGTTGGTTAGACATTTAACTATTTTTCTTAAACCTTTGTCATAATGGATCGCAGTTTTTACACATATGCAATCTTCAATTCTGGTTCTATAGTATTTCTACTTCTCTTATGGGGGACAAGCCGATATCCGTCTTCGTAATTTGCTATATGCCTTTTTTTATTTATTCATATCGTATATTGGTTTTGCATGGCGAAAATAAAATCTGAATCTGAATCTTATTAACAGATGAATCAAAAAGTCTGAACTATGAATCAGTGACGACAATGAATCTCACTTTGAACATCATGAACCTGCTCTGTAAGAAATTGATGGAGACTGCAGATAATAAAATGGCAGCAGTAAGTTTAAGTAACATTAGGATAGGATTTACATATTTATCCCAGGGAAGAGGCTTAACCATATGCCGAACCACAGTCTCTCGTCTGGTTATTATTCCGGCTGACCGAACTGACCAGCGGTTACGTGAACCACCCTACAGCGGAGAGGAGTCCAGTAATCCTCTCTCACACATAATTATTCCTGTATGGGATCGAACCTGCGAACCCACGCAAGCGTAGTCAGAGGTTTAGTGGCGAGCGTATCCTTAACGTTTTGCACAATGAGCCACATCGCCGCGCCTATCAGTTAGGGGTAACGCAAGCCTAACTACCTTTCCTTGCTATATGCCTTTATGGAAGTGGATCCGAATGCGTGTAACGCAACGATGCTGTGGCAAGAATACCAGAGTGAAATTGTTTAATCAACTTTTTAGTTGTTATGTAAAACTGTAGGATATTTATTGATCGACATTTAAATTGGACTTTCTTAAATTAAATAGTAAGATTAAGAGTGTAATCTCAATTTTTTTCTGAAGCACTTCACTGAAAGGCGCTAAATATATTAGTATCGAGTTGGAAATTCTAGTTTAAACTCTATGTATGCCTTCCATCTCATTGTGGGTATAATCAGAGCCACAACAAGAATTTCAATGTTTTTGAAATTATAACTTACCATGTATCAGTGTTGCTATGACAGGGGTTCTCAAACTTTTGGTGTTGTGGAGCCCGGGAAGAGGTTGACTAGGTTATTTACGGAGCCCCAAAAAAAAAAATAAAAACACATTGTTAATTACGCATTGGTGTCACCAGTGGCATAGCCCAGGGGTTTGTGAGGGTCAGAATCCCCTCATTTGAAATGTAAAAAAAAAGCATTTTCTGGTATCAAGCCCAATGGAAGCCCAATTTGTTTTCCACCTGCTAATACATTCTAACTTAGTCAATTAGAATTTCAGAATCTCTTTTTAAAAATTTCTGGCTACATACAAATGCATACAGCTCCCAAAAATCAATGTTTTACGGCCCCTTCTACCTTCACATATTTACTATTCTGACATCACAGATTGCTAACGTTCGTTCAACTTACATGAAATACTTTGATCAATATTTTTATTCCAACTTCCCGTATCACCATACTGGTGGAAGACAGAGTACTAAGAAAAAGAAGACGGATGAAAACGTTAAACAGGTAGGGTTTGTTTTTTTGAAATTTACTGTAAAAAAAAACTAGGCAATTCGCCTAGTCGACACACTGAGACTAGTTTGGTCGGTGTCACAGATTGAAGATTGCAATGCTCACAAGCTTAATCATTGAATTTTTCATTGTATTATTTTTTTACGTGTCCGAAAAATTCGCCACAGAAAATCTCGCCACTTAGGCTTAGGGCAGGGGTGGGCAACATATGGCCTGAGACGAGATTTTGACTGGCCCGCTGACTGTTCATCAGTACATTATGATTTTACATTATTACACTTTCAGTACAGTATGATAAATTCATTATGTGTTTTTTGGTCTATATTGTTTTGTAGTTTAAACTTTACTTTAAACGCGATTTATAATTTTCTTTCTTGCATAAGCGAATAAATATGTGATTAAGATATTGAATGCTATTCATGTTATAATCCAGCCCACCGAGGACTTCATTTTCTCACATCTGGCCCGCCGACTAGAGAAGTTGCCCACCCCTGGGTTAGGGTATGCTCTCAAATAACGAATCTTTTTAATATGAAAAGGTACTTCAAGAACCTAACTGTTTTTATCACGAATACTTGTTTTACAGTAAAATGCTCTTGTGGCGATTTTTCATGTGGCGAAATTTTTGTAGAACCCTTTTTTTATTCTTGTCACAGAGTAAGATTGCCAATGCAGTACGTACTTTTAAGTCTTGTGTTTTGATATATAGTTGGGAGATTGATGAAAATATTAAGTATGGGTAATTTATTTTGTCATTTAAATTTTTTCAAAAGTTAGTATGCAAATACACCTCAACTTGGGAAATTGGGAAAAGCTGTTTTTTGCTGCCATATGCTCTAAACGAGATCTGAGCTAACTGATGCTCAAATACACAAAAAAATTGATCGATTTTATAGTACTAATAGTTAAAAATGTTGTTCCTAATGTTATTGTAGTTCTCATTTATCATACAATGAAACTTATTCAAACTTACAATTGTTATTATTCAGCAAACGTGTGAATTTTTTGAACACACGTATATTTAAATACCGCGACATAGCATATGACTGTGCGTATGGATCCAATGAACTTAAACACAAAAAGGAAGGAGAATTTGCCAGGCAATCACTACTCCAATCAACCAAATGAACTATAACTGATGTCATGGAGTTGGGTATAAACTTCTCATTGACTTGTAAAAAAGTTCATCTGCGAACTCCAAAAGAAGTAGCATTCTTTAACCGACTGTTAGAGACACTTAGTAAATGAATGTATTTTGAGTTGATTTGCCTTATTTTATTCCCATTGACAGTCTGCAATTCTGTCTCCAACTCCCGGAAATACAATATTCCAACTCTTGACTCCAGGGAGTTTAAAATACGACTCCAGTGAAATTATACATATTCTAATTCCACATATACCACTAAACCTTCACTTTTATTCAGGTTACAACCGCAGACATTCAAAGCATCAACCTATCCATATGTCAGCTTGTGTCCTCTCTTACAGCAGATATATACCTGAGTGATGACGGCCAAATGTTATCCAGTGTTGCCACATTTGTGTCTATGTTGTTGATGTCAGCAGGTGGCAGTAGAGGATCATTTGTTGATTACAAAGCTTTGGATCAATGTATATCCTGCACGAAGAGCTTACTTGACATTTCTGCTGACCAAGGTTATTTATTTGCTAGGATTTTAAAATTTATCCAGAGAAGGGAAATTCAATAAAATGGCTTAAATCAACTTGTGGACCATAGACTCTCGTTTGCCTGCTAGTCGGGTATTGGAAACGATCAGGTTGGTCCAAACTTTGGCACGCGGGCCGCATGTGCCAAAAACCAACATCTATTTTCAAGCGTGGGCCTTGTGCTAACTAGTCTTGCAGTATTTTGATCATTCTTGGGTTTTCCAGACTGCGGCCCATGAGGCCTCCTCCAAAATTCCAGCGGCCCTTCCATCTCGCATAGAAGAGTTTACTTGACATTCCTGCTGACCAATGTGCCAGACTTTTAAAATTTCTGCAGGAAAACCTAATAAAATGGCTTAAATCAAATAGTGGACCATGGTCTTTGGTCCACTAGCTTGTCGGGTATTGGAATAAAACAGGGGTGTGGAACATGTGGCCCACGGGCAAAATCCGGCTCTCAGGGAAAAATTGTGCGGTCTGCGGAGACCGCAGTGAGACCACAGTTTTCATTGTGACCCCTATACCTCAGTCCCAACTTATCATCTATGCCTATGATGTTACAATTCCCTAACAGCTAGCTAGATAAATAAGAATAACAATCTCTTTCCATGAAATAGCAAGTAAAGATATTTCATATTTGCAGCTATGTCTTGTTTTGTCTGAAGAATTTAGACTATTATCTAACGAAAGTTTGCAAATATACTTGCTATCTCGTTAAAAGGGATTATGTTATCCTTATAAAATAATTCCACAACAAAAATGGCAGATTTTTTAGAAAAAAGCATTTTTGATTATCGGATTTCTCAAAACTGGTTTTGACTAACAAAAAAACTATCATTACAGCAACTATTGAAAACCTGTTGCAACCCCTTCTGATCTTCTACCAGCACATGAACGGAAACTCCAAAGACAAAACAACGCTTTTAAAGTTCTTTCTTGAGCTTTATTCTGACGAAAAGAAGAATTTCATTTCTGAGTAAGTGATTTTTTTTCCTATCTAACCTGGTGATTCTAATACTCTCAACACTCGGTGGCATACCTCTGCCTTAAAAATACCTAAGCTTGATGTCTCTTAGTGACCGAAAACCGATGACATCACTAGGTTCACCCCTTCACATGAAAAAATAAATATGAGAGAGAATAAATAAGAAAGAAGCTTTCTCGATTTTACCGTGACACTCAATGGTAAAAATTAAAAACTTGACCACAGAAGTCGAAAAGTGTTAGTTTGTCATATAAAAAATAAATTGTTCACAATGTTCCTACAATGACAGAATGGCTATGTTCACTACCTGATCTATTGATGACCATTCTTCATATTAAACGGGGAATTCAAAATCTGGTGCATAAAAAATGAATTTTGCATAGTCTACTTATGTCCACACTTATGACTTAAAAAACGACAGTTTGGTCAACCATGTAATTCAAAGTATGACCATTCCAGCATGTCCCGTACATAAATTGATGATTAATATAACAATGGCCCACGGTTAATTAATACTGGTTGAAAAGCATCTTTTTCAAATTGACCTATGACCCTGTCAGTTTAAAAGTAACCAATCACGATACAAGACTTACAATACAATCTATGCAGCTGAGCGAATTAATTTTAAAATTGAATTATTGACATTTTATTCCAAAAATCAAAAAAAAAATAAATTGTTTTTAGTGCTCCCACGATGACAGAATGGTTATGTTCACTGCCTGATCTACTAATGACCATTCTTCATAATAAAGCAAGGAATTCAAAATCTGCTGCTAGAAAGGATGAATCTTGTATAAGTATGTTTAAATACTTGTTTTGGACATCCTGAAGTATGCACACCAAGATGGCGCACAACCTGAACTCAGGTTGTGTACCAGGTTAGGGTTCAGGTTATGCGACATCTTGGTGCGCATACTTCAGGAGTACCGTTGTCTTTTTAATCAGTTTCGTTAGTTAGCAAAGCAATATAGAAGCAATTGTATTATGTATCAGTGTTTGTTCTGGGCCTTGCTTGGGGCATTCATAACAAATGTAAATTGTGCATGTCAGGTTCGTAGCCAGGAATTTTCTAAGAAAGGGGGGGTTGACGAGGGGGGGGGGTTATGAAATTTCTAATTGCCAAGTTTAACATACCAGTTTGCGAGTCCGACCGCAAACCGTGTCTTTTCAAAAGAAGTATCAAGGGTCTGAAATGCGTTTCAAGCTTTGATAAGTTGCTGCGTATGGTACAAAAAAGGGGGCTCCCGAAGTATGCGAACCAAGATGGCGGACATCGGAATGTAATATGTGTACTAGGTTAGGGTTAGGCCATAATTTTAGGTATAAATACTACGGGAGGCTCTTGCCTAGTCTTCGAACTGATAATAGGACTAAAATAAGGAAAATTGGAAAAAAATTATCGCCTAACCCTAACCTGTAACCCATGTTACGTTCCGATGTCCGCCATCTTGGTTTGCATACTTCGGGAGCACCCAAAAAAATGCCTTTTTTAACATTTCTAAAGAGGGGAAGCCTTCACACCCGTCCATTTGTTTTCCTAGGCATATTAACATTGAGTTAAATTTTGTCTACCAATTGTTCTCGAACCCTGTGCGGGGGCCAATCACAGCTCAAGATAAATAGGTAACCACACTTTTTTTTTTTTCATTTTAGATACCGTCAATTGTTATGTCATTATCACAGTTAAGCACTCTGGGAACCACTGCTCTAGAAGAATATTGATTGAATATTTTAATTTGTCTATTCTTTTATTTTAGACAGCCAGTCAGGTCATCTCCATCTTCTGATATCATGTATGCGTCTTGCATGTCTTCGAAAAAGCGAAGAATTCCAACGGCAAATGGAGTCCCAAATCAGCCATATTCTAGAGATCTTGAAACTCAATCTCAATCAAATTTTCTGTTCTTCTCCAGAATTATCTGATCAAGTTGGAAAAGGGTTTAGCTGTGATGTTTGCAGTGATCTACAGGTTTGTGTCTTAATATTGGTTTTTTGGTAGTCATATAATTGTGCGAGATATACTAAAAAAAATTTTAAATGATTATTCAGCTTTTTGTAAGTGTGTCCTTGTCATTCGTTTTAACACTGTCTTGGTGGTGTGGCTTATCGTTAGGAATACACTCGTCACCGCATCTCGCGAGTTCGAATCCCATGGGGATGCGAGAGGATTGCTGGACTCCTCGCCGCCGTAGGTTGGTTCACGTAACCGCTGGTCGGTTACGACTTCCTCCATCATGAAGTCCATGCTTCCGAAAACAAATAACTAACTAATCTCATATCCGGATAAGAGGCCGTGATCGCCTCTCCTCCAGAATAAATATGTAAATCTTATCTTTATTCCCCGAAACTTCAAAAATCAAATGGGCTAAAATAAAAGGCTTGGAATTCATCTTTAAACTTGATCTTCAAAATCCCGTTGATCTTGATCCCGTTTGACTCAAGGCTTGTTTACCAACAAGTCGCGACGCCGAGTTGTACGAGGACTTGTACCGAACACCAGGGTTGTTGCCAGGGGGCTGAAAACTCCCATTTTGAAATGTAAAAAAATAAAATTTTTGTACACAGTAATTTTCCCTATTTTGAAACGCTTTTAAGATCTTCAAGACTTTAAAACCTAAGTTTCCCAGCTAACTGATACAATCTAACTTGGCAATTAGAAATTTCAGAGATACCTCCCCCCAATTTGAAAATTCCTGGTTACATCCCTCCTCAACAGATGTATAGATGTGAGTTAACACCTCTTAGCATATCTATTGACTCCTTGCACCACTTTTAATAAAAAAAAATTCACCTCAACTTTTAAATAGAAAATTTGGGTCACAGATAACAGCAGTTTTCATTCATTTTTCAAATATTTTTTTCTAACGAACTATTCACATGGACTAATTTATTTATTATGCATTTCAGGCAAGATTATTCGAAGTTTTGATCTACAATTCATCATTCCTGATTGAACAAAACGTCACGATGTTATCTCACATTTGTCATCAGCTTCAAATATCACCCAAAATCGTTTGTTACATCACACAAATGTTTATTTTACAATTCCGGAAAAGTTCAAACCCAGAGAAGTTCGTACTCATGATGAAATTCATCTGTTCTATACTCCTAGGTAGGTTTAACTTTCTGTAGTTGTGTCTTCCTGAACCTATAGTATTGTATTTATTATCGGCGCGACGGTGTGGCTCGTCGTGCTCAGCGTTAGGAACACGCTCGCCACCGAACCTCTGATTACTCTTCGTGGGTTCGCAGGTTCGAATCCAACGCAGGGATGATTATGTGTGAGAGGATTGCTGGACTCTGCCGCTTAAGGGTGGTTCACGTAACGGCTGGTAGGTTACGGCTTCCTCCACCATCACCAAGTTCATGCTTCCGAAAACAAATAACTAACTATTCCCAAACCCGACATGGACTGGGAACCGGACGAGAGGCCGTGGTTCGCCATATGATTAAGCCGTCTTATTGGCTTTCCGCTCCCCCGGGATGAATATGTAAATCCTATCCTATTTTACAGACCATGAGGCGCACAGTAAATAAATTGATTAGAATTTGGTTTTTATTTTAATTCATACATACGGCGCATTATAAGACGCGACGATTTTTGAAGCAACACTGGTTTTGATTGTAGGCAGTAAAAAAACTATCTGCTATATACATTAGGCACACTGGCTTATAACCAGGCCTGCAATAACATCCTTACTTCTAAGATTTGTCCTTATTTTGAAAGTCTTTGGCCTTAAAAAAAATTTGCGCTTATTTCTAAGAAACGTCTATATTTTGACTTGTGTCCTTATTTTTGTTTTCTTGAAGACTCTGTATGTAGAGGTAGAGATTCTTATACCAGGTACTTAGTTTGGTCAATTCGAATGATTGATTTGCTAGAAATGATATTAAAACCGCATTGATTGTTTCTTAGAAGATAGATGGAACAGATAGTTTCCAAAAATAAAGAACTGCTTGAGCAAATGCTTTCTAGTGCAAAATAATAAGATACCCCGATTGGAAACCGCTAGTGTAGCAAGATTTAAAACGAGGTAGAATTGCAGGGTTTGCGAAATCTCTTTCCTTGCACCTTATGGTGTAATTATTCATTCAGGATATACTCAAATAATCCTGGTCTTTACTTTCAAGTTATTGTAGCTACTCGTTGGGAACAAAAAGTATTCTTCTAAAACACCTCAATAAATTTCTCAGGTATTTCAAGGGAAGAGCTCAGTGTGATACAATCAACCAGTGTCTCAGAGGATTGTGACACCACTATTAAAATTATGGGGATGGATTGTGATGTAATAAATGAATTTGAAAGACAGAAAATAATTGTTGATAAATTATGTGAATTGTTACCAACAATTGATCATATGTCACAATTGATTCAACATTTCATTTGTGATAAAATAATGGTAAGTACCGGTAGTTCATGCTTTATATTTCCAAATCTGTGGCAGCATGGCCATAGCAATGAACCTAACTATGTTGGTGGCTTGTGTTGAAGACATTTTTTCATGTCGCTAATTCATAAACTGGGGAAGCCTTAGGAATATACTGAACATGATTGATCATTAGCTGTAGTCAGGGATGGCCAATACTGAATAGTTCACTATTTCGAATACATTCGAAATTATTTTTTTCGAATATGAAATTTCGAATACTTCGAAAATAAAATCCACTAATTGAAGCTTATCTAAATGTATGTAGGAATTTCCATACAATAAGCAATGGAATAACTGCTATCTACAAGTTACAACCTAGCTATATTATCAGGCATTTCATATTTGCAGATTATTGCAGTATATATTTCATATACCATGAGTCATGTTACAGAATTAAATTAATACGGCAATAGTGGTATCAGTGATTGATTTGAATATTTGCGCAACACAAAATCATCCTAGTAAAACGCCCATACTTTTAATTAAACACCAACCATTATCCAAATTATTTGCCGATAAGCGAGATAAAGTATGAGTTATTTTTCTGACTTGTGACAATTTTTTTGTGAGTACAAAAATGGGAATCAAAAATTAATTATATTCGAGAACTTTACCACACATTTTAAGTCCGCAGATCGCCGTTGTATTTTGTAAATACGAAAATAGGAATCAAAAATTAATATTAATCGCGAGTTTGCCACACAATTTATGTCCACAGATTGCCATGATATTGTGCCGAATATAATTAGTTTTTGATTCTTATTTTCGTACTCACGAAAAAATAGTCACACGTCGGAAAATAATTTATACTTTATCCCGCATTTTGGGAACTAATTTGGATAATGGTTGCCATTGGTTTGTATTTAAAAGTATGGACTTTTTACTAGGATGATTTTGTGCTGCGCAAAATATTCGAATCCATGACCGATACCTCTATTTGAAATGCCAAGTACCGTGTTAATTTAATTCTATTATCATAACTCAAATGTTAACACATTTTAAGGCCACAGATCGCCGTTGCATTTTAGAATTATAGTTTTATTATTTTGTAAATACGAATCAGAAATAAATTATAATTGGGCAGTTTACTACATATTTCATGTCCACAAATACCCGTGGTATTTGGTATTAATACTTTCATTATTTTCTCAATATGAAAATAGGAATCAATATTTATTAATATCGGTCAGTTCACCACACATTTTATGTCCACAGATTTCGATACAACCATGAGTTACGTTGAACAGAATTAAATTAATACAGCATGACATTTTAATAAATGCTGTTACCAGTCATGGATTGGATTATTTTGCGCAACAAAAATCATCTTGGTAAAGGATCGATACTTTTAACTATCGTTATCAAAATTATTTGCCAGAAATTATTTTCTAATAAATCGACTTGTTTTTCCAACTTGTGACAATTTATTGGATATCGTAACAATTACGGCTATCAATACCGTATTTCCCGGCTAATAAGTCCGCATGGCAAATAAGACGATGTCTATTTTTTTCCATATAGGCCTCCAATAAGACGGGTAAAAAAATTGTGTCCCTGTTGTTCAGTTATGCTAATATGCGCTAATAATTTTATATGTTTAGAACCAGATCATTTAACTATATTTAACAATTGAGCGGTAAATTTAAGTTGTAAAGCGGCAATCATTTTGGACAACCTATTAACCCGAATGTTGAAATAATTTTGGAATGTGATAAGTACTACACTGTACGTCCACGGGTTATTCCACAGCTGTGTTTTCCTGTCCCTATCGTGTTCTGCTGAATCGGCAAAACGAAAGGGTCACAAATCACTTTATCTCGGTGGCCGTGTTTCTCTTTAAAGTAACGATAACCGGCCTGCGATTAAATATCATGATTGGCAGACCCTAAGACCCAAATATAAGGTTACACAAATCATGTTTGAGAAGACTCATGCGAATAATAAGCAGGCCACATCGAAATAAAATAAACATACTTTCTCAAATAGACGCCCCTACCCCGCCTAGAAAAGCGACTCATTAGACGAATTTTTGACGTAATGAAAATGAATTTGTAAATTAAAAGCCTCGTGGATGAATGTCGGCAATGTCCATCCGCGCAAACATGTCGCAACACTATGCGACGTACGGTCGCACAGGATATAAACAATCAAAATGCCGATTCTATTTCATCGTCATTACAATACGTGAGACAGCGTAAAAAGTCGTTTGGAGATTCCCGTAAAACGAAACACCACGTTTACGGCGAAAAGTGGCTACTTTTCGTAATTATTCGAAAATCAGCCGAAAAGGTATTCGAATACTTTGATATTCGAATACATTCGAATATTCGATTCGTTTTGGACAACCCTGGCTGTAGTATATATATCCTACCGACGATACGCGCAGCGTTCAAAATGAACTGGCAGTTATGGTATCCCAGTCACTGCAGTTGAAAAGCTTTATTATTTTTAGGAGTGCAATAAATTGGATAGGTGTAGAAATTCCAACCATTCTAATAACATAGCTGTTATTAGCTTTTTATTAGTACATGCTTCAGCTCTCCAGAAGTATGAGTACCAATAGGGAGGTAACTAATTTTGTCCGCCTACTTTACATCAAGTTATATAAAGAGACTGAAACCTATGGGCAGTGGGTATATCCACTTACACAAACAGTCCCCAAACTCGTGATAGAACTAAAATAGGGAAAATCGAATAAAATTATGGCCCAACCCTAACCTGGTACACATACTTCGGGAGTACCCATGCTGGTATGCGAACCAAGATGGCGGACATCGGAATGTAATATGTGTACTAGGTTAGGGTTAGGCCATAATTTTAGGTATAAATACTACGGGAGGCTCTTGGCTAGTCTTCGAACTGATAATAGGACTAAAATAAGGAAAATTGGAAAAAAATTATCGCCTAACCCTAACCGGTTACCCATGTTACGTTCCGATGTCCGCCGTCTTGGTTCGCATACTTCAGAAGCATCCCCATGCTTCTACGTAGCCTTTTTTTGAGTGAGGATATAAAATTCTATTAACTTTCCCGTCCCTCGAATTAAAATGAAATCTAAATCTCGCACCACTATCAAGTTTCTCCTCTTTGTGATTAAGTCTCCTAGTCTTATTATGATAATCACAATTCAATATTATTTTACAGAGCAAATACAACACACTGCCTATCAAGTCAACTTATGCTATTCTTAAGGTTGGGAGTATGATTTTGCGATTAGGAAAACTGGAAGCACTGCAAAGTCAAGGTATGTCGGAGAATACATGTGTTAAGTTTAATTCAACTTTTGTATTAGTGGTTGCAAGTTAAGAGCTTTTTTCAAAGTGATAGCGGTAAATACATGAACTCTCAACTCTAATAACTTTATTCATACTGTCATTTACCATATGTTTTTATTTGTATTTCCTCTGGATCGAGTATGAAAGATTATTTACTACTTTATACATAAACTCTCAACTCTAATAACTTTATTCACGCTGTCATTTACCATATGTTTTTATTTGTATTTCCTCTGGATCGAGTATGAAAGATTATTTACTACTTTGGTGTTTTTCACTGGCCTGGTCTTTATCAGTAAAATAATTAATACCTACAGAATAGCCTCATGGTACGCCAATCATCGAAAATTAATATTCTCTGTGTATTTTACATATGGCGGATATCTGTTTTCTCTATGCGTCGCCGGCTTTATTTTTCCGAACACTTGTCAATCAGATATTGTGTTTGATATAACTCCGGATTATGTTTATAGTTAGCTAATCAGTAAATATCGATTGGTATTTTCCTGAAATATTTTTGACGCTAATGCACAACGCATTCCCCAATTTTGGAAATCCTCTAATTGAACCCTGAAAGTGTATATTATATGTGGAGAAATATGATGTTCTGCACATTCAGTCCCGTCTTGGCAGAACATTTCGATTATGCAATTCAAATGAATTTGTGCTATCAAACCCTAATTTATTCCAAACTGTTTTCATTTTTTAAACTGTTTATTTCTGCATTTTCACTTGGGATACAATGCCATTAAGATACTAATTTAATTTCTAAAATGAACCTTTGAATCACAGGTCTTGTCAATGTTCTTGGAAAATTAACCGCAAGTACCTTGATGGAAATGTACAATGTTACAGAAACGAATAAAAATTCATACATTGTAAAAATCATGTCAACTTTTGTAAATGTATTATTTCAAAATAATGACGTTTTGATGAAGTGTGTGGAACTGATTGGAAAGTTAGGTATGTATTCGTTTTATGTAGTATTCTAAAATTGTTGCTTATAGTGAGGGCAAAAGCTGTTTATTTGATTCAAATGCAGCACAAAATAAACTAGAGCTGCGTGCAGCTTCAACAGGCTTCCCGCGTAAAAAAAAATTTGCATTTTATTGTTAGCTGAGAACTTCTGCACATTTGAGGTGAATTTCAAGTTTGTAGGACCAATTTGAAAAAATAATAATAATAAATAAATAATAATAATAATAAAACACAGGAATACAATGCTGCTGAAGCGGCGGGAAGCCTAATAATGGAGCGGAATGGAGTTTATATGTGTAAGACACTGTTGGCCTAAGAATTCCACAGCATCAACGGAATCCCTGCTGAGAGATATCCTGGCAGTGACTGATTGTGGTTCGGCATTGCCTATACCAGGGTGGTCCAAGGTTGTTGGCTTCGCGGGCCACAAAATTATTTTTGCATTGTTCGCAGGCCACAATAGTGTCAAAAAATTAGAAAGCCAGTGAACAATTTTGACTACCAAAGCACACTATTCAACTTTGCTAGTTGCTTCAGCTAGCCGTGGCACTAGCTAATTTAGTGATGTAACAAGATGTCAAAAAGATTTTAGGATAATATTTATGTCGAAACAACACCAAATTTTTTGATTACCCTTCAGCAAAGGCTATGCGGGCCACAGATAATGATGCTACAGGCCTGGGCTATACCAAATGTAATCTGTGATGCCAACAATATCAAGTCTAACGCTTTGACTGCTAAAGCCAAGAGCGCTCCCGAAGTATGTGCACCAAGACAGCGCACAACCTGAACCCTAACCTGGTACACATACTATGTTCAGGTTGTGCGCCATCTTGGTGCACATACTTCTGGAGGTCCAAGCCAACTAGTCACCAACAGACAATTTTAGTAAATATACGAACTTTTTATCAGTGTGTGTGCCTAATTGCTAGCGTGTTGAACTCAAACAATACTTGTTTTGCAATTCTAACACTACAGCTTTGAATATTTTCAATCTTGACTTCTTAACAGAAAATAATGATTCCTAATATTTTTGTGAAATTTTTAGACTTTGCTGACGTGACCGTTTGCCAGACAGTCTGTGCTTTAATGAATGATTTAATGCTGAATGTTGGACTTCATGAAAAATTACTGCTCAATCAAAAAACATTGAACAATCTCATGGAAAATATGAAGGTATGACATATTCTTCGGACAGAAATTAATTCTTTAAACATACAGGGATCCATTTGCTAACTTCTAGAAAGCAAATAATATAGGGTGTCCATAAAGTCCTAAATTTTTTTAAAATTGCAAAGAAAATTTATCGATACTATATATTGTTTTGGCCCTCACAGATGTATTAAATGAAGTAAAAATACTTTATAATTACTTACTAAAAACAACAAACCTGGTTAAGATATATTGAGAACTAACTTCGTAACAAAATTGGAATTGTGAAGGGACTTTATGGACACCCTGTATAGTATATTTTATGTATAAACCTTAGGAGTTTTGGTGACCATACTGAATTTTCGGACCTCCTGAAGTATGCGCACCAAGATGGCGCACAACCTGAACTTAGGTTGTGTACCAGGTTAGGGTTCAGGTTATGCGACATCTTGGTGCTCATACTTCAAGAGTGCCGAATTTTCTGCATACCAACTTATGACATATTGTACCATTATCAGTCAGGGTTGTGTATAGCTGAACAGGTAAATAGAATTTTTAACATGTATTACGAATAGGGCTGGGCATTTCAAATCGAATACTGAATTGTTCGATTGCAATTCATTCGTTTTTAATAATTATGTGACTGGAGTATCCATCACAATAAATAAGTCACATACAACTGAATATCCTCCAAGTAATTGAGATTTGATTTGAAAAAAATATTCGATTATGAAATCATCAGGTATTCAAAAAGCCCAGCACTAAATATGAATAGCCAATTATTAGGTTTTGTTCATTTCTGACATACAAGCATACAACTTGCTCGACACTAGGGCTGGGCATTTCGAATCGGATAGTAAATTATTCGAATCGGTTCAGAGCTAAACTTCGAATCGCCGCCATCTTGTTTTTGTCTTCCCGCTAATGGTCGAGGTGAATTCCCCAATTTTTTTTTCATTTCAGTCATATTTTTTCAACGGAATTCTAACATATGACTATTTTCTGTAGTGAGTTATTGATAAAACGTGATTGTTATTCTGTGTGAACGCTCAGTAATCTATCTGAGTGAATCATTCTATGTCTTCAGTAATTCATTTGTTGAGAGGACCAATTACTATAATAAAGTCGCTTACAATTATATATTTTTAAATATTCGAGATTCGATTCGATTCGAAAAAATTATTCGAATCGATTCTGAAATCACAAGGTATTCGAAAATGCCCAGCCCTACTCGACACATGACTGAAATTTAAGAAAGATGCTATTAAAGGAGGATCAAGATGCAGCTTGAAAATAAAATATGTTCAATCACACGTAATGTTCGGCTCGGTGGTGTGACACAGCATGTTAAGCAAGCGTCAGGAATACGCTCACGGCTGCACCTCTGATTACCCTTTGCAGATCTGAATCCCGTTGAGGATGTGCGACAAGCAAGCGCATACCCATGTGCAGGTTGCCTTGACAAACCCCCCCCCCCCCTTTGAAATGTGAAAAAAAAAAATTTCCTGCATCATACATTTAAATTTTTCATAGCTTGGAACTTATTTCAGGCCCTCAAGAGTCCCCCCCCCATGTTTTCCGGGTTTTGCAGGAGCCACTAGCTGTTACAGGTCGACTCGGCAATTAGGAATTTCAGAACTCCCCTTCAAAAAAAGACCCCTTCCCCCTTCAAAAAAAACCTGGCTATGTCCTTGCCGATAGGATAGAATGTGTAAATCATATAAATATAAGTTGAACTTCCTTCGAATGAACTTGCATTAATAAAGTGCTGTTTCTCACTTGTTCCATTTTTTTACATTTTAAAATCCTTTTTCCAGAAATCATGTGAAGACATCACTTCTACAAAATGGTTCAAATCAACAAATAACAATTTCCACGTTTTGTTGCAAAATAAATCATAAGAAAATCATGCTTTTGAAGATATATTTGTTTGAATAGTTTAGATAAGATATATACTTTTATTTGGGAACCATAAAAGTACCATATCTGAGCAATCAACCCCTAATTGTGACTATTGTGATAATGCACAAATAAAGGTCGAATTCCTCCATATAGATTGGTTTGCATCAAATCTATGATACCGGAAAACATGCCAAGTGAAGCTGAGAATGTCTGTCTAAAGTCTAGACCAGTGATTCTTAAACTTTTTCTAGCGCGACCCAAATCTGAGTTTTATGAATACTCGCGACCCAATCCTAAATAACGCAAAATGTGTTTTTAATGTTAGTACAGTTTGACTCTAATACAGACAACTATTTTTTAGAAACAGTTCATTGACTCAGTGAGATTGATGAAACTGAAATTTCCTTTTCATTATATCTTCAATACACAGCTCTATTTTCCTTAACGCAATACGCAAGTTGTCACAGGTATCGAGGCGATTGCGTGCTTAGTTTTGATAACCGTCAGTGCCAAATATCCTCGCTCGCACAAGTGCCTTGTCGCGACCCATTTTTAAACCTTCCGCGACCCATACTTTAAGAACCACTGGTCTAGACTCTAGGAATTGGAAGGCAGAACTAATAGAAAAGCAATGTTAGAATATATAAAACGAAGATCAAGGTGCGAAGTTTGCTGAAACAATCGGTGGCCAAGCAATACAGAATAAAGAGTGTAAAATTGAGTCGCATAGTTTACAGACACATAATAACCTCATAACACATCTTCCTCCTATATACACCAAAAATTTGAAATCAATGTGCCCATCGTTTAGGAGGGGGGGGGGGGAGGATAAAAAGAATCATCCGTACACTTCATGTCCGATAATTTCAGACTGTGGAGATCATTGAGAATAGGACTTTCCATACTCATCCTAGAATAGGGTTGCCATACCGTCCGGAAAATTCCAGACATGTCCAGAATTTAGGGTAAATTTTGCGTCCGGGAAGAATACTGCATCTGCTATCGTACTATGCACACTGCTAATACAGAACATTGTTATTTTGTACCGTGCGCATCTTTTTACTACGAGGTCATGAAAATAGTCATGCACTGTCTGGAATTTTGATTTTTCAAATATGGTGACCATAATATATATATTCTAGCACCCAACAAAATAGTCATTTTCCAGGTCCAACTAGACGGAGCAGCGACTTCCACAGATGACAGAATTCTTGTCGCTGGAGCAACAGACATGTCCAGAATTTAGGGTAAATTTTGCGTCCGGGAAAAATTTAAAAATCATTACTGCATCCGCTATCGTACTATGCACACTGCTAATACAGAACATTGTTATTTCGTATCGTGAGCATCTTTTTACTACGAGGTCATGAAAATAGTCGTGCACTGTCCGGAATTTTGCTTTTTCAAATATGGCAACCCTATCCTAGAGAGAAATAGACATATTTTTATACCATAGTGTCACTGTTTTAGTCCATTACCCAGGCAAAATCAAACTAGAGTTACTAACACATGAGTGGGCGATGCTTGAAGTTTTCTGACTGACGCCAGATTCTGGTGCTCTGTTTGTTTATTCTCTCCACTTTGAACAGCATTTTTATAGAAGCTGTGTTTTTGAAAAATAATGATGTAGGAAAGATTACCGGTATCAAGTGAGTTTGAATTTTTGTTTAACAGCTGATACCTCTGATAGTGGGATGTTGATTATTTCCCCTGTAACATTTGAGAAATCCTCTAATAAAGCCATTTCGAAGTCTTGGTGAAGTCGCTTGTACGTTTTGAAATTGAATAACTGAGGCAGTAGTCTCACCACAATCTGCCAATTTCCTGTATGATTGAATCAACAAACCACAAGATTTTGACTAATACTCCGCAATTGAGTATCGTATCACTCTCTCAGTGCCCAGAACACGAGTTGATGGTTTAAAGTTCGATTTCAAAATTTATGTACATTGTGAACAAGGAAAAATGACATTGCCCAATCGAATAATAGCGCCATGAAAAGGGCAATTTGGTCAACCTTTTATAAATGAATACCAGAGAACATTTAAAGCTCTAGCATACTGTTGTTTCCTGCCACAAGACTACAGGTCGCATGAAAAGTCCAGCAGTACCCTCTCAAAATATTACTACAACTTTCAGCTTGTACAAATAGCTCTTGATTGTGCGCTCATGAGTACTCTCAACACAACTCCTATAAAACAGAGTTTCCCAAACTTTTTGGGCTGCCGACCCCTATTTAAGAATCCTAATTTGACGGTCCCCACGCTTTGCCGTATCAATTTCAGTGCCTAACCAACGAGTAAAGATAATGTTTCATTTACAACACAACACAAACGACATTAATGTGATGAATTAGTTAGCTTTTCACTGCACATTTTTTTGAATCTCGGAGCAATTTGTGGCAAGCAAAGTTAAGAGGACGGGCAGCATGTCTCGACCTGTATTTTGTCATCATATTTATAAGAGTGAAAATGCTGCCTCACGAATGTAAGTCGTTGCAAAAAGATTTTAATTTCCTTTTCTGAGAGCAATGGATATTCTGCAACGCTCAACCAAAAATATGCAATTTCTTATTAATTGAAATCGATCAGACTTTTCCATGTCGTGGCGGACCCTAGTTTGGGAAACCCTGCATAAAAGACTTACACCAGTCAAATAGCTTTGTCTATGGTTTATTCCAAATAATGATAAACTTGAACAAGAATATTGCCACAAGGGTAAAACAGCCAAATCCTAAAAAAATTTCCTCTGATACTTTGGCAGTCTTACCCTTGCTCTCAAGATTACACAACAATATACTGAGATATTCACAATTGGAATACAGTGAGGAGCCAATCCTATTTATATAAATTAAGTAGAAAACTGAATTTGGGATAATTTGAACTTTGTATCGATCTCTTTGGAAAGACATAGGCGTAAATATGAGCTGTATCAATAAATAAGTAATTATTGTTTGCAATTTAATTTAATTTTGATAGCACAGCAAAACCTATACAGGCAATAAATAATATAATGAAAAGACCGGCAAGAAATAGCCCAACTGGCTGATTTTTCCAAGGAAGAAAACGGAAAATACGCCGTTGAAATCTGTGAGAAATTCGCACAGAATGGGCATTTCTTGACAGGGGGGCGCAGCAAGGTTCAGCATGAAAAAAGCATCAAAATTAAAATTTACTTCGAGAACTGGAATACATTGATTTCATCGGCGATAAAGATTTAGCAATTGAAACCAAAGCAACACCTAGTCACAATATCATATTTTATTATTAGAAGACATTTATTGACCAAATTAACTACAGGTAAAATAATTTAGGGTGTGAAAAATTGAAATCAATGCTTTTTGAAACATATATTTTGATAATTCAATCAAATATTGTTACTTTAACATTTTGCAATCGTGAGGCAAAATGGATATATTAGATTACAGAAAATTTAACTAGAAAATACCAAATTATTCGAATGAAAGAACAAGCAAAATTCAATTTCTCTCTATTTACCAAACATTGAATTTATTATTACTATATTTCCTAACTTCTAAAAATTGTGCAAAAACGTCAGAATTCTACTATTTGGTGGATTCAGTGAGGTACGCGATTAAATCGGATCTTTCTTGTTTCTTCTTAATTCCAGCGAAAACCATTTTCGTTCCTGAAAAATACAGGTTATTATGCGTAAGGATAAGGCTTTTCATATCAATATTGGGGCAGAGGAGAGCTGATAACACCTGATTAGGTTTGTGTCAGGTTATATAAGTGAATTTGGCCAGGGAAAGCTGAAAAGACCTTAGAATTTCTCCTAGGTTTACAATCTGTGAATGACACAATTAGCCAGGGGGGAGAGGAAGCTGATAAAACTGTCTTTGGATTTCTTTCAGATCTGTGAGTTAAATTTTTAGACTGCATATTTAGATAGAGGAAAGAGGTACAAAGGTGGCATATTTATCTAGGGAGAAGTGAAAAGCCGAACTCTGGTTTTAAGATCTCACTAGCATAGTATCGGGATATGCTCAGACTGGGTGACAAGGTTTCAAATTCCTCAAATGACCTCAATAATGGTGAATTGGACAACTGTCTCTTATCTGGACACCGGGTCGTAGTTGGTTATGGAAACAGAAAACAGTCCCAGATGTATGGAGCGTTTTCCTTACAGTACCAACTTGTTTCGTCTCTTATATAGCAGCATCAATCCTCTTGAAAGTTTTGAATTAAATATTATTTAAATTAATTGTTATTCATTATCAACAGTCACATAGACAAATACAGCTCTTAGTGATCCAATGCACTTTTGCATTGCACTACTTCACTATAAATATCAGCGTACCTGGAATATATTTCTTGGGATTTGTCAGGTAGATTTCTAACGTGTCTGGACCCCATGTAATACCTGTAAAAAAAATAAAATAACATTCTTTAATTAACAAGGGGCAGTCATGCAGATTAGAAATATTGGCACTTTTTTCATTAGTTTATACATTTTTTCACACCTTTTTACTCAGAGAAAGGCTATGGCAATAATACATAGACCATTTTTTGAAGACTGAAATGTTTTGGACTCTTATGATCCGTTGTTATGCAATTGAAATGTTATATTTGACATGCAGTACTGCTTCAGTGAGAAAACAGTATCTCACCCAGAATCAACTTTTTAAGTGGAAAGATGTCTAATTGCTTTCAAAATCAACAATTTACTTTCAAGAATAATTAATTTACTAAATCTTCCTAAAAATTCAACTTTTCCCAGCCATCATTGTATATCAGCGGGAGCCATGAGGCCTTAAAGTCACCAGAAGAGGGCCGTGAGCCATGAAAGGTTTTTATTCTGTATGTTTCTAATCCAACAACAATCACCTTTATCTTTGTTAGCTTGAGTGTAAGTGAATCCTGGTGCTTGTCCAGTCTTTCTTCCAATAAGACCACTGAGATTGGGACCTAATAAAAAAGGAATATGTTTTTATTAAGTTTTCGGTAAATAAGATGTTTTTACTCGTGTAGACTCAAGACTCAATCACCAATTGAATGGTCGTCATTGAAGTTGAAAAGAGGGTTTGTGGAGGAACATCAGACTAGATGTTTTTAAGTAAGAAGCAGTAACTTAGTGTCACAAGTTATTGTCCATCCAATTCCATATGTAGAACTTGTAATGACACACGTCGCATAAAACATACCATACCCTCCGCTAATATATTTTATATTCTCCTATAATATACGCGAAAGTACACATTGTATAATAAAAATGCATTTTAGTGTGAAGTAGACGTGATAAACCAGTAATGGTTATTTGAGGAAGTCCAACATTGAATTATACGGAAGAAAAAAAGGCAAACATCAAATACTAAGAAAAGTCTGAAATAAGATAAATCACCCCTTAGCCAGAATTGTACTAAAGTCTACTAGACGCAATCAAGGCTTACCGGTCTTATGTTTTCCACCATTTTCAACAGTGTGACATTGCGCGCATTTCTGAACAAAAATCTTCTTTCCGTTTTCTGGGTTTGGTGTCGAGTCTCCTCCTTTTTTGCCCATATTTTTCTGTTTTGAATTTAATTTAATGAAGAAAGAGCTACTGCAGTCACTGCTACAGGTAGAAATAAAAAATAATAACTGAAATGAATGCAGTGAAATGTTGAAAGTCTCGTCTTTTGTTACATGTGGTGTAATTTAGAAGGATATATACGGCTATACCAGTATTTTCCAATCTTTTAGTTGGAGCGAGCGGGCAGCCCTAAAATGCGGGACAGGAAACGTCGGGAAATGCACTAAAATGCGGGAACTACAGGAAAATGCCAATACTGAAATGCAGGAACTAAAGGGAATGATTTCCTGTCATCCCCGCTTTTTGTGAAATTTCCCCCTTTTTTAGTGAAATTTCCCGTAGTTTCAGTCATCCCCGCATTTTAGTATTGGCGATTTCCCGTAGTTCCCGTCATTTTACTGCATTTCTCGTAGTTCCCGCATTTTAGGGTTGCCCGGAGCGAACTTCAATGAACCATTCCAGAGGCAGCCCTGGTGCAATGCCTGAATACTGCAATAGTTTAGTTGTCTTATATTGTCCGAATTATAATAGCTATGATAATATGTTAACGTTAAATACCGGTACCGGTACTGATATAAAATAAAATCCAGTACTAGCATAACAACTACATAAAATGATTTTGTGTGAGTGTAGCAAGTCTAACAATAGTAGGTACTGTATTCAAGTAAAATAAACACATTAATAGGCCTATAGAGAAAGTCCTGGTTTTACTGACAGCAATTTGGTAAAAAAACACTAGGCTAGACAAATGGCTGAATGGTAAAGAAGACCAGGATTGGATAAAAGTGGTTTTGGAAAAGCCTAACTTCATTATCTTTGTTTGAGAGATGACTTAAGACTTACAAATTCCCCCATACTTTTATACAGCTAAAGACAGAAAGAGCTAACTGAATACTGGAATATGATAACCCAAATAAGCATATCTGATTACTGAAATAACTAATAGAAACAAAGTCATATGCTTACTTTTATGCCTCACTCCCGTATTCTCTAATGTAGTATTATGATTATATCGTTGCCTATCCTGCTATCTGACCATATAAATTAAGAATTCAGTAATTTAATGTCTATCACAGCAACAACACAAAATTCTAATCCTTGATGTTTACGTTCTCAAACATAAATTAAATAATTTATTTCCATAATTGTGACATCACATTTAAACATATTATTTCATCATAGTTGACTTTCATCTAACCACTATTTCGTCACAAGGAAATAATGACGCCCACTCAGTTGCGGTTCTGCTTATGTATAAACCAGTTGCCAGCTGAAGACGATTAATTTATTAACACAAATGGAAGTGTGAAAGGTATATCGCGAATAGTATTGCGCGAATTTAACACCTAAACCCGCCATTTTGCCCCGCGAAAAGTGTCTACAGCGAGTCTTTCATCTGTGACATTGTTAGTACTTTTCAAGGTAACCTACCGCAAACGAGTTGCGCAATGCGGCGCATGCGTACAATACGCCTGGCCGGCATAGTAGTAAGAATGCCTTACAGAGCTCAAAACTGCATGTTTTTTACAATTTTTATCTTGAAAATAAGTCAGTGCTTGGGTATTTTGCTCGAACAATTCTGAAAAATATTATATTTTAATGTTGTAACCCTTTAATAGGATTTTTCAATTCGAATGTAATTGTTTATTTGACAATTTTGATGTATGAATGCTGGGCTGACTTTAACCCTGCGCTTCGTTTTGCGTATCAGTTTCGTCAGACGACGACGTCACTTCTGATTCATTCGTGTCGCAAGACTACACGTCATCAAAAGTATTGCGCAAAAGGAAATCATGGGAGGTGAAGAACTTTTGACTTTTGGACGTCGAAGAATGATGTGATTACAAGTTTAATGATGGCGTAGTCTTGGATTGAAACTGTAGCGATTACATAAGGATAATAATTACTGTGTATTTCAATATTTTCGCCACGTATTGTTAATTAGGCATGTTATTTGGATCCACTTATTTCCATCCAAACATCCACTTCCTTGTTTTCTTCGTGACATTGGCCAATAAGCAAGATGCAAAAAGTGACGTAACAATGCTCCCTTTTCGCATCCGCTCAGACACTTTTCTTACTCAGACAGATTTTCAAGCGTGGTCGTAAACATTACCTCGTTTTCGCGTTTTTGAACTCTATTCGTTAGTTTTCAGTTGTGTTTCGGAAACTTGAATATAAATCAAATAATTCAATGTCTTCCTAGGAGTTTTAATTTAATTGCAGTAATAAAAATTAGTGTAGAAATATCTGTGATAGACTAGGCTGAAATTATTTACCGGAACTTTCAAAAAACAGATTGTGGTATGCGATGAATCATAATGATGGTTTGAAACACATACCCCATTTTACAGGCGCTAACTCGCAAAAGCGCTCCTAAAATAGCCCCGAAATTTTTGCAATGATAAAGTATTGAAAGAATATTTCGGGGGTCAAAGGTCGGGGTAAGGACCATAGGTTGTGAACCACTACTCTAGCATAAATGCGGGTCGGTCAAATTCTTAAGCTCTTGAGAGAATAGATTTTATTGTCACCATGTCTCGGCATGATAAGTTTAGTATTTATTGAATGATCTAGTTTGCATAAACGACGATCCAACTAGGGAACCGTATAAAGGTAATAAACAATAAAATTATGCAGCAAGAAGAGAACAGATCTGGAACTCGTTTCCCGAATAATGGAGGTTTGTTGCCTCCATGATGACATTGTTATTCAATCGGAGGTATTTTTTTATCTCTGCAATTATTTTCTCATCTTCTATGGCACGCTTTGTATATGAAAAATAATGTCTAAAGAGTAGAATGTCCTTAATGCACGAAGGCAACTGTCTATATAAGGGACCATATTATACATGTTTAATCTAACGTTTTTTGTTTTATATTTGTCAAAAGGGGTGCATGCCGCACATTTGTGTTTTAGGCCAGTAGGTATTGTGCATTCATTTCGTCTCAAATGATAACAAGAGAGCTATGCTCAAATATATGGACACGTAGTGCCACCAAATGGCAATAATTTTGATGACGTCATAGCGAGAAAAAAAAATAATAGCCTTCTGGAGAAAAATTTTATCTTCAACCACTGAAAATTTCAAAGCAATTGGTCCAGTATTCGGAGAGAAAAGCGATTTTTTAAAAATGGTGACGGAGACAATTAACAATAACAATAACAACAAAATTTTGAAACGATCGTTATGTCCACTTCGTGTCCAATAATTGTTCATTATGTATCACTATTACGAGACGAATAAACATACATACGGCTAATAAAATTGCAATAAATGTCTCAAAAACAACAACGAAAGTATCGTGTTTCTGCTATTTCGAGTATTATCATTTGCAAATACTTCGTCAAAGCAACTAAGGAGTTGATATATAAAGATAAAAACATCAGAGTATAAATCCCAAGTTTTAATAAATCTTCAACACGTAGTCACGACTTTCTCCCCCGCCAAAGTCGTCTAAAACAATTACCTGGTTAATTATTCCCATCCCCGATATGTACTGGTAACTGGACGAGTGGCCCCCGTTCCCATGTGTGTATGTTTATTCGTCTCGTAAAAGCAATATAAACCAGTTAGTAATTATCAATACTGAAGAAGGGATGTATGCACAAGACCATACTGGCCTAAAACAGATGAATTTGCGGCATGCAACCACTTATGATAAGCATAAAATACAATAAATCGGTTCCATTACATTTGAACCCACGTACATTTGAACCCATGGCAATTGCACCTGTATGCTATTGCACCTATGGAAATTTTTTTGTTTTTCGGATAGTTGAACCCACACTAACCCTAACCCATGGGTTTTAGCACCCGCATATAGATTGAACCCATGGATATACACATGGGTTCAAATGTACGGTAACCCAATAAATCAACTACGTATAATATGGTCCTTCATACATACAGTTGTGCATGTGTGGTAACAAGGGTAAGATGGAGTAAACAAAGCTGGTTGTTCAAAGGAGTTCGTAAGACAAAACAAGAACAACAAGAGAGCTATGCTCAAATATATGGACACGTAGCGCCACCCAATGGCAATAATTTTGATGACGTCATAGCGAAAAAAAAGTGATAGCCTTCTGGAGAAAATTTTTATCTTTAACCACTGAAAATTTCAAAGCAATTGGTCCAGTATTCGAAGAGAAAAGCGACTTTTTAAAAACGTGTCAAAGAACAAGAACAACAACAACAACATAATATTGAAACGATCGTTATGTCCACTACGTGTCCAATAACATCAGTAAATAGAGACAACACAGCATGGGATACACTGCATGGGTAAGCTGTCACTGAAACTACATAAACAAAATATAATCGATGCGACGTAGGGTTGATTAAAACTTTCACCAGGAATTTGAGGAATCATAATGACGTTTAGATTTGCAAGTGTGACGTAAGAATGCGTTTATTGTGGAATCTGATGACCGCATGGTCGTAACGCTCCCTGCAGTCCAAACTGAAGAAACGGTATTTTCACTGCTTTGTATTTATTGAACCTCCGCTTCTATCAGACCCTGATTATCAGCCATTCTGTCTGTCTGTTTTAATGTAGCATCTTAACAGTAGGACCAATCTAGATGAAATTTTTTATGTGGGTTATCCTGTCACCCTAGTAATATGCGTTTCGTAGAAAGTCCGGGATATGGGTTTCGTTTCCATGGTCACAACGAAAAACGCGCTGATCGTTAGGAAAGTTCAATTTTTCTCACAATTGATCGCCGTTTTCTCGCCAACCAAGTCGAAAATTAAAATTCTAAGAACGCTTCCTTCCGCATAGCAAAATACTCTTTCCAACAAGTCGTCTTTGGTCTTCATAATACTTCATAAACTGGAGGATCCTTGGGGATTTTAGTGAACATTTATTTATTTAATTTTAGCCACGTATCAGTCACGCGAGTATGTCAACGCAACGCACAGCGTTTAAATGAACTCAACGGAACGCGCAGCATTCAAATGAACTGGCATTTTTAGTAATGTCTCCTATTATCCGTTAGTTAACTGAAATACGTGCTCCTAAACGAGGCTTTTTACGAAGTTTGGCGAATGGGGCCCCACTAGACTACAGTCACTCTTACCTAAGTTAGGCATTTAGGGATTTTTGATACCAATTTTTGTATGCAAACACCACAGCATTTGTTGGGGTGCATTTGTTATCGCACGTACTTGTCCAAGGCCAGTAAGGTATTGAACATATATTCCGTCTTAGTTATACCGTTCAATTATTATGTAGATACTGTTACAAATAAAAACACGTACAATTTAACTTGAATTCATGCTAAAAACAGGCCGAGCTATTGTTAACGAGTAAAATTTTCCCCTCGTTAGTTTGCGAGCACTCCGGCGCGATAAAGCCCTTTGGTGAAAACCGATTCTCGGTAAAATGAGAGAAGAAGGCACTTTACGAGACGACTGTTATGGCGCGCAAAAAATTCTCTCGAATATTAACGATACTTCGAGAATACCATTTTTGCCTTTTACGGGAAAATTGGTGCTTTACTAACACGTTAAACGATTTAGAAGTTTGGCGAAAGGCGCCCCTGGACTGTTGACCGGACAAGAGGCCATGGTTCGTCATATGATTAAACAGTCTTATCGGCTTTCCTCTCCCCCGGAATAAATATGTAAATCCTATCCTAAGCCCAATAAGGAGTTCGGTGAACGGAGGGATTAACAAAAGATCATGAAACCACAAACAACTTCCTTGAGTTATTTTAGCTGAAACATCAAAATTTTATTTCAGTTTAGTTGTGGTAGCAGATGCGGGCCAGATTGAATTACACAACGGGCCGTACTTGGCCCATATCTATAGGCATTCTGATTTTTATGTATTGCAGGAATTAGGATTCCAGAAGCACGTGCCAGACGTCGTAAACCGTCACTGGTGTAGACATCGTTTTGCTCTCACTCACTCGCAGACAGGCGGGAAACAATGTTTTTGAAACAAGTGCTGTAATCCCAGGACCTAACGTTTGATGGGTGACAGACCAGTTGCAGCATTGGGAAACGTATGTTATGCAAAAGCCATGTATGCGGCCTGTAAAGTGATTTTAAAAATTTGTAGGGATTAGGAAATATTAGTTATTTAGACAACATTTTTTATAGTAATGTTTGAAAAACCTGAAATTTGCCAAGACTTCTTCTAATTTGAAAAAAGGTGTTTCATTTCGATGTAAAGTTGATAATTACACTTTCGTAATAAAGCGCGACAGCAAAAAACAACTTAGATTGCCATTAAGTAAGATCGCTTTGTAAAACTGTTTTAGAAATTGGTTCGCAAACAATTACCATATATATTTGCTCTGATTTCAATTCAGTTTATTTGAATAGGCCCTGAATATATATTTATCGTCTTGCAAAAAGTATAAAGCCCGCTGTCAAATCTATATAGATAACCAGCAGTGTTCAACCATTGCTTGGTTCAACCGAGTTACAACTACAATAAACGGCGCTCCCGAAGTATGTGCACCAAGATGGCGCACAACCTGAACCCTAATCTGGTACACATACTATATTCAGGCTGTGCGCCATCTTGACGTGCATACTTCTGGAGGTCCCAATAAACAAAATATATATATATGCATAGAAAAATGCCGATCTTGGAACTCTTTACTGTACCCCACGTGCATATAAATACTTTGAATTCCTTGCTGAAAATTTGTGTTAAGTGTCTCTCCCATTTGTACCATTAGGGGTATTCCCGTAGTATGTGTACCAGGTTCGGGTTGGGGCATAATTTTATTCCGATTTCCTTATTTTAGTTCTATTACGAGTTGGGGACTGTCTGTGTTAGCCATGTGGATATCCCCCTCTCTATAGGTTTAAGTCCTTTTTACAACTTGATATGAAATAGGCGTCAGGCGAACAAAATTAGTTACTTCCATATTGGTACATATACTTCCTGGAGCGCCCTATTAAGTAGTTGTTACGAATTCATGTATAAGTATTTATAGTAAAAAAAAAATCCAAAGATTATTAGTAAGACTACAGCAAATGTGAAGCAAAATTTTTTCCCCCAGAACGGAAAATTCCTCGTCGGTTGATCAGGATAGGCAGTTTCTTGAAACTAACAATACAAGTTTCGACTAAAGGGAACTGCGCTTTAGTTTTGTAATCAAGCAATCTCGTATTATGATGTCCGAGGAGAGAGTAATATATTTAATGACAGAATTAATGTTAAACCCGAGTCAGCTTGACATTGTCTCGTCCTAAATGCCAATTGCAACACGTTATACTCAGTGGTGGGGTTCAAATTTTTTGTCAGCCAGTTCCATCACAAAAGTCATATTTTTCAGCCGGTTCTGTTACAAAAAGTCATATTTTTTTATGGAAGAAACTGATTATTTTTAATTACTTCCTAATTAACTTCCCAAAATAATGGTTAAGTAAGCATCATTATGTCAAAATTAGCATTATCAAACAATAAGCCTCGTGCCAAAACTAAATTTCACCGCAAAGTCAACAAATTCCTTGATATATTTTAGCTGAAACATCAAAATTAATTTGATTTCAATTTGATTGTGGTAGCATCAGGCGGGCCAGATTGAATTACACAACTTTACCCATGTCTGTAAGCATTCTGATTTTTATGTGTTGCAGGAATTAGGATTCCAGAAGCACGTGCCAGACGTCGTAAACCGTCACAGGTGTAGACATCGTTTTGCTCTCACTCACTCTCAGTCCGCCCGGGATAACTTGAGGAGCAGAGTGAAAGCGAAACGATGTTTACATTTGTGACGATTTTCAACGTCTGGCACGAATTTCTCGAATTCTACTTCCCGGAATACAGAAATATCAGTATTTTAACAGACTATATACACGCCGACTCGTATTACAATTCCATGCAATTTGAATTGCAATGTTTGTTTTTGATTGTGGGAGCAAGAATGGAAGGGGAGGAGACGGATGAAAACCTTGCGCGTTCAATTTTAGCGCGAACTATAAATTTAGCGCGGACGGAAATTCACCTAATCCTGCTGTTATTTTATATTGTTGAAAATATATTTCTTACCTCACATAGTAGAAATTAGGCATATTTTGTAACCAGCGTTTTGCCCTTTTCTTATTTGAATTATATTATAATGAGAAATTGCCCGAAAAACAGTCAGCCACAAGCTTTGCCGATGATAGTAAAAAAAACAGTCGCATGGAACCTTCCAACAGCAAACGTTACCTGATACAAGTTCACGGTAGCGCTACACTGACGCCATTATGATTTCCTTTTGAACTTGACTCGATGTTTCCTCATGTCACGTTCGGATTTTTTTAATTTATGCTAAAAACGCATAAATAGGCAGAGCTGTATGCTCAACTCGGGCAAATTGTCGAACGAGCTTGGTAGCTCTAAATTGCCCGAGAAACTAAATTGCGATGTTTGAACGCCGCGATTTAAGATGCGTAAAATCCATTGAAGCGTCGTGTTAGGCCTCAGAAAAGCTCTTACCATCGCGCCGCTAATCGAATTCGGTGATTACTGAAATTCTTTCAATGTCGAGTTGATTCGTACCGGTCCGTTATAGATTCAACGTGGTCTTATACTGGGCACTCCAGAAGTATGTGCACCAAGATGGCGCATAGCCTTAACCTGGTTCACATACTATGTTCAGGTTGTGCGCCATCTTAGTGCACATACTCTTGGAGCACCTTATACTGTTAGTCATCCCAATCGCCCATTCGCAAATTTTGCTGCTTAGCGTTTTAAGCTGCGACAACTCAATTTCCGCGGTATTTCGTTACATCCACCGATAAATAGGCGGGAGCTAAATGGTTCGTGGTCGTATGATTACCTTTTGCGAACGCTTTTCTGTACTCCCGAACTATGCGGCGGTGTGGCTCAACGGGCTAAGCGTTAGGAATACGCTCGCCACCGCACCTCTAATTACTCTGCGTGGGTTCGCAGGTTCGAATCCCATGCAGGGATGGTTATGTGTGAGGGGATTGCTGGACTCCTCGCCGTCGTTGGGTGGTTCACGTAACCGCTGGTCGGTTACGGCTTCCTCCACCACCAAGTCCATGCTTCCGAAAAACAAACAATACAGTAAAACTAATCCCATACCCGACTTGGAATGCTAACCGGACGAGAGGCCGTGGTTCGCCATATAGATAAGCCGTCTTATCGGCTTTCCTCTCCCCCGGGATAAATATGTAAATCCTATCCTATCCTAACTATGTGAATTAAGATGGCGAACACCGGAACATAGTATGTGTACCAGGTTAGGGTTAGGCCATAATTTCAGGTACAAATACTATGAGATTCACTTGGCTAGTCCGCTAACCCCTAAAAATTATGGCCTAACCCTAACCTGATACACATACTACGTTCCGATGTTCGCCATCTTGGTTCACATACTTCGGGAATACTCGCTTTTCTCTCCCGGCTAAACATAAAGACAATAACTTCTAAATGTCGGTTCATCTCGCGTTTTGAAAGCCGAGCAGCCGGCACTAATCGTTTAACAATGTTCAACCCCGGTCATTCGCTGGCCCTATGGCTCATTTATTACACGGTAATTTCTGGTACTCTCGTAGTATTTGTACCAGGGTAGGGTTTGGCCATAATTTTATTCTGATTTTTCTTATTTTAGTTCTATTACGAGTTTGGGTACTGTCTGTGTTAGCTAAGTAAATATTTTCCCAGCCTATAGGTTTCGTTCCCTTTACACAACTTGATGTGAAATAGACGAACAAAATTAGTTGTCTCCATATTGGATCTACCCTCAAATGCGCCAGAATTTGAAAACGTTAGGTTCATTAGCAAAGGAAAACTGTAATTTTTCATTCAACAACTCATCTGTTTGTATATTTTTTGTTTTATATTATAGTAAAAAGTTTTAGATAAACTCGGCTTGCTTCAAAAACCTTCATCCTAATTCAAAATGATGAACAAAATCTTATTACTGACCTTGATGTTGGCTGTTACGTCAATGCTGATCCTGAACGTAGAAGGACGTAAGTTTATAAGAATCAAAATATATTCTAAAAAGGGTGCTCCCGAAGTATTCGTACCAATATGACGCACAACCTGAACATAGTATGTGCACCAGGTTAGGGTTGTTCAGGTTGTGCGTCATCTTGGTACGAATACTTTCGGAGCGCCGTCAAAAGCTTATTCCCGAGCGTAAAACGGTTGTAGTAAATACCTGGCATTCATTGAATAGTGAATCGAACGAATACAAAGACGAAAAAAGCTAACTTTTATTTTTAAACACGGTGCTTTCGCCGTGAAAACAATTTATTAGGCATAAAGTTTATCTGCGACGAAAGAGTGAATATAAAAATAGTTTTTTAGAAATATATTTGAATTCGATTGGTCTAATACCGAAAAAGATTCGTTTTTTGACGCTGTGTTCACTGGTACTTTCGTGATCAAAATCTGTAACAAATATTGCTTGACTCCAAGATGAAGCCACGGTTCATTATTTCATTTATATATAAATATGTGATTTAACCTGTTTCTAATTTGTATTCTGTTATTGGACACGTTAGTGGACATAACGATCGTTTTACAATTTATGCTGACACCTTTCTTCTTGTTTTCTTCTTGGTATCGGTATGAAAAAAATCGCTTTTCTCTTCGATTACTGGACCAACTGCTTTGAAATTTTTAGTGATTGAAGATCAAATTTTTCTCCAGAAGGCTATTACGTTTATTCATTTTCAAATATTCCGGTGAGCATGGCATGGCATTCGTTTTTTGTGTGCTATCCGTCATCAAAATTTTCCACTATGTGGCGCTACGTGTCCATATATTTGAGCATAGCTCTCTTGTTTTCAGTCTGCAGACCTGCGTGTCCGTCTGGTTTAGTATGCGTTGGAATCCGATGTATGGTAAGTCCCGTTCAATATTTTTGCGCGTTTTACTCAAATTACTTAGGCTTAAAGGACATATAAATTTCCGTTTTTGTCCTGTGTCAAATGTGGGGAATAAGGTTATGAAAATTTCATGGTGGGGTGAGGCATTGATGCAGTTTTCATCAAACTTTTCCCATCATGACCCAATTCGCACTAACGGGTACTTCAATAAGACCGATGTGCTCGCATATTATCGCACAAACTATCGAATCTTGAATCTATTTCGGGCGCTTCCATAGTATGTGCAACAACATGGAGGACACCTAAACATAGTATATACGTGAACCAGATTAGGGCTAGTACATAATTTTTTGCCAATTTTCCCTATTTTTGTTCTATTACGAGTTCGGGTACTAGCCAAGTGACTCACGTAGTAATTCTACTTGAAATTATGGCCTAACCCTAACCTGATACACATACTACATCCAGGTGTCCGCCATCTTGTTGCACATACTACGGGAGTGCCGTTACTCCCGAAGTATGCAAACCAAGATGGCGGTTGATTTTCAAAGTTTTAAACTTTCAATATCGGCCGTAAACTTATAATCGAAGCTGTTTCAATTATCATTTGAAGACATGAAAAACCAAGTGACACTTTCGTGGCCAAGGAGTAACATTGTATTGTAAATATGATTGAAAACAAAAAAAAAACTAGCATCATTCATTGCTACTACAATGAAAATTTGACTATAATGACGCAAATGAAACTAAACTTTCCAACAATCATAGTAATTTTTAATAGGCTTATGGCCCACTTGATAATGTCTTCATGACCCAGCTGTGGGACATAGCCCAATGGTTGAAAACCAGTGTTTCTAGACTTTTTAATTTGCTCATTTTTATTTTCAGGAACGATGATAAAGATTCATCACTACGTACAAGATATTTCATCGGACTTCATAATCAAGGAACGACACGACATATTAAAGTGCTTATAAACGAATTATAATTTAATAAATATAAATCAAAAAATTACTGGTTTTTATTTCTTCAGATTGTGATGAATTATCTTAGTATGAAGGTTTAATTCAATTCTAAAGCACATTAGAAAGCAGAATACAGCGTATCGAAATTAGGGTTGCCATACGCCATATTTTTCCCTGACCTGTCGGGATTTTAGTGGTCAAATTTCCGTCAAGAATAAATGTTGAAAAATGCATGAATGTCATTTTTGGACCTAGTCGATAGCAAGAAATCTCTCTTACACGTTTTAAATGATTAATATAAAACTTGTCATTAATAAGTAAATTGATATTGACTTCATATTGGAAAATCTATTTTTTATTAATTAATATACTTTATAAATTTGTTTCTGATACATGAAAATATAAGACATCTCCTGAGAGTAGATCCTGGCGATCGAACTCTAGATCGTGGGATCACGGCACTCGTTTCAAAACATTGTTTGTTGGCGCTCGTCCTCCCGGGATAACTTGAGGAGCAGAGTGAGAGCGAAACGATGTTTACATTTGTGACGATTTTCAACGTCTGTCACGAATTTCTCGAATTCTACTTCCCGGAACAGAAAAATATATATACACTATATACACGTATACCCGGAATACAATCAGAATTTTTACAGACCATGCACACGTATACTAATGCTGCATGATTTTCGAACAGAAGCCTGCTGGCTGATAGAATAAGCTCAGGCCTATTCCCACAGTTACTTCACATAATGCAGTATAACGATGGGATATCAGGTTGCCGTGTCGATATCGAATTCCAATCTGAAAGTAGAGGAGGGAAATGGAGGCGGGCCAAAAGCGGGTCACAAGGAAAAATTGTGCTGCCCCCGGCAAAGTGCCAATTTTGAAAAGGTTTGCGGCTCGCGAAACGATTTTTAATTCAGTTTAATCTGATACGTGCGAGTAATCTTAATCCCTCTGCCTATGGCGTCACAATGCAACGCACATCAACAGCCGAGTTTCCTCGGAAATAAGTCCTAGCCTGAAGGATTTCAATGAAAGCCCTCTCTTGAAAAGGGACCTAGTCGATAACGAGAATTTTTTTATGACCTAGTGAAGCAAGAAATCTCTTCTACAAGTTTCGAAGGATTGCTAATCTGTTTGGCAGTTATTTTAAATAAAAACGTGTTATTTATAAGTAAATGGATATCGGTTTTTATATTTGAAAACCTCGTAATTCTCTACTTTGTGATAAATGAAACTTTAGGACATCCCCGAAAGTAGGCCATAGTGTTATTTTTCGCAGGAAAACTGAAATAAGACCAAGTCTTATTTTCAGGGAAACACGGTAGTCTCGTCTGACATGTACATTGCAATGCTGAAACGTTACACTGCATGTGTTCTTATTTAATTAGAAGCTAACAGTATGTGTTCTGTGGTGATGGGTATTTAACAAGGGTTGTTTCCCCGACCCTTGACCCCAGAAAATTTTCTTCTATATTTTACAATTGCAACATTTTTGATGCTCATTTTAATAAAACAAACGCTTCTTTCTTACTTGACCTTTACTTGATTTATTCTCGTGTATATAGACATCTATAATCTGTTTATCACCCAAATTACTTTGGAAGTTAGGTATAAGGGGCAGCATTATCAGAATCTCGTCCCGGGCAGCAGACTAGTTTGACACGCCTCTACTGGCAGGCCGTGTAAGTGTGACGTAAAAAGTTACATTTTATGAACAATATTTACAGTGTTACAAAGCAAAGGTGAAAAACAATAAGTCTCGTGCCACTTTGAACTCTGACGGCTCTGAGCGAAGTTACTCGCTCACCCTGAAGGTTCGCGGCGCCGTATTGGTAGAACAATAAAATAAGTCCAAATACTGGCTATTTGGCACGCTCATAATTTTTTACCAATTATAGGTAGCACGTTGTGTGACATTTCAATCGAAAGGAAATTTTATCGTGCATTCAGAATGTGTTTTCCATTTCGAAATACATTTTGTCAAAATTAATAAAATTGACCCTAATCTAACAGTGATTTTTCTGCATGTATGTGAGTTTTGGCTTGAAATTTTGTTATTTTGGTACAAAATATACTGCCAATATTTGATGTTCATAAAGAGTTTTTTATAAGCTTTTTGTTGATATTCGAATTACTATTGTGGCTGCCGTATAACCAATTTTATATTTAAATATTCAATTGTGTAAAATTGTGTCGGGTGAACAACTTCGATAAGCGGCCATGACGCACTGATTACGCCGCTACGCAAAAGCCGATCACGTGACTACCGTCATGAAGATGTTGATAAGTACGTTCGAAACGTATTGCGTGGCAAAATGCGCAAGATAACTTTCACGACGACGTTCTCAGCGGGACATCGGTCGCCGAGTTTCGATATGATATTAACCCTGTATGGATTGAAGTACCGACGTCGAGTAATGCGTGCAGTAATAGCGAAGTGAAGGGAAGTAAATATCGTCATATAAAATTTCACGTGGAAAATGTTTTATTCGCCCCATCAGTATTTGTTCAAATATCAACCAAAATAAGTACTTGCCTGCTCTGCAGATCAAAATATCTGATTGTACGAATGTTAGGCGCAGCAAGTGGATGGATCAATATCTGAGAGAACTAATAATGCAGAAAGAGCAACTCTTATTCCAACAAGATCATATGCGTCGCCAGAACTAGATACCCTACCGCAAAACGCCAGTTCTAATAATAGATGCGTCGTATGCAGCAAAATTTACATTATTGCCAAAAAACCAATCCAGCTGCTAAAGACAAGCGTTGCTGAAACGATGCGAGACAGTATATAAGTACAAATACTGTAATGAGTACCTATGTATAGGTAACAAAACCAACAACCATTGGTATAACTGGCACAACAAAGTGCAATATTGGATTTAGAATGTGTCTTTTATCTGCATAATATTTTCATGTTCCTCATTGTTCCGGGCACAACAAAGTGCAATATTCAATTTGAAATTTTAGCAAGCAGTCTTTCATGTACATACATTTTTCATGGTCTTTATTGTTCCGTTATTTGCTAATAAAATCACAATCTTGTTCATATTGCGTATACTTAACCACAACTGAATGGGGCTTGAGCGGGCAGTCAAAGCCAAAGCGTAGTGCGAATTTTAAATGCGTAGCATCGGGTTAATTAATTACTTCCTGCGGACATTTAAATAATAACATCTCGACGTAACGTTATTGCGGATATCGTCACGTTTAGTTGCATTTGCGTAATATACGTAAAGTTGTGCGTGACGAGACGTAGCCTCTCTTCAATGAGAACATCATTTTGACGCAGCGTCGCTGTTAAATCTACAGATAATCTAATATATTTGTCCATAAAATTTGAATGGCTCATCGTAAAATCGTTTTGGATACGTATATAAAAAGCTATTCAAATTCTCCACATATATTGCCAATTGAATATGTGGCTATTTAGGCAAGAAGTCGAAATTCTTTATATTAAATATTTGTTATCATACAATAATTTCATACGTACTTTCAAATGGCCAATTTTACTGAAACATCGTATATTAGAGCACCGATATTTACAATATAATTAGTCCCAATAACAAGCTTTCATGCAATATAAAATTTATTCAAATACTCATTGGGGTTCTTGAGATTCGAGATCATAAAGTTGATTCCTTCCGACACGAAAAACAAGCCGGTAAACCGGCTTGCCGGGGCACAGAGCGTACTCAAACAAGCCGGTAAACCGGCTTGCCGGGTTCAAGCGGTTAACCGCAATCTCAACAAATTCCATGAGCTATTTTAGCTGAAACATCAAAATTTGATTTCACTTTGGTCGTGGCAGCATCAGGTGGGTCAGATTGACTTAACCAAAGGGCCGGATTTGGCCCGCAGGCTGTACTTTGGCCCATGTCTGTTCTATAATGTCGCAACTGCTCTGCGATCGAACTCTAGATCGTGGGATTACGGCACTCGTTTCAAAACATTGTTTGTTTGCGCTCTTCTTCTCGGGATAACTTGAGGAGCAGAGTGAGAGCGAAACAATGTTTACCTTTGTGACGATTTTCAACGTCTAGCACGAATTTCTCGAATTCTACTTCCCGGAACAGAAAAATATATATACACTATATACACGTATACCAATGGTGCATGCTTTTCGAACATAGGCCTTCTGGCTGATAGAATATGCTCAGGCCTATACACACAATTACTTCACACAAGAGAGCTATGCTCAAATATATGAACACTTAGAATAAAACTAAATATATTATCATCACTTCACCGAAAACCATAGGGTATCCTACGCCTGCACGAAGCTAAACAGTGAAACAGCTACATGGCCATGGTAACTGACTTACTAATACTTGGGTACAAATAACGGTACAGGAATTGTCATAGCTCTTCCATGTCCTGTGGTAATGATCTATTCTTCTCCATCCAATTTCAACGTGAATTGAAATACCAAGTGATCTGAGTCACTTCTCTCTTACGGTATGCGGTATATGAGGTACGGTAACTTACCTGATATTCGTTCGCGGAACGGTTCTTCCTTGTCCTATAAGAACTCAATTCATTTCCTCTTATCAAAAAAAAAAAAATAAGGTAGGCTACAAAATTTATGTTGTTTACATCAGAACTGTAACGAAAAGATGAGAGCGTAGTTCACAGAGGTACCGGTACCGTACGGTATCTTACCAGTACCTGTTGCTGTACTGTAGGCCTGCTATTCGATCGTGGAACGGTTTTTCTCTGGCATATCTAAACTCAATTCAATTTGCTCTTATCAAAATTAACAAATACGGTAGGCTAGATTTGCTAGAAAACCTACGTTTGACATTACTGCAATAGTAAGATCGCGAAACGAATAAGTCAATTTCACTGTGGTACGGTAACTCAGTAGAACAGTACCTGCAGGCTTGATCACGCAACCGCTTGAAATAAGTTTCAAAACAGTGTTCCCATGAGTAAATTTTGAAGCAGCAAAACTTTGAATGAAATATCGTATCTCATAGGATTCATAGAAAATTTAGGAATAAATGAAAGTAATAGCCTTCTGGAAAAAAAAATCAAACTTTAACCACTGAAAATTTAAAAGCAATTGGTCCTGTATTCGAAGAGAAAAGCGATTTTATAATGATGGTGACAAAGAAGAACAATAACAACAACATAATATTGAAACGATCGCTATGTCCACTACGTGTTCAATAATGCAGTATAACGGCGGGATATCAGGTTTGCCTTGTCGATATCGAGTTTCAATCTGAAAAAATGGAGGTGGGCCAAAAGCGGGTCACAAGGAAAAATTGTGCTGCTCGCTGGGAAGTGCCAACTTTGAATGATTTGCGGTTCGCAAAACGAGTTTCAATTTAGGTTTAATCTTATACGCTTGAGAAATTTCAATCCCTCTGCCTATGGCGTCACAATGCAACACACATCAACAGCCGTGTTTCCTCGGAAATAAGACCTAGCCTGAATTTTTAAAAAGGATTTTAATATAAGCCTTCCCCTTAAAATAAGACCTAGTCGATAGCACAATTTTTGGTGCTCCCGAAGTATGCGAACCAAGATGACGGACATCGGAACGTAACATAGGTAACAGGTTAGGGTTAGGCGATAATTTTTTCCCAATTTTCCTTATTTTAGTCCTATTATCAGTTCAAAGACTAGCCAAGAGCCTCCCGTAGTATTTACTACCTAAAATTATGGCCTAATCCTAACCTAGTACACATATTACATTCCGATGTCCGCCATCTTGGTTCGCGTACTTCGGGAGCCCCAAATTTTTTTTACCTAGTCGAAAGAAATATCTCACACACGTTTTAAATAATTGGTCATTTTTGAATAATCCATGATTAGCAGTTTTACTAAATAAAATTTATAAGTAAATGGATATATGTTTTTATATTTTTGAAAATCTCGTAATTTTCTACTTTGTAATTTTGTGGTTGATAAATGAAAATAAAAGATAACCCGCAAAAATAGTGTTATTTTTAAAGCAAAATTGAAATAAGACCCTGTCTTATTTTCGAAGAAACACGAACAACTCACGTCATAAGATTATTAACCAAAATTTTTGTGATTGCATTGCTACTAGAAAGTTTATACTAAAGAAAGGTGCTCGCTCCCTGGTTTCATCCAGTAATTTGTATTCGGCTGTCCCGTGGTAAAGGTATCAGACCCCTGATGTGGATCGCAGAAAAATTTGTTGAATGCCGCTGACTTGTATTACAAACCCATGTTTTTGAAACTGCAATGGGTGCGGATTCTCCCGTAGTATTCGTACCAAGATGGCGCACAACCTGAACATAGTATTAAACTAGGTTAGGGTTAGCAGGTTGTGCGCCATCTTGGTACGAATTCAACAGGAGCGCCCTGCAATGTTTGTTTTTGATTTCGGGAGCAAGAATTGAAGGAGTAGAGACGGATGAAAACATTGAGCGTTCAATTTTAGCGAGAACTTCAAATTTAGCGCGGACTGAAATTCACTTAATCCTACTGTTATGTGTTCATCAATATCATGGAAGATATAGATTATACGTCACATAATCGAAAATCTGCATATTCTGTAACCAGCGTTTTGCCAAATCCTATTTGAATTACATTATAGGTGAGATATTGCCCGAAAAACAGTCAACCACAAGCTTCGCCTATGATAGTAAAAAAAAACAGTCGCATAGAACCTATACAAGTTCACGGTAGCGCTACATTGTCTCCATATTGATTTCTTTTCTTACTTGACTCGATGTTTCCTCATGTCACGTTCGGATTTTTTTATTTATGTTGAAAACGCATAAATAGGCAAAGCAGAAAGCTCAATTCGGGCAAATTGTCGAACGAGCTTCGTAGCTCTAAATTGCCCGAGAAACTAAATTGCGATGTTTGAACGCCGCGATTTAAGATGCGTAAAATCCATTGAAGCGTCGTGTTAAGCCTCAGAAAAGCTCTTACCATCGCACCGCTAATCGAATTCGGTGATTACTGAATTTCTCGCAATGTCGAGTTGATTCGTACCGGTACGCTATAGATTCCACGTGGTCTTCTAATGGCGGTAATCCCAATCGCCTATTGGCAAATTGGGCGCTTTAAGTATTTTTGACAAGATGACGCACAGCCTGAACAACCATAACCTGGTAAACATACTAAGTTCAGGTTGTGCGCCATCTTGGTGCGAATACTTCGGGAGCACCGCAAATTGTGCTGCTTAGAGTTTTAAGCTGCGACGACTCAATTTCCGCGGCATTGGTTACCTCTACCGATAAACAGGCGGGACCTAAATGGTTCGTGGCCATATGATTACCTTTTGCGAACGCTTTTCGGGCACCGGAACGTAGTATATATGTGTACCAAGTTAAGGTTAGGCCATAATTTCAGGTACAAATAATACGAGAGTCACTTGGCTAGTCCCAGGACTCGTAATAGAACTAAAATAAGGAATATTGAAATAAAATTATGGCCTGAACCTAACCTGGTACACATACTACGTTCCGGTGTCCGCCATCTTGGTTCACATACTTTTATCTTCCGCTAAACTTAAAAACAATACGTTCTAAATGTCGGTTCATCTCGCGTTTTGAAAGCCGAGCAGCTGGCATTAATCGTTTAACAGTCGTCAACCCCGGTTATTCGCTGGCCTTGTGGCTCATATAATACACGGTAATTTTTATTAATAATCGATGTTTGTTGGCTAATTTGCAAAATTCATTTGGTAATCACCATTAATATCGGTGATTTTGAAACTCTCCTTCCTAATCTGTTGAATTAGATGTTAGAAGCTTGGGTGTCGATGCTCTATAATAAGTTCTGGTTCTCCGCGGCTTCACTTCCCGAATAAAACTCTAAATGTCATTTTTTTTTAATTATTTTTTTTATTGGTTGAAAAAAATAAACTTGACCTGTAGGTAATTTAAAAAACCTGAATAACGGAAAAAGGCGTAAAAATTGGTACTGCCGTAGTATGTGTACCAGGTTATAGTCAGGCCATCATTCCATTCAATTTTCCTTATTTCAGTTCTATTACGTGTTCGGGGACTGTCTGTGTTAGCCAAGTGAATATTCGTAGGTTTCAGTTCCTTTACACAATTTGATGTAAATTAGGCTAACAAAATTAGTTACCTCCATATTGGTACACATAAAAAGCGCCCAAAAATTTACATTTCATGAACGGTCCAACAGTCCTGTAAAACACTATGTATACCTTATACATAAGTAAATTACTGTAAGTAATCTACCGTAAATTGAGCCAAGATTTAGGAACGTTTGGTCCATTAGCCAAGGAAAATTGTAATTTTATGTTCCAAACAACAATTAATCTGTCTGTACATTTTTTTGTTTCATGTTTTGGTAAAAAGTTTTATATAAACTCGTCTTGTTTCAAAAACCTTCATCCTAATTCAAAATGATGAACAAAATCTTATTACTGACTTTGATGTTGGCTGTTGCGTCAATGCTGATTCTAAACGTAGAAGGAGGTAAGTGTATAAGAATCAAGAGATATTCTCAAAAGGGTGCTCCCGAAGTATGTGCACAAAGATGGCGCACAACCTGAACATAGTATGGGTACCAGGTCAGGGTTGTTCAGGTTGTGCGTCGTCTTGGTACAAATACTTCCGGAGCGCCCTCAAAAGTATATTCCCGGGCGTGAAACGGTTGAAGTAAACACCCGACATTCATTGAGTAGAGAATCGCACGAATATAAAGACAAACTAAGCTAACTTTTATTTTCAAACACGGTGCTTTCGCCGTAAAAACAATTTGTTAGGCATAAAGTTGATCTGCGATGAAAGTGTGAATATAAAAATAACAGTCTTCTAGAAATATATTTGACTTCAATGGGTTTAATACCGAAAAAGAATCTTTTTTTTTAACGTTATCAAAATTTGCCACTATGTGACACCACGTGTCTATATATTTGAGCATAGCTCTCTTGTTTTCAGCCTGCAGACCTGCATGTCCGCCCGGTCAAGCATGCATTGGAGGCCAATGTACGGTAAGTCACGTTTATTATTTTTACGCGTTTCAAATTACTTAGGCTTAAGTTATGAGCATAGGAATTTCCGTTTTCTGTGTCAAATGTGGAGAATAAGGTTATGGAAAACTAATGGTGGGTGATGCATTAATGCAGTTTCTTCGAACTTTTCCTATCACGACGACATCACCGCAACAACGATCGAATCTTGAATCTATTTCGGGCATCGGACCACTTTAATATTCGATTGTTTCTTGAAATATCGCAATTTTCATAAAATGTCCTGGGTGATCAGAATGAGTTAATTTTTTGCGATGGGTTTTCATAACCATGCATCTCGATGTTCATATTCATAACAAAAAATTTGGTTTGCTTAGCTTTAACAAAAAAATAAACGCTCTTTATCCGAAATACTACTTGCTACTATATGAAAATTTGACTATAATGACGCAAATGAAACTAAAGTTTTCAACAATCATAGTATTTTTAACAGACTTATGACCCACTTGAAAATGTCTTCATGGCCCAGCTGTGGGACATGGCCCAATGGTTGAGAACCAGTGTTTCTAGACTTTTCAATTTGCTCATTTTTATTTTCAGAAACAATGAGGATAATTCGCAAGATATATCATCGGACATCATAATCAAGGAACGACACGACATATTAAAGTGCTTATAAACGGATTATAATTAATAAAAATAAATCAAAACATTACGGGTTTTTATTTCCTCAGATTGTGATGAATTATCTTAGTATGAAGGTTTAATTCAATTCTAAAGCACATTAGAAAGCAGAATACAGCGTATAAAAATTAGGGTTGCCATATGCCATTCCCCCCCTCCCTGTCCGGGATTTTAGTGGTCAATTTTGCGTCAGGGATAAATGTTGAAAAGTGCTCAAATGTCAGGGTTTTTCGAATACAGTGAATCCCTGCTACAAATTCTGGAGTTTTCAGATATTGCGCATCCACGAAATCCTATTTTTTCAAAGATACGTCACATTCTGGCATTTTTGTGCAACATGGATTGCGTCGCATTCAGATAATTGTGATGTCACATATGACCTGAATTGCCAGCATTTTGTAATCGGTATTTTGGTTGCACTACCGCAGTGGTTCTCAACCTTTTTCAGTTCGTGGACCGGTAAAATTTTAAAAAATTTACGGCGAGTCAGAGCTTTTTGAACTGGATTTTACTTTGCTGTTTGTTTGCCTCTATTTTAGGCCTACTGTCAAAATTACGGAAAGTGCTAACTGCGAAGTAGGGCTGGGCATTTTTGAATACCTTGTGATTTCAGAATCGAATCGAATAATTTTTTCGAATCGAATCGAATCTCGAATACTTGAAAATATATAATTGTAAGCGATTTTATTATAGTAATTGGTCCTCTCAACAAATGAATTACTGAAGACATAGAACAAATCACTCAGATAGATTACTGAGCGTTCACACAGAATAACAAACACGTTATATCAATAAGAAAATAGTCATATGTTAAAATTTCGTTAAAAAAATATGACTCCATTGGAAAAAAAAATGGGGAATTCACCTTGAAGATTAGCGGAAAGATAAAAATAAGATGGCGGCGATTCGAAATTTAGCTCTGAACCGATTCGAATAATTTACTATTCGATTCGATTCGATTATTCGATTCGAAATGCCCAGCCCTACTGCGAAGTTCTCAATCAGGTACCGTACTATGTGTTTTCAAACTTCTGTTATGATATTAGCCGCCGTTATGAGGTCATAGACGTAACGAACATCCAGCCGTTCAGGGCTCAAATGGGCAGAGCAGAGGGCCTCACACTTGGGTTACCATATTTTTGTAAGCTCCAAGCGGGACACCTCCAAAGAGCATAGCTGTGATTTTTAAATTTACCGATTTTTACATTAGGGGCCTACATATAAAACCATCTTCACCGGTATATGAGCCACTTTTTGAATATTGAAACATTTTTATTTACGTTAAGAATTAAAATATGGTGTCACATCTGAAAATCAGGGGTGGTGTTTTTAATCATTGCTCACGCATAACAAATTGTAGCAATTATTCGCTGACAATGTTAGCGGAAAACAACGAAACAACAAATCCACCTTCAGTAAGTTGACTACCTGTACGCTTCACAGCAACAACAGTATCGAGAACATGTTAATCGGTAATGTTCCTGTATTATGCTGGCTGTCTGAAAGCCAAAACGGGACTTTTGGCTGACCGGTCGGGACAAGACGTTGAAAAGTGGGACTGTCCCGCCTCTAACGGGACGTATGGTAAGCCTAGTTTGGTCGTTAGGCGAATACCGGTACTACGAATCAATAACATTTGACAAATTACAAAATTAATGGACATACCGTCAATACATTGTATTTGCTTATAATATATATATATAGAACAACAATATATTTGGCGGACGGCACCACTGCAATACCGGTACCTGTACTTTATTCCGTGCTAGGGTTTGGTCACTAGTGCTAAAGATTAATTGAGCGGCTTGGAAATTTTTTGAAAATTAGGCACAAGAATAGGCTGCAAGTTTTATTTTAGTTTTAGATACACCTATGTGATAAAATTAATAATTATGATAGTTGGGTGATTGAATCCAACTTGAATTGAATTGTTTGTTTGACTTTTGTACGAATTTTAACAATAAATTAAATTTTGAAATACGCTGCTCACGCATCAACTGATCATAATTCGAAGAATTCTTCGTCTCATAATAGCGCTTACAGTTGTTTTCCTTTAGAACTGGAATAATTTGTTGGCAAGGAAGACAAAATGCTGAAGTTTGATTATTTTTGATAAAAAAATAAGAACGCTGCCATTTATCCAAAAAAAACTTTTGTTTTCAGTGTCTAGTTTTCGTTTTTTCGAAATTTTCAAGATTTCTTGATATTGGGCTGATAAGTGAGACTGTCGTATATAATCATAATACCGGTACGTATATATAAGATACCGGTATAATTGAATTGTTACGAATACACGAGCCTAAACGGTGATAATGATGTAACAATTGGCGGCATCTATGAAAGAAGGTAAACACATAAAGCCAATAACAATATTTTAAACTTAGTAGTAAAGGAAGTAACACGCGCTAGGTCACCACGTATGCTAGGCCAGGGGTCGGCAACCTGCGGGTCGGATCCGGCTCGCGAAGTAACATAATCCGGCCCGCGACGCTTCACTGAATTATAGTAACAAAACAGCTGTTTTAACGATTATATTTTTCACGTTACACAATTCATTGTGAGACGCGTGCACACTACGTTATATTATAATCTAATAGGTATAAAATTCATAGTTACTCGTTTGATGAGCCTATTATAATTAGACAAATGCCAAAAACGCAGAAAAGTTGATGCAATGCAATGCGATGAGGAAATAAATCTATATTATATTCGAGAGGTGTATCACTGCTTCATTATAATTATAAAAAGTATCATCTGTTCGGTTTTCAACATGCTAAAAATATGTGCGGCCCGACAATAACTTGCAACCCTTATTTTGGTCCGCGAGCGACAAAAGGTTGCCGACCCCTAGGCGACGCTAGGCACTTCGAAAATAGCAGAAAATGGGAATTCTCACCAATAAAAGACCAAAAAATATAAGCCACACTAACCAGCTATGTGAATATGCGATAAATGCACTCCAGTTTATTAGTGTTATTTAAAATTTATGAATTGGTACCGGTAGGCACCATCGATTAGACGCTAAATTAGGAACTTCGGAAAAACGAGAACAGCGGTTTAATATAGGCTTACCATACGTTCCGTTATAAGCGGGACAGTCTCACTTTTTGACGTTTTGTCCCGGCGTCTCGACCGGTCCGCGGTTTGGATCACCCTGTCCGCGGGGACTGTCTCTGTTAGCCAAGAGAATATACCCTGTGCCCATAGGTTTCAGTCCGTTTACACAACTTATAAAGTAGGCAAACAAAATTAGTTACCTCCATATTGGTACACACACTTCCGGAGCGCCCGTCTTTGAGTTGCTGGCGACCCCCGAAATGCCGGATAATAAAAAATTATGATAACGCATTACCTGCAAGGAAATGCCAATTGACATAGACTTGAAACGTTCCAGTCAAGACAATCATCAAAAATTATAAATTCAACCCAACCCAGAACAAATCAGCGAATCGTATTTACCCATGAGTATTAGCCCTCGAATCCGTTCGTCTCGCAAAATCTAGCGTTTGAAACGGTTCCATTACATTTGAACCCACGTACATTTGAACCCATGACAATTGCACCTGTATGCTATTGCACCTATGGAATTTTTTTTGTTTCACGGATAGTTAAACCCATACTAACCCTAACCCATGGGTTTTAGCACCCGCATATAGATTGAACCCGTGGATATACGCATGGGTTCAAATGTACGGTCACCGTTTGAAACATATTTCAATATGGATTTTTTTTTCTTTGTTTATCTGTTATTTTAACACCTGTTATGCTTTTAATGGAGTCAAAATAAACTTATATTTGGAGTGACATTTTTTATTGGTTTGTTCGTATGAGAATTTTATTCAAAGTTCATTATTGCAGTCTTTCTTTCATCCAGACTTCGTATTTTTGCTCCGTAGTGCCTTCTGGCGGTTCGTATTTTGCACAGATCCAATAGTCTTCCCGGATATGTTCGTTGTTCTTCAGCAAATCTAAGTAAAGGACGCCGGCTTGTTCGTTGCAATATTCAGAAGTGTAATTACCAGAATACGAACGCACGTAGAATGTTTCTTCGGGAGCTTTGAATGATGTGATTGTCTTGTCAGGGGTTTCGGGGGCATATTTTGTCAGCGGTATCGGTAAATAAAACTGTGTATAATACTTTACAGGGCAAACTTTCACTGGGCTTTTTCGTCTTCTATGCCGCTTTTCGTTTCGCTTAGATTTGATTGTTGTTTCTGGTTTTATTGTAGGCTCTGGCCTTTTATCTACCGTGTCTAAGATCGGATAAGTCAGCGAGTGATATTGGCGCTGGTAGTTGAAGCCGTTGAAGTAAAAGTAAAGGTTCAAATACCCATCGCCTGCAGCTTTCTTTTGACCTAGGCATTGTTTGAACGACTTTGCCCACCATTGCGTTGGGTATACTCTGACCTGGTACGTTCCATCTTCCGGTTGGTTTTCCGCCAGTCTCCATTTTGGTTGATTAACGAGTTGTTTAGCAGAGTAAGCGACCTTCCACGCCTCCGTGAATAATTCAGGCTTTTTCAGGGGAAGTTCTGGAACTGATATCTCGTCATTATCTGAGGAATCATCATCACCCATTGTTGCGTCATCACTGCCCATTGTTGTGTCGTCACCATCCATTATTGTGTCATCACCACGTATTGTTGTATCGTCATCTGATGCTTCTTCGTCGCCTTTATTCTTGGAGCCACCCACTAGTCTGGGCTCTTTCATACTGGCTGCGCCTACCAAGGCGACTATTGCCAACCCGAGTAACAGTAATACAGTATAAGATCTCATACTTTACTGTCTGCTTGAAAACTGATGCAAAACGAGTGTTCTGGAGAGTATTTATACAGCTATCATCTCGGATTACAATATTTAATACCAAAAAAAGGTTGCCTTACAATTACATAATGAAAGTTTGTTCAAACAAATTATTAAAAAAGCGTAAAAAAGTTTTACCTCGAATTACACAATCTGCTGTGAAGTAGACGTAATAGCCCTGAAGCCATGTTGAGCCACAAAATTCGATGTTCTTTGCCACCGCTTTTTTTGCTTCGAGCTCTCGTTCTGAGCGGAACTAGTAATTCTGGATTGATTAAATCCAGTGGTGGGATTCAGCCGGTTCACACCGGTTCTATAGAACCGTCTCACGGAATTTTATGAGATCAGCGTATCGGTTAGCATTACTGAAAAAAAACATGACTTTTTGCAACAGAAAAAAATATTACTTTTGTGATGGAACCGGCTGATTAAAAATTTGAATCCCACCACTGATTGAATCTAATACCTGGTGATATACCACTGGTTTAACTTCCATATGTTGTGATAAATAGAATTTGATACGTCTGAAAAACTATGAGTACCCACCCACTCATAGTAAAAAATGGATTTGAGTATGATTCGTTCTTTTCAAGTATATAATGACATAACATTCTTCCTAATGTGCCAGGTCTCTTGCAGACATATATTTACAGTATATATATTACGAAAGCAAAGTGGAAAACAAAAAGCCTCGTACCAAAACTAAATTCAACCGCAATCTCAACAAATTCCTTGAGCTATTTTAGCTGATACATCAAAGTTTGGTCGTGGCAGCATCAGGCGGGCCAAATTTAATTACCTAACGAGGACCTCCTGAAGTATGCGCACCAAGATGGCGCACAACCTGAACTCATGTTGTGTACCAGGTTAGGGTTCAGATTATGCGACATCTTGGTGCGCATACTTCAGGAGTACCTTTAACGAGACAGATTTGGCCTGTGTACTGTAGTTTGCCATGTCAGCTTTGGCCGCTGGGCCATTGCGCTTCGAACAGCGGTGCTTACCTTCTATTTCTGTGAATAAACATGGTAATTGTTTCAATTCTTTTTCATTACTCATTGAGTTTCGTAAACACAGAAAAATTCCAACCCTATCAGCAGTTATTATTGTTGAATTTTTATTAGAATAAAATCGAACAAAAATATGTTAATAAATAAGACAAGGCAATAGGTACATCGAAGCGACCTAGTACATACCGTACCAAGCAATTGCCGTTTCAACAAAAAGTCGACTCCATGCACCACAGTCTAGGTAACCATGGCAATTAAAGTGCGAGACCAGACGAACTCACAATGTTATCATGGCGAGGTAAATAAAGTAGGCAATAGTAAAGTGCATCAAACGTTCAATTGTGTGCATATAATTGTCAAGGTCAAGTTAAAACTGAATGTCAAGAGTACACAAATTGTACCAGTATAGAATACCAATCAAGTGTACAGGTAACAAAATAATGACACTTTATAGCCGTTGTTATCGTGCTCCCGAAGTATGTGTACCAAAATGGTGCACAACCTGAACATAGCATGTGTACCAAGTTAGGAATCAGGTTGTGAGCCATCTTGGTACGAATACTTCCGGAGCTCTGTTATTATTGATGTAGGCTATTTTTATTGCAGCGTAATTCTTATCCGTTGTTGTTATGAAATCGCTTTGAACGAAACTAGCGCAACAACCAATTTCATTGCCTGGAGATAGAAGAATCCTGATGAGCTATTTACTTAGTAGGTTTAGAGTCTTACGAGGCCGATATTTCCCGAATTACACGATACGTGAAGTTTCACGGGCATTTAATGAAAAATCGCTTTGACCGGGACTAATGCTTCAATTAATTTCGAAATTTTGGTGCCGGAACACCCTCTGACAAGCTATTATTTTTTGAGTCTCACCAGGCCGATATTTCCCGAATTACGTTATCTTTAACATTTACGGACGGTGCTCCCGAAGTATTCGTACCAAGATGACGCACAACCTCAATATAGTATGTGTACCAGGTCAGGGGTGTTCAGGTTGTGCGTCATCTTAGTACAAATATTTCCGGAGCGCTTCAAGGACACCACAGGAAAATCGCTTTGACCGAAACTAGCCCGCCAAACCATTGCAAATTTTCATTGCCTTAAGACGTAAGAATCCTCTAACGAAATATTATTTTTAGTCCTACGGGGCCGATATTTTCCGAACTTTGCCGATTCATCAATTCACGGACACTATATGACACGCGTCTCAATATTTATGAAATTCGGCTGGAATTTTGCTGATTCTTCAATTCACGGACACTATATGACACGCGTCTCAATATTTATGAAATTCGGCTGGAATTTTTCTGATTCTTCAATTCACGGACACTAAATGACACGCGTCTCAATATCTATGAAATTCGGCTGGAATTTTACCGATTCTTCAATCTTTAGTTACTAATAATTTGAAGCCGCTTAGTTCGGGATTCGTTAATTGCATAGAAAAGCTGTTTTTTCAAACAAAAATCAGAACGCAATAAAAAATAATAACAGCAATTTAGCAAAACGAACCATAGGTCCATTTCGTGGCCAATATTGCTGAAAAATGGGTACTCCCGAAGTATGTGAACCAAGATGGCGGACAAGGTTAGGGTTAGAACATGATTTCGGGTACAAATACTACGGGAGTCACTGGGGTAGTCTTCGAACTCGTAATAGAACTAAAATAAGGAAAATTGGGATAAAATTTTGGCCTAACCCTCCCCTGGTATACAGACTATATGATCTGGTGTCCGCCATCTTGGTTCACATACTACGGGAGCGCCCAAAGCCTAATCAAATATACAGCTGAAACTGAAAATATCCCGTATAAAACTAGACAAGTTTACAACAGTTAGCCATTTTTGCGCCATTCACTCACAATAACCGTGAGTCTGATATGCGTGAACATTGGCGGAGCTGACTCTGATGACCGTATGGTCGTATCGCTTCCCCCAGTCTATACCGAAAGAATTTGCGTAAATTGTTGTATATTTTCATTCTTGTTGCTCTTTTTTAGTTAACGAAATAATAAATCTGTATTTCTCTCTGTACGCAGATCCGTATCCTGACCTTCAGCGTTAAGAATTTGAGGCCATATATACAAATAAAAATAAGAATGTAACTGGTGTTCCGTATTATATGAAATTGAATAAGTAAGTTTCAGTATTCATTGCTAATTGAGGATCAAGTTATGATTAATTTAAATGATATTGTTTGAAAAAAGTTCTCATACTAACAAACAGTTATAGAAAGGTTCTAAGATGGTGCTTGAGAACGATAAATAATCAAAATTCATTTCAATTGGACCAATATCAAGGTCTGAATCGACCAATCATTTCATCAAACACTGAGGTACTATTTAAAACTCGGCTATTAAAATTTCTGTGGTGTCGCCTTTTCCTTGGTGCCCCGAGCATGTGCTTATGTTGCTTAATAGTTAATTCAGTCCTGGCTACAACACCCTTGCATTATCATACGCTTACAATCTGTCAGCCTAATAGAACAAGACTAGATAGAGTTATTCTCTCGTTGTAACTCAAAATAATATCTAAATGAAATCGAATATTAACAGTATTAAATTTACGGCGAAATTCTATTCAAACATTTAACGACTGAGGCTTTTTAACAGTGTTGAAGTTACGTCGGAATGCTATCCAAACATTTAACGACTGAGGCGTTTTAACAGTATCGAAGTTACGGCGAAATGCCATTCAAATGTTCAACGACTAATGCTTTTTATTAGTATTACTGTTAAAAAGTATCAGTCCTCAAATGTTTGAATAGCATTCCACCGTAACTTCGATACTAATAAAAAGGTCAAAAGTAAGTAAGCGTCGTATCTGAAAAAGATGTCATTACTTATCGATCTTTAGATCGATTATCTTTAGATCAGTAAGTATGTTGATAGGTATTTGTCTGTCTGTTAGATGCACGCAATATCTCACGAAGACGTGGTTGAATCTGCTCCAAATTTTGCACGTGCATTCATCATATCTCGGACCAGAAGCCTATTGATTTTGGATGTCGTATAATTAGCGAGTTATTAATTAATTAGTGATGGGACACGCGGTGTCAGTATAGAGTCATGGATCAAAACCGCAGTTTCGATCGATAAGTCGTCGGTCTCCGACCGATATTCTCGTTTAGTTATTGGTAGTGCAGTGTTTCTTAAACGGTGGCGTGAGCCCTATAAGACAATTTTCAATGAGGGCAGGAATTCGATCACCTTTCATCTAAAATTACATCCGAAATTGGCTTCTCTGTGGTGGCGCTGTTTGCTCATTTTAGAATCGTCTTTTTTTCGAAACTAAAAGTTAGGTATCCCGAAGTATGTGAACCAAGATGGCGGACACCAGAAGGTAGTATGTGTACCAGGTTAAGATTAGGCCATAATTTCATTCCCATTTTCCTTATTTTAGTTTTATTACAAGTTCGGGGACTAGCCAAGTGACTTCCGTAGTATTTGAACGTGAAATTATGGTCCAACCCCAACCTGGTACTCATACTACGTCCCGGTGTCCGCCATCTTGGTTCACATATTACATGAGTGCCCCAAAATCTTCTTTTCTTGCGGTGGTCCATTCTCAAAATCGTCTTCAGTCGAAACTAAAAGTTATCTGATAAGGAAGCCTTGCCATATAATTCAATCCACTTTCATGTGAAGTTTCTTCCGAAATCGGCTTTTCTTGTGGTGGCGCTGTTTGCCCATTCTTAGAATTGTCTTGAGTTTTCGTCCCCGGAACGTTTACTGTATGATAGAGAAAGAGATTCATTTTTCGTCAACCACCAGGAAAAAGCATTACGACAATAAAAAGATATACAACCACCTCCTCAAAATTTTTCGGTATAGACTGGGGGGAACGATACGTTCATCAGAGCCCCCCCCCCCCCCCCCCCCCCAAATAGACGATAGACAGCGCTTCAACAGAATCACGGACCGAAAACTGCACGTCTGCTCTTTATATCAGAGGTGTGCAGCCTTTATTACAGGAAGGCCATATACAAGTGAATACAAACTGGGTGAATCCGTGGGCCGCATGCTTATTCAAGATAGCCTTTCTAGCA